TCCATCACCCCACACGCGTCACCCTCTTAACCATCACCCCACACGCGTCACACTCTTATACATCACCCCACACGCGTCACACCCTTAACCATCACCCCACCCGCGTCACACTCTTATCCATCACCCCACACGCGTCATACTCTTAACCATCACCCCACACGCGTCATACACTTATCCATCACCCCACATGCGTCACACTCTTAACCATCACCCCACACGCGTCACACTCTTATCCATCGCCCCACACGCGTCACACTCTTATCCATCGCCCCACACGCGTCACACTCTTATACATCACCCCACACGCGTCACACTCTTATCCATCACCCCACACGCGTCACACTCTTATCCATCACCCCACACGCGTCACACTCTTAACCATCACCCCACACGCGTCACACTCTTATCCATCACCCCACACGCGTCACACACTTACCCATCACCCCACACGCGTCACACTCTTATCCATCACCCCACACGCGTCACACTCTTATCCATCACCCCACACGCGTCACACTCTTAACCATCACCCCACACGCGTCACACTCTTATCCATCACCCCACACGCGTCACACACTTACCCATCACCCCACACGCATCACACTCTTATCCATCGCCCCACACGCGTCACACTCTTATCCATCGCCCCACACGCGTCACACTCTTATCCATCGCCCCACACGCGTCACACTCTTATCCATCGCCCCACACGCGTCACACTCTTATCCATCACCCCACACGCGTCACACTCTTATCCATCGCCCCACACGCGTCACACTCTTATCCATCGCCCCACACGCGTCACACTCTTATCCATCGCCCCACACACGTCACACTCTTATCCATCACCCCACACGCGTCACACTCTTATCCATCGCCCCACACGCGTCACACTCTTATCCATCGCCCCACACGCGTCACACTCTTATCCATCGCCCCACACGCGTCACACTCTTATCCATCACCCCACACGCGTCACACTCTTATCCATCACCCCACACGCGTCACACTCTTATCCATCACCCCACACACGTCACACTATTAACCATCACCCCACACGCGTCACACTATTAACCATCACCCCACACGCGTCACACTCTTATACATCACCCCACACGCGTCACACTCTTATACATCACCCCACACGCGTCACACTCTTATACATCACCCCACACGCGTCACACTCTTATACATCACCCCACACGCGTCACACTCTTAACCATCACCCCACACACGTCACACTCTTAACCATCACCCCACACGCGTCACACTCTAATCCATCACCCCACACGCGTCACACACTTATACATCACCCCACACGCGTCACACTCTTAACCATCACCCCACACACGTCACACTCTTATCCATCACCCCACACACGTCACACTCTTAACCATCACCCCACACGCGTCACACTATTATCCATCGCCCCACACGCGTCACACTCTTATCCATCACCCCACACGCGTCACACTCTTATCCATCACCCCACACGCGTCACACTCTTATCCATCACCCCACACGCGTCACACTCTTATCCATCACCCCACACGCGTCACACTCTTATCCATCACCCCCACACGCGTCACACTCTTAACCATCACCCCACACGCGTCACACTCTTAACCATCACCCCACACGCGTCACACTCTTAACCATCACCCCACACGCGTCACACTCTTAACCATCACCCCACACGCGTCACACTCTTATCCATCGCCCCACACACGTCACACACTTATCCATCACCCCACACGCGTCACACTCTTATCCATCACCCCACACGCGTCACACTCTTATCCATCACCCCACACGCGTCACACTCTTATCCATCACCCCACACGCGTCACACTCTTATCCATCACCCCACACACGTCATACTCTTATCCATCACCCCACACGCGTCACACTCTTAACCATCACCCCACACGCGTCACACACTTATCCATCACCCCACACGCGTCACACTCTTATCCATCACCCCACACGCGTCACACTCTTATCCATCACCCCACACGCGTCACACTCTTATCCATCACCCCACACACGTCACATTCTTATCCATCACCCCACACGCGTCACACTCTTATCCATCACCCCACACGCGTCACACTCTTATCCATCACCCCACACGCGTCACACTCTTATCCATCACCCCACACGCGTCACACTCTTAAGCATCACCCCACACACGTCACACTCTTATCCATCACCCCACACGCGTCACACTCTTAACCATCACCCCACACGCGTCACACTCTTAACCATCACCCCACACGCGTCACACTCTTAACCATCACCCCACACGCGTCACACTCTTAACCATCACCCCACACGCGTCACACTCTAATCCATCACCCCACACGCGTCACACACTTATACATCACCCCACACGCGTCACACTCTTAACCATCACCCCACACACGTCACACTCTTATCCATCACCCCACACACGTCACACTCTTAACCATCACCCCACACGCGTCACACTATTATCATCGCCCCACACGCGTCACACTCTTATCCATCACCCCCACACGCGTCACACTCTTATCCAATCACCCCACACGCGGTCACACTCTTATCCATCACCCCACACGCGTCACACTCTTATCCATCACCCCACACGCGTCACACTCTTATCCATCACCCCACACGCGTCACACTCTTATCCATCACCCCACACGCGTCACACTCTTAACCATCACCCCACACGCGTCACACTCTTAACCATCACCCCACACGCGTCACACTCTTAACCATCACCCCACACGCGTCACACTCTTATCCATCGCCCCACACACGTCACACACTTATCCATCACCCCACACGCGTCACACTCTTATCCATCACCCCACACGCGTCACACTCTTATCCATCACCCCACACGCGTCACACTCTTATCCATCACCCCACACGCGTCACACTCTTATCCATCACCCCACACACGTCATACTCTTATCCATCACCCCACACGCGTCACACTCTTAACCATCACCCCACACGCGTCACACACTTATCCATCACCCCACACGCGTCACACTCTTATCAATCACCCCACACGCGTCACACTCTTATCCATCACCCCACACGCGTCACACTCTTATCCATCACCCCACACGCATCACATTCTTATCCATCACCCCACACGCGTCACACTCTTATCCATCACCCCACACGCGTCACACTCTTATCCATCACCCCACACGCGTCACACTCTTATCCATCACCCCACAAACGTCACACTCTTAAGCATCACCCCACACACGTCACACTCTTATCCATCACCCCACACGCGTCACACTCTTAACCATCACCCCACACGCGTCACACTCTTAACCATCACCCCACAAGCGTCACACTCTTATCCATCACCCCACACGCGTCACACTCTTATCCATCACCCCACACGCGTCACACTCTTATCCATCACCCCACACACGTCATACTCTTATCCATCACCCCACACGCGTCACACTCTTAACCATCACCCCACACGCGTCACACACTTATCCATCACCCCACACGCGTCACACTCTTATCCATCACCCCACACGCGTCACACTCTTATCCATCACCCCACACGCGTCACACTCTTATCCATCACCCCACACGCGTCACATTCTTATCCATCACCCCACACGCGTCACACTCTTATCCATCACCCCACACGCGTCACACTCTTATCCATCACCCCACACGCGTCACACTCTTATCCATCACCCCACACGCGTCACACTCTTAAGCATCACCCCACACACGTCACACTCTTATCCATCACCCCACACGCGTCACACTCTTAACCATCACCCCACACGCGTCACACTCTTATCCATCACCCCACACGCGTCACACTCTTAACCATCACCCCACACGCGTCACACTCTTAACCATCACCCCACACGCGTCACACTCTTATCCATCACCCCACACGCGTCACACTCTTATCCATCACCCCACACGCGTCACACTCTTATCCATCACCCCACACGCGTCACACTCTTAACCATCACCCCACACGCGTCACACTCTTAACCATCACCCCACACGCGTCACACTCTTATCCATCACCCCACACGCGTCACACTCTTAACCATCACCCCACACGCGTCACACTCTTATCCATCACCCCACACGCGTCAGACTCTTAACCATCACCCCACACGCGTCACACTCTTAACCATCACCCCACACGCGTCACACTCTTATCCATCACCCCACACGCGTCACACTCTTAACCATCACCCCACACGCGTCATACTCTTATCCATCACCCCACACGCGTCACACACTTATCCATCACCCCACACGCGTCACACACTTATCCATCACAACGCTGACAAGGGTTGCTGCTCGTTGCTGCCCGCTTGACGTTTCGGGCCCTGCGCTCAACAACACTCAGCAAGCCCTGACTTGAGGATCCACGCAACCCATCATCCCTCTGGGGTCAATAAAATTAGCACCAATTTGTGGTGGGCGGGGGTCAACAGAGGCTCACTGCGGAGAGGCTCACTGTGGAGAGGCTCACTGCAGAGAGGCTCACAGTGGAGAGGCTCACTGCGGAGAGGCTCACAGTGGAGAGACTCACTGCGGAGAGGCTCACAGTGGACAGGCTCACAGTGGAGAGGCTCGCTGCAGAGAGGCTTACTGCAGAGAGGCTCACTGCGGAGAGGCTCACTGAGGAGAGGCTCACTGCAGAGAGGCTCACTGCGGAGAGGCTCACTGCGGAGAGGCTCACTGCGGAGAGGCTCACTACGGAGAAGCTAACTGCAGAGAGGCTCACTCCAGAGAGGCTCACTGTGGACAGGCTCACTCCGTACCATAGGAACGACGTGGAATTTCCACCACTGGCACGTGCGAGGGGGGGGGGGGGAGAAGACGGCACGGCGACTGTGAAACAGGAGATGAGCAACATCGCCCCGAATCACTTTAACTTTCATTCATTTACCAGAGCATCACCGATAGCGATAAACAAAGGGGAACTGACACAACTCCGCTACCTTTGTCTTGGCACTATCCGGGTCTTCCAGCCAGACGTAGGGGTCAGGCACTGGGGTCCCATGATAGACGTTCACCTACACAGCACAGGGGACAGCACGGGGCAGGGGTCAAAGTTCATCCTCGCTGTCATCAACAGCATTCTCATGACTGTTGTCATCGTCGTCGTCGTCGTCGTCATCATCATCATCATAATCATCACCATCGTGAGCATGACGATCGTCATGTATATTGAAGTTCTTCCGCACCGTACGTAGCCAACCGTGCTAATCGGAGGTGCGATCATCATCATCATCGATGTCCCAAGGCTTTAAACCCTTGCCCGGATGAATCCTTGGTATCACTCCGCAGTTCAATCAGAGCCCAGAGCTCACGAGCGGGGCCAGTTGTTACGGTCGTGTCAGAGGTCGGGTGGCCCGTGAGGGATAGGGTTAACGTTAGCAACAGTCTTATCTGGCTAGTGTCGGACGTTGGCGTTAGGTGTGGCGGTAGTGTTAGAGCGAGCGGCCAAACTCGTGTCTGTTCCAGGTGGGCGAGCATTGGGGCCTCGGTCAGGGATGGTCACAGGGCCAGAGTTGCACTAACTATGAACAGGTGAGAGCCTGAACAGGTGAGAGGTTGGACAGGTGACAGCCCCGAAGGGATGCGAGCCCTGAGCTGTTGCTGCTGGAAGGTGGACGGGGTCGGTGCGTCTGGATGCAGCGCACGTGTGGTGCGAGAGAGACAGTTCCACCGGGCTGGAGCTGCCCGCCACTCTCTCCATCTCGTAACTCCGGTCTGCCGTCGGTCGTCACGGACGCGGCTCGTCGATGGCGCAGCTACGCTCTCGACGATGCGCAGCAGTGATCGTCATCGCCATCTCGGGAACTCTTCGGCCAACCTCTCTACCGTGGCTTCCGCTCCTGAGCAACACCGCTGCCCCCTCACACGCGACGGGAAGCCGTAGCAACTCGCGAGCTACCGCGGGGCTTTACAATCCTTGTCCTTGGGAGTCTGGGGGCCCTCGCACACACGCGGCCACGGCTCCTCTTGTCAGCCACGCTTTCAGAAAAAAAAAATTCGGAGCTCGGCCTTTCTCAGTCATTCACCCTCAGATTTGGAACGCTCTCTGCCTGTGCAACTGCGCCCAACACCGCCGAGATACTCCCATTTAGAATGAAACTCAACACCTACCCATTTCCTACGATATGTTAGAATAGCTCGAGACGTTTTTTTATTTCTCTACGGGCGCTTGGAAACCCTTGTTGGGGGTCTGCTGCGCCTTGTAAAAACGTTAAGAGCAACAACAATAACACAGCAATAAGACGTGGTTCAAGCCAAGCCTGCCGATAGGCGAAAGGTCTCCCAACGTCCTCCGCCTGCCGCGCTTCGTCCGTCGCCACACGACCACAGTCGCGCCGCGGCTGCTCGCTAGAGAGCGGCTGGCGCGAGGAACGGAGGGCAACGTCGGTGCCAAGCCGGTTCCCGATCGGGGAATCCTACAGTCGGCGGTCTGTCCACCCCTGGGCTCCACGCTGCAGAGCCGTCAGAAGGAATTTGTTGGACAGGTTCTGGACACAGGGCGAGGTCTCTGTGTGGCCAACCTTCGCCGTTGGGGTCTTCATGACAACCTACGCTTCGGGTGTGACTGTACAAACAGTGTCGCGTGTTGGTGGTGACTGTCCACTGACCGAGTTCAGCGTGGGGGCTACGAGAACCACACAGCTCAGTGATTACGCACTAAATGAATGAGTGGGTGTGTGAGTGGGAGAGTGAGTGGGTGGGTGAGTGGGAGAGTGAGTGGGTGGGTGAGTGAGTTGGTGAGTGAGTGGGTGGGTGAGTGGGTGGGTGAATGAGAGGGTGAGTGGGTGGGTGAATGAGAGGGTGAGTGGGTGGGTGAATGAGAGGGTGAGTGGGTGGGTGAATGAGAGGGTGAGTGGGTGAATGAGAGCGTGACTGGGTGAATGAGAGGGTGAATGAGAGGGTGAATGAGTGGGTGGGTGAGTAAATGGATGGGTGAGTTTGGGTGAGTGGGTGAGTTTGGGTGAGTGGGTGGGTGAGTTGGTGAGTGAGTGGGTGGGTTGGTGAGTGAGTAAATGGACGGGTGAGTTTGGGTGAGTGGGTGAGTGAGTGGGTGGGTGGGTTGGTGAGTGGGTGAATGAGTGGGTGGGTGGGTGAGCGGGTGGGTGGGTGAGCGAGTGGGTGGGTGAGCAGGTGGGTGGGTGAGCGCGTGGGTGATTGAGTGGGTGGGTAGGCGAGTTGGAGTCTTCGTGACAATTCACACTGCAGCTGTCGCACTCTACAGACAATGTCGCATATTGTTGACTGATTATGCATGGATAGTTGATTACGCACCGAATGAATGAGTGGCGAGACCCACTCAGCACACAACACACACTCAACATCATCGTCTGCCATGGTCAATCCACTGCTGGATGAAGGCATCCGCCAACCTCGTACAAACACACCCACCACGACATGACAAGGCCAGTTTAGCACGTAGGCCTTCGCGACCAATATCAACCATAATACAGGTTTGTTCTTTGGGTTAGATGGCGTAAATATGTGTCGTTAAACCCGCCACCACCCGACACAGCCAACTAGTGAGGGTTGTCACGTAAACAGAACGTGCACAATTCGTCACTAGTACAGCACACCGGTGTTGGAGGGCCAAGCGACAACATTCACATTCTAAGTACGACGTTTCACCAGCAATTACAACTAGCTTCATCAGGCGACAGCGAGATAATAAGCTGGTTGTAATTACTGGCGAAACGTCGCACTCAGATTGCAAATGTTGTGGCTTCGCTCTCCAACACACAACCGGTGCAGTGCTGTACGAGCGACAAATCGACACGTTATGTTCACGTGACAACCCTTACTAGTTGGCTGTGTCGGGTGGCGGCGGGCGGGTTTCACGACACAACATTTCTCTATTTCACGCGATCAAACCCCACCAACAAACAACCACCACAACCCTGTACTATGGATGACAAAGGACAACCCCGCCGACGGCTCTTTGTGCTCAGTGGCTCGCGCTGCTGCGCTCACCTCGTGCCGCACAGGGACAGCTGCCGTTAGGGGGGTCCCCCAGCTGCCGTTAGGGGGGTCCCCAGCTGCCATTAGGGGGGGTACCCAGCTGCCATTAGGGGGGTCCCCAGCTGCCGTTAGGGGGTCCCCAGCTGCCGTTAGGGGGGTTCCCAGCTGCCATTTGGGGGGTCCCAGCTGCCATTAGGGGGGTCCCCAGCTGCCGTTAGGGGGTCCCCAGCTGCCGTTAGGGGGGTCCCCAGCTGCCATTTGGGGGGTCCCAGCTGCCATTTGGGGGGTCCCAGCTGCCATTAGGGGGGTCCCCAGCTGCCGTGAGGGGGGTCCCCAGCTGCCGTTAGGGGGGTCCCCAGCTGCCGTTAGGGGGTACCCAGCTGTCATTAGGGGGGTACCCAGCTGCCATTAGGGGGGTCCCCAGCTGCCGTTAGGGGGGTCCCCAGCTGCCGTTAGGGGGGTCCCCAGCTGTCATTAAGGGGGGGGGAGTCACCCCCGCTACCCCCTTAGGCTAACAGCAAACCGCTGCCGCTGTTGTTATTTTCGCAACCACTGTGAGGACGTTACAGGAGGCGGATCGAGAGCGCTGCGCGCAAGGTGACGCCGCCGCCGCTGCTGCCGCCGCTGCTGCTGCTGCTCCTGCGGGGCTTTGTTGACCGTCGGCGGCTGCACTCGGAATCAACGTCGGTGCCCATCACCCCCCTCCCCACTCACACACATGGCGCCACGTTCACTGGCGCCCGTACAGCCCCTCCCGGCCCTTCAAATGCCCCCCACCCCACACCACACACACCCCCGCCGACGGATGATGCCGCAGGGCTGGAAATTCCACATTCTCACGGCAAGTCCGGGTCCATCCATCGCAAGTCTGAACCACACAAAGCATTTGCTCACAAACCGAATCAACCTCCCCACCCACCCACACCCTAAAAAAAAAAAATGATTGTCCGCTCGCAGCGTCTGTAACGACGAAGGACGCTCGACGTTACTGTGGCCGGGGCCGAGTATATCCAGCCATCGAACAGACCGCCAACGCAAGACAATGGGGGCTGTGGTGGTGGTGGTGGTTCTCAAAGCGCCACAAACTCACCGCCGTGTCGTCTCGGAACGCAACCGGGTAAGCGAAAGCCATGGTCGGAGCTCACCGCCGAGTGGGACCCGTGAGAAACTGGCGGACCGATCAACGGACGGCTACGAACAAACAAATAAATGTGTTGTTGTTGCTGCTGCTGCTGTTGTTGTTGTTGTTTCAAAGGAGAGGCCGATCGAGGAGCTCCTTCGCAGCCGTCACTGAACGCCGGGCCGAGAGACGCGCGCGGTGAACCCTGACCCCGCACGCCGGGGACTGCGCGGGCTTCCGGTGACGTAACCGCGTAAACCACGCCCACACACACCGACTCCACCCACACCGACTCCACCCACACCACCTCCACCAACTCCACCCACACCAACTCCACCCACACCACCTCCACCGACTCCACCCACACCAACTCCACCCACACCAACTCCACCCACACCACCTCCACCGACTCCACCCACACCACCTCCACCGACTCCACCCACACCAACTCCACCCACACCACCTCCACCGACTCCACCCACACCAACTCCACCCACACCAACTCCACCCACACCAACTCCACCCACACCACCTCCACCGACTCCACCCACACCAACTCCACCCACACCAATTCCACCCACTCCAACTCCACCCACACCAACTCCACCCACACCACCTCCACCCACACCACCTCCACCGACTCCACCCACACCGACTCCACCCACACCAACTCCACCCACACCAACTCCACCCACACCAACTCCACCCACACCACCTCCACCGACTCCACCCACACCACCTCCACCGACTCCACCCACACCAACTCCACCCACACCACCTCCACCGACTCCACCCACACCAACTCCACCCACACCAACTCTACCCACACCCACTCAACCAAAACCCACACCACCTCCACCGACTCCACCCACACCACCTCCACCAACTCCACCCACACCAACTCCACCCACACCACCTCCACCGACTCCACCCACATCACCTCCACCAACTCCACCCACACCAACTCCACCCACACCACCCCCACCGACACCACCCCCACCAACTCCACCCACACCACCCACACCAACTCCACCCACACCGACTCCACCCACACCACCTCCACCGACTCCACCCACACCGACTCCACCCACACCAACTCCACTCACACCACCCCCACCGACTCCACCCACACCACCTCCACCCACACCAACTCCACCCACACCACCTCCACCAACTCCACCCACACCCACTCTACCCACATCCACTCCACCCCCACCAACTCCACCCACTCCACCCACACCAACTCCACTCACACCACCCCCACCGACTCCACCCCCACCAACTCCACCCACACCAACTCCACCCCCCCACCCCCACCCACTCTACCCCCACCCACTCCACCCCCACCAACTCCACCCACACCATCCACACCCACTCTACCCCCACCAACTCCACCCACACTACCCACACCCACTCTACCCACACCCACTCTACCCACATCCACTCTAACCACACCACCTCCACCCACACCACCTCCACCGACTCCACCCACACCACCTCCACCAACTCCACCCACACCAACTCCACCCACACCACCCCCACCGACTCCACCCCCACCAACTCCACCCCCCCCACCCCCACCACCGAGTAAGTAAACGCACCCCACCCCTCGCGCTGCCTAGGTTACCATGGCGAATACTGGCAACCCGGTGCTGCACTGAACCACACAGACCTGCACTGACCTGCACTGAACTACAACAACCTGCACTGAACCACACACACCTGCACCGACCTGCACAGACCTGCACTGAACCACACTGAACTACACCGGCCTGCACTGACACCGCCCGCGTTTCTGAACACACTCGGCTGCACCGGTTCTCCTGTCACCTTCCTCTCAGTGTAATTCCCAACATGCATCTCTCCACGCCTTCATCACCACCGTGGTCTATCCACTGTTGGATGAAGATCAGTGTCTCTACCCTGCGTGTGTCCTCTCCTCCACGTGCTCCCTTCTCCATGCCTCTCCTCAAAGCGATTCCTGGCCTGTATCTCTGCCTGCTTCTCTGCGCCCTTCCCAGCCACCACCCTTTCCTAACCATTCAGGCGTCACACAATTGGCGGCACCCACAAACGCGGTCCCCCATCTGCGTGCCATCAAACCCAACCGCAGCTCACGAGCGGCCCGGATTTGGCAAGAGGCACGATATCAGCCGTGCACACGATGCGCGACGCCATTCACCAACAGCGGTGCACGGGACACTAATTGTGGCAGTTTATTTTTTAATGCGCAACTCAATAAAGTAACACAGACCGCCACCCCCCCCCACCCCGGCCTTCTCGTCTCTCACCGCCACGAGGCCCCAGCGGAGACCGGTCCTGCCGATTGACCGTGAACAGGCAAATACTGAATTCACAACAAACAAACGCGTGTTGTTCCCGGCACGGAAACAGGAGGATTGGTTTCTATTTTTTTTCTGGACCGCAGAACCGGAGCTGTAAACGTCTCAAAACGTCGCGAGCGGTGACATTTTTGGCAGCGCGGCGAGAAGGCGGCGGTGGTGGGGGGGGGGGGGGGGGTGAGGCAAGCAATGGGGAGAAGTCCGTTGCGGTGAGGTGGGAGAGCTGCGCCGGGTGGGTGCAGGAGGGGGCCAGGGAAAGCAATGAGATGGCGTGGCAGGGGACTGAGACGGGCACCGGGGCGTGGCAGCCAAGCGCCATCAGGAAGAGCTGAAGCCAGATGGTGGTGACAGACGATGGCGGTCAGGATGATGGTGATGAAGACAATGATAATGGTGATGAAGACAATGATGATGGTGATGAAGACGATGATGATGGCGGTGGTGGTGAAGACGATGATGATGATGGCGGTGGTGGTGAAGACGATGATGATGATGACGGTGGTGGTGAAGACGATGATGATGATGACGGTGGTGGTGAAGACGATGATGATCATGGCGGTGGTGGTGAAGACGATGATGATGGCGGTGGTGGTGAAGATGATGATGGCGGTGGTGGTGAAGATGATGACGATGGCGGTGATGGTGATGACGATGATGATGGCGGTGGTGGTGAAGATGATGATGGCGGTGGTGGTGAAGATGATGACGACGACGGTGGTGGTGATGACGGTGGTGATGGTGACGACGGTGACGACGACGGTGATGACGACGACGGCGGCGACGATGCTACGACAGGGATCCCCAAAGGACGCGCCACATCGGCACAGGGGCAGTAACGAGTAGGAGGGGTGGGAGTTGAGTCGGTCCTTAGGGGAGGCGCCCCCCACTGGGGGGGGGGCCCGGGGGGCGGGGCTCAGACCCAGACGACGCGCCCGTTGACGAGCGTGGCGTTGCCGCGGGCGACCAGCTCCAAGGCGGCGGGGAAGGCGCGGTGCTCGGCCTCGCGCACGCGGGCACCCAGCGTCTCCTCCGTGTCGCCCGTCTCCACGGCGACCGCCTCTTGCGCCACGATGCCCCCCGTGTCCACCTCCTCCTGCGGTGGGGTGGGGGTGAGGGCCGGGGGGCGTGGAGGGGGGGGGCACAGAGATGCGTAGAGATATAAACACGCGTCCGTCTGTACTCGTCTCTTCTCTAGCCTGTGCCACTCACTCCCCCACCCATTCATTCATTCACGAGCCCATATTTTCTCTATCCTGTGCCACTCATCCACTCGCTCACCCACTCCCCCACCCATTCATTAATTCACGAGCCCATCTTTTCTCTATCCTGTGCCACTCATCCACTCGCTCACCCACTCGCTCACCCACCCACTCATTTATCAGCAAATCTTTTCTCTACCCTGTGCCACTCACCCACTCATCAGTCAATTTCTTCTCCAGCCCGTGCCATGCCCGTTTAGCCCCCTCTATCCGGCCAGACAGAAGCTGCTTGTGTGCATGCGGTGGCTGGGCCAGCGAGCGACACGGCCCAGCCAGTGCAGCCTCGCCTGCCAGAGGAGCTCACCGATGGCTCTGTGTCCAGATCTCTCGATGATTTGTGAGCTACTCACACAATCCAGCCGGGTTAAACCCAGGATGGATCGTAGGCAGGGCAGCCTGAATGTTTCTAATTGGCACAGATGTTCCTTGAGAGGGGTCCCACGTTTTGCGAGCGTTAAGAGAAAGGAGGGCATCACTGCGGCCGAGAAGACACGGAGCTTCGTGTGGAGCGACAGGCCAGGCAGCTTCCACTCAGCAGGTGCCATGGGTTGACCAAATGAGATGACTGGCAGATGCACCACCTGTGCTCCCCACTGTGCCAACTCGCTGCTGCGTTTTAGCCGCCCGGCACTTTGATCGTTGTTGTGAGCACGTAAATCCACACGTACGTCCTGGTGAGGGTCGGGAGGGTGGTGAGGGTGGTGAGGGTGGTGAGGGTGGTGAGGGTGGTGATGCTGGTGAGGGTGGTGAGGGTAAGGAGGGTGGAGGAGGGGTTGGTGAGGACGGGGGGTGGTGAGGACAGGGGGCACCCCTCACCGACACGAAGTGCACGGTGCAGCCAGTGACGCGGGCGCCCGCCTGCAGCGCTTGGCGGAGGGCGTGGGTGCCACGGAACGCGGGCAGCAGCGACGGGTGAATGTTCAGCATGCGGCCTGCGGGCGCGGAGAGACACGGGGGGAGAGAGACACGGGGTGAGAGAGACACGGGGGGAGAGAGAGACACGGGGGGAGAGAGAGACACGGGGGGAGAGAGAGGCACAGGGGGAGAGAGACACGGGGGGAGAGAGACACGGGGGGAGAGAGACACGGGGGGAGAGACACGGGGGGAGAGAGAGGCACAGGGGGAGAGAGACACGGGGGGAGAGAGACACGGGGGGAGAGAGAGACACGGGGGGAGAGAGAGACACGGGGGGAGAGAGAGGCACAGGGGGAGAGAGACACGGGGGGAGAGAGACACGGGGGGAGAGAGACACGGGGGGAGAGACAGGGGGGGAGAGAGAGGCACAGGGGGAGAGAGACACGGGGGGAGAGAGACACGGGGGGAGAGACACGGGGGGAGAGAGACACGGGGGGAGAGAGACACGGGGAGAGGGACATGGGGGGAGAGACACGGGGGGAGAGACACGGGGGGAGAGAGAGGCACAGGGGGAGAGAGACACGGGGGGGGAGAGACACGGGGGGAGAGACACGGGGGGAGAGAGAGGCACAGGGGGAGAGAGACACGGGGGGAGAGAGACACGGGAGGAGAGAGACACGGGGGGAGAGAGACACGGGGGCGGGGGGAGAGAGACACGGGGTGAGAGAGACACGGGGGGAGAGAGACACGGGGGGAGAGAGACACGGGGGGAGAGAGACCAGGGGTTTAGAGAGACACGGGGGGAGAGAGACACGGGGTGAGAGAGACACGGGGGGAGAGAGACAGAGACATAGTTGGAGAGAGAGACATGGGGTGAGAGAGACACGGGGAGGGAGAGAGAAAGGCACGGGGAGAGAGAAAGACATGGAGAGAGAGACAAACACAGGGAGAGATGCGAGAAGAGAGAGACACCTGGACACGTGTAGAATACACAGAGAGACGAGGAGACACGGGGACATACGGGCGTGCACGGTGATGCACGCACACACGCACGCACACACGCACGCACGCACACGCACACACGCACGCACACACGCACGCACACACGCACGGACACACGCACGGACACACGCACGGTGATGCACGCACACGCACGGACACACACGCACGGACACACGCACGGGTACCAATGTCTGTGCAGAGGTGTTGATGACCTTGGGGGGGGGGGGTAGGGTGATAGGAGGGATCGGTGGAGGGGGTTGGAGGGGAGGGGGCTGGAGTGGTGGGGGGGGGGGCTGGAGTGGGGGGAGGGGGCTGGAGTGGTGGGGGGGGGGGCTGGAGTGGGGGGAGGGGGCTGGAGTGGTTGGGGGGGGGGTTACCCTGCCACTTGCGCACGAAGGGGGGTGTGAGGATGCGCATGAAGCCTGCGAGGCAGACGACGTCGACGGAGAACTCGGCCAGCACGCCGTCGATGTCCGACTCAAACTCACTGCGACTGCCGTACTGCCGGTGGTCACACACCTGCACAAAGACAAAGATCCCCCGTGTAGCCTTGACAGACTGTAGGGGCAAGTGCTGTTAGAGAGCGGCACCTATGAAGGCCGGAATGGTCCACGAGGGGGTGGGTGGCCATCACCACGCCGACGGCCTTTGTCTCCCCAGTGACGATGTTTACTACGCATCGCACCAGGTACTCATTTGAGGCTGAGTCGACCTAGGGGAGGCCCAGCACCGGCTCAGATAATCATCACTGGTGGTGTTGGCCGCGAGCGGGAATCGAACTCGGGTCACTGGATTCTAGATTTAAAGCTTTCGTGACTGCTAGGATCCATACTCTTTGGTTCTATTGGGTAAAGTCACGTAGGTGAAAATAAAATAACAAAAAAATTAACAAAAAATCACGACGTTTCGGCCACAACACAAGCGGTCTCGTCCCTTCACCTGATGAAGGCCGCTTGTGTTGTGGCCGAAACGTCGTGATTTTTTGTTAATTTTTTTGTTATTTTATTTTCACCTACGTGACTTTACCCAATAGAACCAAAGAGTTCGGGTCACTGGGTTCGTAGCGCAGCGTAGCGCAGCGTAGCGCTACCCGCTACACTACTGCTCCCCACACACATAGACACAGACAACACACACACACATAGATAGACACACAGAGCCATTGACGCACACAGCGATCTATGTATGTTGAACTTCTTTTCGCGCCACATGTAGCCAACTGTGCTAAGACAATCAGAGGTACATACACAGAGTGCGCGTGGGGGTACCCGCGTGGCTGTGTCTGTGGGGGTTCCCACGTGGCTGTGTGTGTCTGTGGGGGTACCCGCGTGGCTGTGTGTCTGTAGGGGTACCCGCGTGGCTGTGTGTCTATGGGGGTACCCGCGTGGTTGTGTCTGTGTCTGTGGGGGTACCCGCGTGGCTGTGTCTGTAGAGGTACCCGCGTGGCTGTGCGTCTGTAGGGGTACCCGCGTGGCTGTGTGTGTCTGTGGGGTTACCCGCGTGGCTGTGTCTGTAGGGGTACCCACGTGGCTGTGTGTCTGTGGGTGTACCCGCGTGGTTGTGTGTGTCTGTAGGGGTACCCGCGTGGCTGTGTCTGTAGGGGTACCCGCGTGGCTGTGTGTCTGTAGGGGTACCCACGTGGCTGTGTGTCTGTGGGGGTACCCGCATGGTTGTGTGTGTCTGTGGGGGTACCCGCGTGGCGATGTTGGCGCGGGTGGCCCGTGCCAGCCCCGCGGCTCCCGGGATGTTGGACACGACGAGCACCACCTCGCAGACGCTGGCGCGCGTCGCGTCGCGAGTGTGCTCCACCAGCGCCTGCAGGTTCGTGCCTACGCACACGTGGCATCAGCAGCAGCAGCAACGTCAACAACATTAACATCATCGTCGTCGTCATCGTCGTCGTCGTCATCGTCATCATCATCATCGTAGTCATCATCATCGTCACCATCGTCGTCGTCATCGTCGTCATCGTCGTCATCATCGTCATCATCGTCGTCATCATCATCGTCATCATCGTCATTATCATCGTCATCATCGTCATCATCATCGTCGTCATCATCATCGTAGTCATCATCGTCTTCATCATCATCATCGTCGTCATCGTCGTCATCGTCATCATCGTCGTCATCGTCGTCTTCGTCATCATCGTCGTCGCCTTTATCGTCATCATCGTCATCATCGTCGTCATCATCGTCAGCAGCATCAGATGCTGATGATGCTGATTGGCGTGGTAGCTACATACGGTGCAAAAGAAGTTCACCAACAGCAGCGTCTTCCACAGCAGCATCGTCATCACTACAATCACCACCACTGTGTACTGATGATGATGGTGATGGTGGTGGAGGTGGTAGAGGTGGTGATGATGGAGGTGGTGATGGTGGAGGTGGTGATGGTGGAGGTAGTGATGGTGGAGGTGATGATGATGGTGGTGATGATGGAGGTGGTGATGGTGGAGGTGGTGATGGTGCAGGTGATGATGATGGTGGAGGTGGTGGTAGAGGTGGTGATGATGGAGGTGGTGATGGTGGAGGTGATGATGGTGGAGGTGGTGGTGGCGGTGATGCCATCACTGACCGGTTCCTGAAATGAGCACTGCCACCCGAACTTTTGGTTTCGTCGTGACCTCTGACCCTGGGGGCACCCAGGCTGCCTCGAGGGCAGAGGTCAACCCAGTGATCTTGATCCTCTCCTCTCCTGCACACACACAGATACAGACAAAGTTTACCCATATAGCCTACACAGACTGTCGGGGCAAGAGCTGTTCAGCGAGTAGCACCTATGAAAGGCCAGCACTCTGGCACACGAGGGGGTGGGTGGGACAGCACCAAGCCCGGCCGCCTTTGTCTCCCCAGCGGCGATGTTTGCACACCACTACACCAGCGACTAATTTGAGGGTGAGTCGACCTAGCGGAGGCCCGGCACCGGTTCAGATAATCGGTGTTGGTGGTTGTGAGCGGCAATCGAACTCTGGTTTGGAAACGAGCGAGCGAGTATGCAAGCGAGTCCGCGAGTAGTACAGCGAGTGAATGAGCGAGTTAGCGAGCGGGTCCATGAGTTGAGGAGCGAGCGAGCGAGCGAGTAGTACAGCGAGTGAATGAGCGAGCGAATGAAACGAGTGAGCGGGTCCATGAGTTGAGGAGCAACTTAGCGAGCGAGTAGTACAGCGAGTGAATGAGCGAGCGAATGAAACAAGTGAGCGGGTCCATGAGTTGAGGAGCAACTTAGCGAGCGAGTAGTACAGCGAGTGAATGAGCGAGCGAACGAGCGAGTGAGCGGGTCCATGTGTTGAGGAGCGGGCGAGCGGGCGGGCGGGCGAGCGACGGTGCGATCTCCCGACTCCACCTTTGTCGACGGGGACGACTTGGCCCACGACCCACGCGCGCTCGCCCGCCTCGCGCAGCGCGTCCACCACCCCCGGCGCCGCCGCCGAGTGGCACACGAGGGCGGCGCCCACGCCCAGGTTGAAGGTGCGCGCCATCTCCTGCTCGGGCACGTGCCCCGCGCGCCACAGCCAGCCGAACACCGGCGCCACCTCCCACAGCGACGCGTCTGTGCCGGGGGTCGGGAAGTGCGGCGCAGCAGCAGCAACAGCGAGAGCACGATTCATTTAAGCCCGTGACAGCGAGTGTGTGCGTGTGTGAGTGAGTGAGCGTGTAAATGTGTGAGTGAGCGTGTGAGTGTGCGTGTGTGAGTGAGTGAGCGAGTAAATCAGTTAGCAAGTGAGCGTGTGAGCGAGCGTGTGAGTGAATGCGTGAGTGAGCGCGTGAGTGAGTGAGCGTGTGAGTGAGTGAGCGTGTCAGTGAGCGTGTGAGTGAGTGAGCGTGTGAGCGAGTGAGTGAGCATGTGAGTGAGCGAGTAAGTGAGTGAGTGAGTGAGTGGGCGAGCGTGAGAGTGAGCGAGTAAGTGAGTAAGTGAGTGGGTGAGTGAGCGAGTGAGTGAGCGTGTGAGTGAGCGAGTAAGTGAGTGAGTGAATGAGTGAGTGTGTGAGTGAGTGAGTGTGTGAGTTAGCGAGTGAGTGAGTGAGTGAGCGAGTAAGTGAATGAGTGAGTGAGCGTGTGAGTGAGCGAGTAAGTGAGTGAGTGGGCGAGCGTGAGAATGAGCGAGTAAGTGAGTGAGTGAGTGAGCGTGTGAGTGAGTGTGTGAGTGAGTGAGCGAGTGAGTGAGTGAGTGAGCGAGTAAGTAAGTGAGTGTGTGAGTGAGTAAGTGAGTAAGTGAGCGAGCGAGTGAGTAAGTGGGCGTGTCAGTGAGCGAGTAAGTGAGTGAGTGAGTGGGCGAGTAAGTGAGTGAGTGAGCGTGTGAGTGAGTGTGTGAGTGAGTGAGCGAGTGAGTAAGTGAGTGAGTGAGCGATTGAGTAAGTGAGCGTGTCAGTGAGCGAGTAAGTGTGTCAGTGAGCGTGTGAGTGAGCGAGTAAGTGTGTGAGTGAGCGTGTGAGTGAGTGAGTGAGTGAGCGAGCGAGCGAGTGAGTGAGCGCGTGAGTGAGCGAGTAAGTGAGTGAGTGAGTGGGCGAGCGTGAGACCGAGTGTGGCCCCCAGGCCGGGCGGCAGGCCCCGCGTGACGTTCCCAGGTAGGCCCCCGCCCGTGATGTGGCTCACGGAGTGCACGGCGTCGCCACGCAGCACGGGGAGCAGCGAGCGCACGTAGATACGCGTGGGCACCAGCAGCGCCTCTCCTGCACGCACACACACACACACACAAAGGTCCCCCGCGTAGCCTTCAGTAGGTCGGTGGGGCAAGTGCCGTGAGCGAGTTGCAGCACCAATGAAGGCCGGCACGGCGCACGAGGGGGTGGTGGGGGTTGGCCAGCACAGCCCCGGGTACTCATTTGAGGCCGAGTCGACCTAGGGGAGGCTCGAGGACTGGTTCTGATCATCGCCACTGGTGTGTGTCTCTCCGCGTCTCCCCGCGTGCCCCCTCCCCCCGCCCCGGCTCACCCAGGGTGGTGCCGTCGGCGCAGAACGGCGCCGGCTCCCCGTAGGCGGCGCCGGCGCGCTCCACCACGCGGCGCGCCAGGCTGAAGCCGTTGCTGTGCAGGCCCGAGGAGGCGACGGCCACCACGGCGTCGCCCGCCCGCACCGCGCCCAGCCGCGGCAGGCACCGCGCCCGCTCCACCGCGCCCACCGCGAAGCCCGCCAGGTCGTGGGCGCCGGGCGGGTACGCGCCGGGCATCTCCGCCGTCTCGCCGCCTGCGGGGGGCGGGTGGGAAGGGCACGCGGGCGCACGGGGACACGGACAAGAGGGCGCGTGGGCACGTGGATGTACCAATCACTCATTCACGCAGCCACCCTCTCACCCAGAAACCCACCCAGCCACTCACCCACCCAGCCACCCACCCAACCACCCACCCAGTCACCCTCCCAGCCACCCTCCCAGCCACCCTCCCAGCCACCCTCCCAGCCACCCACCCACCCAGCCACTCACCCACTCAGCCACCCACTCAGCCACCCACCCAGCCACCCACCCAACCACCCACCCAGCCACCCTCCCAGCCACCCTCCCAGCCACCCACCCACCCAGCCACCCAGCCACTCACCCACTCAGCCACTCACCCAGCCACTCACCCAGCCACCTACCCAGCCACCCAGCCACCCACCTAGCCACTCAGCCACCCACCCAGCCACCCAGCCACCCACCCAGCCACCCAACCGCCCAGCCACCCACCCAGCCAGCCAGCCACTCACCCATTCAGCCAGTTACCCACCCAGCCACTCACCCAGCCACTCACCCACCCACCCACCCACCGGCCGACCCGCCGACCCACTCACCGGCGAGCGAGCAGTTTGCGAGCGAGCAGGCGCGCGCGATGCCGCCGATGATGCGGCGTGCGCTGGGCGGGTGGAGGCGCCCGCAGGAGAGGTAGTCGAGGAAGAAGAGCGGCTCGGCGCCGTGGCACAGCACGTCGTTCACGCACATGGCCACCAGGTCCTGGCCCACACCCTCCAGGCGCCCACACTCCTCCGCCACCTGGGGGAGGGGGGGCCGGGAGAAGTGGGGTAAGGGGGAGAACGGTGAGAGTTGAGTTCATGGTGGGGGGGAGGGAGGAGGGCAGGGCGGGGCAGGGGAGGTGGGGAGGGAGGGACAGGGGAGGGAGGGGGGAGGGGCAGGGGAGGGAGGGGGGAGGGGCAGGGGAGGGAGGGGGGAGGGGCAGGGGAGGGAGGGGGGAGGGGCAGGGGAGGGAGGGGGGAGGGGCAGGGGAGGGAGGGGGGAGGGGAGGGAGGGGCAGGGTTGGTGGGGGAGGGGCAGGGGAGGGAGGGGTGAGGGGCAGGGGAGGGAGGGGCAGGCAGGGGAGGGAGGGGGGGCAGGGAAGGGAGGGGCAGGGGAGGGAGGGGCAGGGGAGGGAGGGGCAGGGGAAGGAGGGGCAGGGGAGGAAGGGGGGAGGGGCAGGGTTGGTGGGGGAGGGGCAGCACCTTGAGCTTGGTGCCCACTCCGTCGGTGCCGGACACCAGGATGGGGTCGGTGAATCCGGCCGCCTTGAGGTCAAAGAACGCCCCGAACCCCCCCAGCTCGCTCCCACAGCCTGCTCGCCCACGCACACAGACGCAGGTGCCCCAGGTAGCCCACGCAGGTCGGCGCGGCAAGTGATGGGGGTGGGTGGCCAACGCCCCGCCCGGCCGCCTTTGTTTCCCCTGGTGGCGATGTTTACTACGCACCGCACCGGGAACTCATTTGAGGCCGAGTCGACCCAGGGGGAGGCCCAGGATCGATTCAGATACTCGTCACTGGTGGTGTTGGCCGTGAGCGGGAAGCAAACTCAGGTCGCCGGGTTCGTAGCGCAGCGTAGCGCTAACCGCTGCACTACCGCTCCCCACACACACTCACCCACTCACCCCGACTCACCCCGACTCACCCCGACTCACCCCGACTCACCATGACTCACCCACTCACCATGACTCACCCACTCACCCTGACTCACCCACTCACCCTGACTCACCCACTCACCCCGACTCACCATGACTCACCATGACTCACCCACTCACCCCGACTCACCCACTCACCCCGACTCACCATGACTCACCCACTCACCCTGACTCACCCACTCACCCTGACTCACCCACTCACCCTCTCACCCACTCACCATGACTCACCCACTCACCCCGACTCACAATGACTCACCCACTCACCCCGACTCACCATGACTCATCCACTCACCATGACTCACCCATTCACCTTGACTCACCCACTCACCCCAACTCACCCCGACTAACCATGACTCACCATGACTCACCCACTCACTATGACTCATCCACTCACCCCGACTCACCCACTCACCCCGACTCACCATGACTCACCATGACTCACCATGACTCACCCACTCACCATGACTCACCCACTCACCATGACTCACCATGACTCACCCTGACTCACCCTCTCACCCCGACTCACCTGGCCTCGCCGTGGCTGCTGCGAGGGGTTTGATGGAGGTCACCAGCGCGTCTGCTGCATCGATGTCCACGCCGCTGCCGGCGTACGTCAGTGGCCTGGGGCGGGGGATGGGAGGGGTGCAGAGGACATCATCGTCACCACTACCATCACCACCATCGTCACCAACATCATCATCATCACTACCATCATCACCACTACCATCACCATCATTATCACCACTACCATCGTCACCACCATCGTCACCACCATCATCATCACCACCATCGTCACCACCACCATCGTCACCACCACCATCATCATCATCATCACTACCATCGTCACCACTACCATCACCACCATCGTCACCACTACCATCACCACCATCGTCACCACCACCATCATCATCATCACTACCATCATCACCACTACCATCACCATCATTATCACCACTACCATCGTCACCACTACCATCACCACCATCATCACTACCATCACCACCATCGTCACCACCACCATCATCATCACTACCATCACCACCATCATCACCACTACCATCACCATCATTATCACCACTACCATCACCACCATCATCACCACTACCATCACCACCATCATCACCACCACCATCATCATCATCATCACCACCATCACCACCATCATCATCACTACCATCACCACCATCATCACCACTACCATCACCATCATCATCATCACTACCATCACCACCATCATCATCACTACCATCACCACCATCATTATCACTACCATCACCACCATCATCATCACTACCATCACCACCATCGTCACCACTACCACCACCATCACCCTCATCACTACCATCACCACCATTACCACCACCACCATCGTCACCACCATCATCATCATCATCATCACCACCATCACCATCATCATCACCATCATCACCACCATCGTCACGACTACCATCACCACCATTGTCACCACTACCACCACCATCACCATCATCACCACCATCATCATCACTACCATCACCACCACCATCACCACTACCACCACCATCACCACCACCACAACCACCACAACCGTCTTTTATTCCCCCCAAGCCCTTACAACAACGACCTTGCTCAGTGCCCACACTTACACATCGCTGCTGTCATAACGGTGCTGCTTGTTGCTGGCCGCTTGGCGTTTTGGGCCTTTCGGATGGTGTCCGGGCGCCATGTTGGCTACCTCGCGTAGTACACAGGAGGTCGTGGGTTCCATCCCGACCTTGACACTACCTGCTGTATATTTAGAATTTGCGTGTCTCTCTCTCATCATCATCACGGTGGCTGGGAGATGTTGACTACCTCGCCTGGTATACAGGAGGTCGTGAGTTCGATCCCGACCCTGACGACCCCTGCTGCTGCTGTATATTTGGAGTCTCTCTCTCTCTCCCCCCGTGGTCTGGATCCTCCGGTTTTTCCCTCCACATTTAGAATCAACATCACCACGCGTTTAGAGAATGTAGCTGCTGCTATAAATGTCCACGTGATGACGATGAGTCACTGGCCGAGCGATCATTCGTGACACCCAGGGCGGTGCAGCTCAGCGAGCGCTTACCCGCTAACAAATAATAAAGTAGTTTAGTTTATCGTCATCGACCCGCGTAGCTATCGACGCGGGGGAGGAACGTCCCGGGCGTCTCACGGTAGTAGCGGCGCGGCCTCGCGGGGCCCCTCGGCGAGGCCCCTGTGCGCAATGTCGCGCCGATGGAAGGCGCCCTGGAAGTGGATCGCCGCGACGCCGGAGGTCGCGAGAGCCAGGGCGGCGCGGAGGTCGCGACCCACGGCCGTGACGGAGAGGACGCGGCCGCCGCTCGTCACGAGCTGCTGCCTCCAACCGTCGTCGTCATCGTCGCCTGCTGCTGCTGCTGCTGCTCCTCCGCCTGCTCCTCCTCCTCCTGCTCCTCCTCCTCCTCCGCCTGCTGCTGCTGCTCCTCCCCCTACACCCGCCGCTCGCGTCTTGGTGGCCCCGTGGAAGACGAGGCAGCCCAGCTCTTGGGCCCGGCTGATGCCTGTGCCGGGACGGAGAGAGAGAGGGGAGATGGAGAGTGAGCGATGGAGAGCGGGAGATGGAGAGCGGGAGATGGAGAGCGAGAGGAGAGAGCAAGAGATGGAGAGCAAGAGAGATGGACAGAGAGAGATGGGCAGAGAGAGATGGAGAGCGAGAGGAGAGAGATGGAGAGTGAGAGATGGAGAGTGGGAGATGGAGAGTGGGAGATGGAGAGTGGGAGATGGACAGAGAGAGATGGAGAGTGGGAGATGGAGAGCGGGAGATGGAGAGTGGGAGATGGAGAGCGGGAGATGGAGAGCGAGAGGAGAGAACAAGAGATGGAGAGCGGGAGATGGAGAGCGGGAGATGGAGAGTGGGAGATGGAGAGCGGGAGATGGAGAGCGAGAGGAGAGAACAAGAGATGGAGAGCGGGAGATGGACAGTGAGAGATGGGCAGAGAGAGATGGAGAGCGAGAGGAGAGAGATGGAGAGTGAGAGATGGAGAGTGGGAGATGGAGAGCGGGAGATGGAGAGCGAGAGATGGAGAGTGGGAGATGGACAGAGAGAGATGGAGAGTGGGAGATGGAGAGCGAGAGAGATGGGCAGAGAGATATGGAGAGCGAGAGGAGAGAGCGAGAGAGATGGAGAGTGAGAGATGGAGAGTGGGAGATGGAGAGAGAGAGATGGAGAGCGAGAGGAGAGAGCGAGAGAGATGGGCAGAGAGAGATGGAGATGGAGAGAGAGAGATGGAGAGTGGGAGAGACGGCATCTCACTACTACCACCAGCGCGTTAAACGAGGCACTTACCCTGTCGATGTTTTGTATTACGTCAGAGCTGTCGTTATCACGGAGACAGACGGACCGCCCCCTCTGACCCGCGATGGCGAACCCAATGCGGCGGCGGCGCGGCGGTTGCCACGGCAGCAGTTATCGCGGTTGCCGTGGCGACGGTCCCCCCCCCTCCCTTCCCCGCCCGCCTCACCTGCGATGGGAAATCCGGTGGGCGCGTCGCCCGGGTAACCGCGGCTGGCCATCACCACGGTGACGGCGGAGCGCCCGCTCCACCACTCGACGCGCTCGTCGGCCAGCGAGCCCCCGCTGGCGCACGCCCGCACCACGGCGTACACGTCCGACTTGAGCAGCGGCAGCAGCACCTGCGGGGGGCGCGGCGGGGGGGGTGGGGGGTCAAAGGTCGTCGTGAGGTCGTCACACAGGTTCAGGAGATGTATGATTTGCAAGGGTGAGTGGGTGGGTCGGTGAGAAGTGTGAGTGAGGGAGTGATTGGGTGGGTGGGTGAGTGGGTGAATGAATGAGTGGGTGGGCGAGTGGGTGGAGGGCGACTGCCTCCGACTGCACTGCAGCGTCCTGCACAGAGGTCAATCTTGACACGGCTGGTACCAGTCATCGACAAGTTCACTCAGCTACACGTCCTCCTGCACCGCATCACTCCATCTCTTCTCTAGCCCGTGCCCGTTTTGCCCCCTCGATCCGGCCAATCAGAAGCTGCTTGGGACAAGCGGTGGCTGGGCAGGTGGGCTACATGACCCAGCCAACGCAGCTTTCCCTGCCAGAGGAGCTCGCCGATGATGGGACTGTGTCCAGATCGCTCAGGGATCTGTGAGCTCCTCACACAATCCAGTCTTGTTAAACCCAGGATGGATCACAGCAAGGGTAGCCTGAATGTTTCAAATCGGCTCCACGTATGTGTACAAAGACAAAGACACCCCGTGTAGCCTTTACAGATCGTTGCTGCAAGCGCTGTCAGCGAGTAACACCTATGAAGGCCAGCACGGCCACACAAGGGGGTGGATGGCCAGAACCAAGCCCAGCCGCCTTTGTTTCCCCAGTGGCGAGATGTTTATACACAGCACCGGGTACTCATTTGAAGCCAAGTCGACACAGGGGAGGGACTAGGACCGGTTCAGATAATTGTCTGAACCGGTCCCGAGCTCGTATCGCAGCGCACTAACTGCTGAACCACCGCTCCCCACGTGCATGTACACACACGCACACACGCGCGTGTGTGTGTGTGCGTGTGTCCACACGCACACGCAAGCACGCGCGTACAAAACGCGCGGAAGTACGCACCTGGCACTCGGGATCTCCAAAGCGACAGTTGAACTCCAGGACTTTGGGCCCGGCCTTTGTGAGCATCAGTCCAGCGTAAAGCACGCCTGCACACGGACAAACGCGCACGGACACGCACACGCACACACAGGCACTCAGGGATGGAAGCTCCAAGAGCAATGAACACGGCAGCTGTGGCTCCCGCCAACAACAACTGCGGCGGACGAGCAGTGCACACGCCGTTGAGCGTGTGCGCACGGTGTGTGTGTGTGCACGGTGTGTGTGTGTGCGGTGTGTGTGTGTGTGCACGGTGTGTGTGTGTGTGTGCACGGTGTGTGTGTGTGTGCACGGTGTGTGTGTGTGTGTACGGTGTGTGTGTGTGTGTGCACGTGTGTGTGTGTGTGTGCACGGTGTGTGTGTGTGCACGGTGTGTGTGTGTGTGCACGGTGTGTGTGTGCGTGTGTGTGTGTGCACGGTGTGTGTGTGTGTGCACGGTGTGTGTGTGTGTGCACGGTGTGTGTGTGTGTGTGTGCACGGTGTGTGTGTGTGTGCACGGTGTGTGTGTGTGTGTGTGCCAGGGCGGAGCCAGGCCGCGTCGAGGGGAATAAAAGCAGCGGAGAGCCTGGAGAGCTCCAGGCTGCCGGGTTCTGGGAGTGGACTCGACTCGTTGTCATCGTCTTCGTCGTCGTCTTCGCTAGATACTGCGCGGCTGGACGGTTGTTGGCTGTCTCGGTCGACGCCGTCGATGCTACACGGTCAGGGTCGTGTTAAGGCCAGGCCAGACGACTAAGGGGAGCGCGAGGGCGAACCTGTGAACCTGAAGGTGTTAATAAAGAAGGTGCTCTTGAAAAACCTCGTCTCCCGCTCCGCCGGCACTACACAAGTGTCGGAGAGCATCCATAGCTCGGGCTGAGCAGGTAACAGTGATGAGACCCTTGGTTGCGAGTATCATGATGCCTTGCAATCAGCGTCGATTTGGTGTGTACGTATGTACGTGGAACTTCTTTCGCACCGTGCGAAGCCAACCGTGCCAATCGGACTTGAGGGTGAAAGGACAATAAACACTAAACACGAACAGTAGCTCTAAACAAATGAGTTTTCAATCTAGAACAAATAAAAGCACGAATAACATTCACATCTGAACAACTCCCGCATTTATGCCGGAGTGGCTAAAGTATTTTCGTATTTTTAACCCTTTCCCAATCCAATGACGTACGCCTGCATTTTTTCTAAAATTTAATTACTTTATCGGTACCGAGGCTCCTGCAAGGCCACTCGGGAGGGAGTGTGGCACGGTTTGGTGAGGGAGTGTGGCACGGTTTGGTGAGGGAGTGTGGCACGGTTTGGGAGGGAGTGTGGCACGGTCTGGGAGGGAGTGTGGCACGGTTTGAGACGGAGTGTGGCACGGTTTGGGAGGGAGTGTGGCACGGTTTGGGAGGGAGTGTGGCACGGTTTGGGAGGGAGTGTGGCACGGTTTGGGAGGGAGTGTGGCACGGTTTGGGAGGGAGTGTGGCACGGTTTGGGAGGGAGTGTGGCACGGTTTGGTGAGGGAGTAGTGTGGCACGGTCTGGGAGGGAGTGTGGCACGGTTTGGGAGGGAGTGTGGCACGGTTTGGGAGGGAGTGTGGCACGGTTTGGTGAGGGAGTGTGGCACGGTCTGGGAGGGAGTGTGGCACGGTTTGGTGAGGGAGTGTGGCACGGTTTTGGCATCAGCTGAATGGCGGCGGTTGTGTCACTACAGTTCTCTGCGGTGAGTAACGATGGCGCCTCTCTAAATAAAATTAACGCCGAGCAGCTTGTGCGCATTCCGAGCTTCGGCGGTGAACGGGAGACATCACACCCCGCAACTTGCAGATGTCACGGAACGGGGAAAGGTTTAATAATAACAACAACAATAATAAAAGTGCTTCACCAATGTAGGGGTTGCCTTCCTCCATCATCCCGTCCACCGTCTTTTGCAGCACGCAGCGCTGCACCATGGACAGAAAGTCCGCCGGGACCTGGAGAGGGGAGCGCACGCGGAGACGCGTCGAGGTCGCGATGCGTCGGGGCGGCTACAGCGCAGCGAGTTGGCACGGTAGGAGGCAACACCCGGCGGCACATGGCACCTGGGCCTGTCCCGTGAGAGTCCAGTCAGCGGGCGTTCGACACTTCACGTGGCCTCAAAGTCCACACGGCCTGCCACAGGCGTCGTGGTGACGTCACCGCCACTTAGTGGCGAATGGCGGTTGTTGTTGTTGTGCACGTGTGTATATGTGTGGGGAGCAGGTGGTGTAGCGGTTAGCGCGCTGCACTACGAACCTGGCGACCCGGGTTCGATTCCCGCTCACAGCCAACACCAGTGACGATTATCTGAACCGGTCCTGGGCCTCCCCTCGGTCGACTCAGCCTCAAATGAGTACCTGGTGCGGTGTGTAAACATCGCCACTGGGGAGACAAAGGCGGCCGGGCGGAGTGCTGGCCTCCCACCCCCTCGTGTGCCGTGCGGGCCTTTACAGGTGCTGCTCGCTAACAAGCACTTGCCCCTACAGTCTGTTAAGACTATACGGGGGATCTTTGTCCTTGTATGTGCGTGTGCATGTGTGTGTGTGCGTACCTGTGGGGTGGGGGCGTAGGCCCCCATGCCCCCCGTGTTGGGCCCCGTGTCCCCCTCCCCCACGCGTTTGTGATCTTGGGCCGGTGGCATCATCACCACGGAGCGGCCGTCAGTGAAGCACATGCACTACACACGGGCACAGGCAAAGGACGCAGGGTAGCACACACAGGCTGTCGGCACACGAGGTGGTGGGTGGACAGCACCACGCACGGCCGCCTTTGTCTTCCCCAGTGGCGATGTTTTTACACAGACACACACGCAGACACACAAAGACAGACACGTAGACACACACAAGCAGGCACACACACACGTAGACAACAACAACCGCCATTCGCCACTAAGTGGCGGTGACGTCACCACGACGCTTGTGCCAGGCCATGTGCACCTTGAGGCCACGTGAAGTGTCGAACGCCCGCTGGCAGGAGGTCACGGGGCAGACCCAGGTGCCACGGGTCGACTGACTGAGATGACTGAGATGACTGGCTGATGCACCACCTGTGCCCCCTACTGTGCCAACCTGCTGTGCTTTAGCCACCCGGCACTCCGCTCGTTGTTGTGAGCGTCGCTCCTCCGCCCTCCGTTGTTGTTGGAGGGCGACTGCCTCCAACTGACCAGTAGCGTCCTTCACGAGCCTCCTCCACAGAGTCATCGGCAAGTCCACTCAGCTCCACGTCCTCCTGTACCACATCACTCCATCTCTTCTCTAGCCCTTGCCGCGCCCGTTTAGCCCCCTCGATCCGGCCGAACAAAAGCTGTTTCGGCATGCGGTGGCTGAGCATGCGGGCTACATGACCCAGCCAACGCAGCCTGCCAGAGGAGCTCACCAATGGGACCTTGCCCAGATCTTTCAAGGATTTGTGAGCTCCTCACACAATTCAGCCTGGTTAAACCCAGGATGAATCGTAGGCAGGTTAGCCTAAATGTTTCTAACCGGCGAAGATGTTTCATTAAGGGGGTCCACGTTTCGCAAGCGTAGAGAAGGGAGGGAATGACTGTGGCCGAGAAGACCTGAAGCTTAGTGTGGAGCGACAGACCAGGTAGCTTCCACACAGCGTGACGCAACCGTAGACACACACACATAGACACACACACAGACAAACACGCAGACACACAAAGACAGACACACAAAGACAGACAAACACGCAGACACACACGCAGGAACACACACAGACAAAGACACACATACAAAGACACACACACACACAGATACATAGACACACACACAGATACACAGACACACACACACAGACACACACAGACACACACACACAGACACACACACAGAGACATACACAGACACACACACACACACACAGAGACATACACAGACACACACAGACACACACACACACACACAAACACACACAGACACACACAGACACACACACAGACACACAGACACACACACAAACACACACAGACACACACACAGACACACACACAGACACACCCACACACACAGACACACACACACACAGACACACACAGACACAGAGACATACACAGACACACACAAACACACACAGACACAGACACACACACACCCAATGCACAAACTCACGCTGATCTCCTCCCCCTCCAGCACCTCCTCCACCAGCACCGTCTCCCCCGCGTCGCCATGCACGCGGTCCTGCGATATGGGGGGCGGGGGGGGGGGCACGGGGGGAGGTCATGAGGGGTGGGGGACATGAGGAGCATGGGTGGGGGGAGAATAAGAATCAGAATATATATCTAGACTGGGGAATACGATGAGCGATAAAGCTCTTTGTCACAGGCATACAGCAGGAGTGGGTCACAACAACAAACTAAAATACAAACACTAAACCAAGCTAAGAGATTATTTTTCAGAAGCGACCTTGGTATGACTAATGACAGCTCCGCCAAGTGGCTCAACATCACCACCACCATCACCACCATCACCACCATCAACCATCATCATCAACTATCATCAAACATCATCACCACCATCATCATCACCACCACCATCAACATCATCATCACCACCATCATCATCACCACCACCACCACCATCATCACCATCATCATCATCACCACCATCACCACCACCATCACCACCACCATCACCACCACCACCATCACCACCACCACCATCACCACCACCACCACCACCATCACCACCACCACCATCATCACCACCATCATCATCATCACCACCATCACCACCACCATCACCACCACCATCACCACCACCACCATCACCACCACCACCATCACCACCACCACCACCACCATCACCACCACCACCACCACCATCATCACCACCACCATCATCATCATCACCACCATCACGATCATGACCATCAACCATCATCACCACCATCACCACCATCACCACCACCATCACCACCACCACCATCATCACCACCACCATCATCACCACCCTCATCACCATCATCACCATCAACCATCATCACTATCATCACCATCACCACCATCATCACTATCATCACCACCACCATCACCACCACCATCATCACCATCATCATCACCACCATCACCACCACCATCACCACCACCATCATCATCACCACCATTACCACCACCATCAACACCACCATCATCATCACCACCACCACCATCACCACTATCACCACCATCATCACTATCATCACTATCATCACCACCATCATCATCACCACCATCATCACCACCATCATCACCACAACCATCATCACCATCACCACCATCATCACCACAACCATCATCACCATCACCACCATCATCACCACGATCACGTGGACATTTGGGCCCGGGAGGGTGGGGACCCAGGCCGAGGGGTCCCGCCGGCACCTGCATGATCTCCACGACGACCCGGCAGGCCTCCTCGCGGTCCCTGGCCACCACCACCCCCTTGCCTCCGGCGAGGCCGCTCGCCTTGACGACGAGCGGCGCGGGCTCCGTGCTGAGACAAAGACAAAGGTCCCCCGTGTAGCCTTGACAGACTGTTGGGGGCAAGTGCTGTTAGCGAGCAGCTCCTGTGAAGGCCGGAACGGCGCACGAGGGGGTGTGGGGTGGCCGACACCTCGCTCGACCGTACGGAGACGCACACGGAGACACGCGTGGGGATACAGAGACACACGTGGGGACACAGAGACACGCGTGGGGATACAGAGACACACGTGGGGACACAGAGACACGCGTGGGGACACAGAGACACACGTGGGGATACAGAGACACACGTGGGGACACAGAGACACGCGTGGGGACACAGAGACACGCGTGGGGATACAGAGACACACGTGGGGATACAGAGACACACGTGCGGACACAGAGACACGCGTGGGGATACAGAGACACACGTGGGGACACAGAGACACGCGTGGGGACACAGAGACACGCGTGGGGATACAGAGACACACATGGGGACACAGAGACGCGCACGGAGACACGCGTGGGGACACAGAGACACACGTGGGGATACAGAGACACACGTGCGGACACAGAGACATGCGTGGGGATACAGAGACACACGTGGGGACACAGAGACACGCGTGGGGACACAGAGACACGCGTGGGGATACAGAGACACACATGGGGACACAGAGACGCGCACGGAGACACGCGTGGGGACACAGAGACACACGTGGGGATACAGAGACACACGTGGGGACACAGAGACACGCGTGGGGATACAGAGACACACATGGGGACACAGAGACGCGCACGGAGACACGTGTGGGGACACAGAGACACGCACGGAGACACGCGTGGGGACACAGAGACACGCGTGGGATACAGAGACACGCACGGAGACACGCTTGGGGACACAGAGACACGCACGGAGACACGCTGACACGCGGACGGATGGACATTGGACAGACTGACACACGGCCACATGGGCAGACGGACAGACGGACAGACACACGGACACACAGACACATGGAGAGATCTGCGAAGAAGAGAGAACGTGGCATTGTGGGAAACGGCAGGAAGCAGACGAGAGGAAAGCGACGGTCTGCAGCGACAGGACCGCAGCACCCCCAGAGGGGGAAATGCATCCTGGGAAAAAGTGGCCGGACGAGGCAGTGGGCGGCAGTGGGGTTGTGGTGGCAGTCGGAGTGGTGGCGGTTGTGTTCGTGGTTGTTGCCAGTGGTTGTGGCGGTAGTGGTGGCGGTAGTGGTGGCGGTTGTGACGGTTGTAGCGGTAGCGTTAGAGGTGGCGGTTGTGGTGGTGGTTGTGTTGGTAGCCCTTGTAGATGTGGTGGCATTGTTTGTGATGGCAGTGGATGTGGCGGTTGTGGCTGTGATGGGGATAGTTGTGGTGGCGGTGGTGGCGGTGGTGGCGGTGGTGGCGGTGGTGGCGGTGGTTGTGGTGGTGGTGGTGGTGGTGGCGGTGGTGGCGGTGGTGGTTGTGGTGGTGGTGGTGGTGGTTGTGGTGGCGGTGGTGGCGGTGGTGGCGGTGGTGGTGGTTGTGGTGGCGGTGGTGGTGGTGGTGGTTGTGGTGGTGGTGGTGGCGGTGGTGGTGGTGGTTGTGGTGGTGGTGGTGGCGGTGGTGGTGGTTGTGGTGGCGGTGGTGGTGGTGGTTGTGGTGGTTGCGGTGGCGGTGGTTGCGGTGACGTCATACGAGTTGATGTAGGCGCAGGCGGCTCGGGCCTCGGTGAAGGCCGCCCAGCGCGCCGTGGGGATGCCGTGGCGATCCATGAAGGCCTTGGCGAAGGCCTTGCTCGACTCGAGGCGAGCGGCGCGGGCCGAGGGCCCGAAACAACGGACTCCGGCGGCCACCAGATCGTCGCTCACGCCTCGTGGGAGGACGACGAGGAGGAGGGTGACATACAGAGAGAGAGAAGTGGGGGGGGTAGAGGATTCTCACATGAGCGCAGGGCCCACCCCCCCCCCCACCCCAACGTCGAGTGGCCAGCAACAAGCAGCACTGTCCACACGTCACAAGCAACGGCGAGCGTTGCGCACGCCTCCGATTGATCGAGCAAACGAGCCATCGATTGAGGGAACGAGCGACCGAGCGATCAATCGAGCGAACGAGCGAGCGAGGCCAATCGCCGAATCGGCTCCAGCGGCTCCACCCCTTGTGAGGGGGGGGGGGGGGGCCGAGGCCTCCTTCCACCAGCAGCGGCACTTGCTGGGCTGCGCCTTTGCCCCAAGCTGGCGAGGGTTCCAGGAAGGCTCACCGGCGGCGAGCGGAGCCTCGGGCCCGACGACCACCATGGAGACGTTGTGATCGGCGCAGTACTGCACCAGCAGGGAGTGGTTGGCCACCGACACGCCTGGCACGCGCGCACACACGCACACATGTGACGCACGCACACGCGTATACACACACACACACACGTGACGCACGCACACGTGTATACACACACACACGCATGTGACGCACGCACACGCGTATACACACACACACGCATGTGACGCACGCACACGCGTATACACACACGCGTGTGACGCACGCACACGCGTATACACACACACACATGTGACGCACGCACACGCGTACACACACACACACGCATGTGACGCACGCACACGCGTATACACACACGCATGTGACGCACGCACACGCGTATACACACACGCATGTAACGCACGTACACACACGCGCCTGTAACGCGCACAGACACACACACCGGGAATGCACACATACAAACAAAGACAAAGATCCCCCGTGTATCCTTAACAGACTGTTGGGGCCAGTGCTGTTAGCGAGTAGCACCTACGAAGGGCGGCATGGCCGTCACAGCACTAGAACACGTGTCACTTAGTCCGCTTGCTGCACCACCTTCTCCTGGCAGGCCCAGGGGTACGGCTCCTTCTCTGTGCGCGATCCACCAACCCTCGCTGCCGATGCCGCCAGAGTGCCGGCTCACGGCCCCAATGCCGAGCACATCGGCGGCAGCGTGACGACAATCACGAGCCATCGCCACCATCGTCAATGCCATCACTGTCACCATCACCACCATTATCATCGTCGCCATCGTCGTCGTCACTGTCACTGTGCCCCCCCATGCCCCTCCCGTGCCCCCCCCCGTGCCCCCCATGCCCCTCCCGTGCCCCCCATGCCCCCCCCATGCCCCCGTGCGGGCACCCACCAGAGTTCTCGACCTTGCCGCCGTGGGTGGCGGTGCCCCCGTTGCCGGGGGCGACGATGACCTTCTTGACGAGGGGCGACTGGGCGAGCGTCCAGGCCAGGACGTGCTCCCTCGCACCCCCTCCCAGCACCAGCACCGTGTCCATCTGCTCGCGCGCGCACACAGACGCAAAGGTCCCCCGGGTAGCCTCGACCAGGACGCGGGGGCAAGTGCCGTCGGCGAGCGGCGTCGGTGGCGCCTGCGAAGGCCGGCAACGGCGCACGCGACGGGGTGGGTGGCCGGCGAAGCGCCCGACCGTCTTTGTCTTTCCCCAGTGGCGACGTTTACTGCGCAACGCACCGGGTGCTCATTTGAGGCTGAGCCGACCTAGGGGGAGGCCCGGGACCGGTTCAGATAATCGCCAGCGGTGTGGGTGGTGGCCGTGAGCGGGAATTGAACTCGGGTCTCCGCCGGGTTCGTAGCGCAGCGTAGCGCTAAGCACTGCACACACGTGCACACGCACACACACGTGCACACGCACACACACGTGCACACGCACACACACGTGCACACACACACACACACGTGCACACACACGTGCACACGCACACACACACGCACACACACACGTGCACACACCTCACCTCCCCAACTCCCTGCGTCGATGTCCGCCCGTGCGCAGAAACGGAGCCTCACCGATGCCGCGTCGCTCGGCACAACACTCCTGAAGGCCTGGGACACAGAACAAGGCAGCGCTCGCGTTTGTACGTCTGTGTGTGTGTACGTGTGCAAGTGTACGCGTGTGTACGCGCGTGCGTGTGTGTACGCGCGTGCGTGTGTGTACACGTGTGTCGTGTGTGTACGCGTGTGTGTGTATGCGCGTGCGTATGTTCGCGTGCGTCTACGCATGCGCTCCACGCGAGCGCGTGTGTTTGTACGCGTGTGTATTTGCACGTGTGTGTGTGTGTACGCGTGTGTGTGTATGCGTGTGTACGTGTGTGCGTGTGTACGTGTGTGTGTGTGTACGCGTGTGTGTGTATGCGTGTGTACGTGTGTGCGTGTGTACGTGTGTGTGTGTGTACGCGTGTGTGTGTGTACGTGTGTGTGTGTGTACGTGTGTGTGTACGTGTGTGTGTACGTGTGTGTACGCGCGTGTGTGTGTACGCGTGTGTGTGTACGCGTGTGTGTGTACGCGTGTGTGTGTACGTGTGTGCGTGTGTACGTGTGTGTGTGTACGTGTGTGTGTGTGTACGTGTGTGTGTGTACGCGTGTGTGTGTGTACGTGTGTGTGTGTGTACGTGTGTGTGTACACGTGTGTGTGTACGCGTGTGTGTGTACGTGTGCGTGCCGGTGGGGGGGGGGGGGCAGCGGCTCAGCGGTTGGCGCACTGCAAGTGTAAACTTGCAGTGCGAGCCGACAGTTCGATTCCCGCTCACGGCACGACATCGGCGACGATCATCCGAACCGGGCCCCGGACCTCACCGGGGTCGACTCGGCCTCAAATGAGTACCCGGTGCGGTGAACATCGGCATTGGGGAGGGGGGGGGGCGGCGGGGGAGACAAAGGCGGCCGGGGGGTGGTCGTGACCACACCGCGTGCCAGCCTTCGTGGGTGCCGCTCGCCGACGACACTTGCCCCGCCCGCCCACGTGGGCTACGCGGGCGGGCCAGCGGGGGGATCTTTGTCTTTGTTTGGAAGTGGGTCGCAAGCCACTTAATTCCCGAACAAGATTGGGCTATAAACCATTGGTGGGGCGCGTCTCCGTAAATCCTTGCTTTATTGGTAGTAAAAAGTCAAGTATGTATATGTGTACGTGCGTACACGTGTCTCGCACCAATCTCCAAGAGCGGGACGAGGGTGGGAACATCAATTCGCCCCGTGGGATTTACGGGCCGCGACCTCCCCGTGACCTCTGGACCGGCGCTCCGATGGGGACGCCCGTCGAATCGGGGATCTTGATTTGGCGCGCGGGGGATTGGAATCCGATGGGCCACGAAGCTCTTTGTCGAGGGGTGCGTTCCGGCGGGGCGGGGCGCGCGCTCGCCAAACCAAAATAACGAGGAGAGACTTTCCGTACTTTTTATCTTTTGAATTTCGGCGCACGGAACTCGACGGGGGCTCCGGAGCCGCAGCGGCACGAGACGGTGACGCTCGCACCGCCACCGCCGGGTGCGAGCGTCGCGTTCAAGGAGCGTCGCGTTCACGTTCACGTCACGGAGCGTTCCGTCACGGAGCGACGGATGTCGCTCTCGGAGCACCCTGAACTTTAACTTCTCCCGCCGAGGCACGAGTCGTGACCTCTTCATCGTTTTCAGCAGCCGGAAATCTCTCGCGTTCTCCCGCCCCGCCGTAAAGTGATGACTTCGTGATGACTTTTTAACCTCCGTTGCAATCGTAAACAACGATTGATTTTGACGTGAATGTCCGTCCACTCGCCACAAGATCCACTCTCTACAAGATCCACTCCCTACAAGATCCACTCCTCACAAGATCCACTCCACATAAGATCCACTCCCTACAAGATCCACTCTCTACAAGATCCACTCCCTACTAGATCCACTCTCTACAAGATCCACTCTCTACAAGATCCACTCCCTACAAGATCCACTCTCTACAAGATCCACTCTCTACAAGATCCACTCCTTACAAGATCCACTCCCTACTAGATCCACTCTCTACAAGATCCACTCTCTACAAGATCCACTCCCCACAAGAGCCACTCTTTACAAGATCCACTCCCTACAAGATCTACTCTCTACAAGATCCACTCTCTACAAGATCCACTCCCTACAAGATCCACTCTCTACAAGATCCACTCTCTACAAGATCCACTCCCTACAAGATCCACTCTCTACAAGATCCACTCTCTACAAGTCACCACCAGGATGGGACAGGATCAAACATGATTATACTCCCACACTGCATGCTGCTGCTGTTGCTCTGACTATATCAGCGACAGGACCCCAACTCGTGACACACAGCGCCAATCTCTCAGATCTGGCTCCGAATATTTACCCAAGAGGGGAAGAGAGAGGCGAGCCAGGGATCACGAGCCAGGGATCACGAGCCACGCATTCACCTCGCTGTGAAGCCGAATCGATGGCGATGGTTGATGATGGTTACTGCAGACAATAGACACTCAGAAGCATCATATTATTATCAGAGTTGTATTTTTTGTTTGCATTTTGACTGCTTGTGTTGTGGTTATTGCAAACATGATGCCTTGAATAAAGGTGTCAGTTTTTGTGCCAGTTAAAAGGGTAAAACCTATTCCTATAATAGACACTCTCGTTATGGATTTGGGTCCTTCGAATATCACGGTCACGAACAAAGACCTGCTCTCATCACTATCAGCATCATCATCAGCAGAATCATCATCAGCAGCAGCAGCAGAAGCATCATCAGCAGCAGAAGCATCATCAGCAGCAGCAGAAGCAACAGCAGCAGCATCATCAGCAGCAGCAGCAGAATCAGCATCATCATCAGCAGCAGAAGCATCATCATCATCAGCAGCAGCAGAAGCATCATCATCAGTAGCAGCAGAAGCATCATCATCATCAGCAGCAGCAGAATCAGCAGCAGCAGCAGAATCAGCATCATCATCAGTTGCAGAAGCATCATCATCATAAGCAGCAGCAGAAGGATCATCAGCAGCAGCAGAATCAGCATCATCAGCAGCAGTAGAATCAGCATCATCAGCAGCAGCAGCAGCAGCAGAAGCATCATCATAAGCAGAAGCATCATCAGCAGCAGCAGAATCAGCATCATCATCAGCAGCAGAATCAGCATCATCATCAGTTGCAGAAGCATCATCATCAGTTGAAGAAGCATCATCATCATAAGCAGCAGCAGAAGCATCATAAGCAGCAGCAGAATCATCATAATCATCAGCGGCAGAAGCATCACAATCATCAGCAGAAGCATCACAATCATCAGCAGCCTCAGTAGCAGAATCATGAGCCACGGTAAATCCACTGCTAGATGAATAAGTCAAGCCACGATCACCGCGACGACGACGATGTAACGATCCAACGTGCGAAGTCCCCGTGCCTCTCTCTCTCCTCGACTTCACAACTCCTAGCGGGATTCACTGATCTCTCTCACCACTCACACTCTCACCACTCATTCACTCTCTTACCACTCATTCACACTCTCACAGCTCATTCACACTCTCACCACTCACACTCTCACCACTCATTCACACTCTCACCACTCATTCACACTCTCACCACTCATTCACACTCATCATTCATACTCTCACCACTCATTCACACTCTCACCACTCATTCACTCTCTCACCACTCATTCACACTCTCACCACTCATTCACACTCTCACCACTCACACTCTCACCACTCATTCACACTCTCACCACTCATTCACACTCATCATTCATACTCTCACCACTCATTCACACTCTCACCACTCATTCACTCTCTCACCACTCATTCACACTCTCACCATTCACACTCTCACCACTCATTCACACTCTCACCACTCATTCACACTCTCACCATTCACACTCATCATTCACACTCATCATTCATACTCTCACCACTCATTCACACTCTCACCACTCATTCACACTCTCACCATTCACATTCTCACCACTCACTCTCACCACTCATTCACACTCTCACCACTCATTCACACTCTCACCACTCATTCACACTCTCACCATTCACACTCATCATTCACACTCTCACCACTCATTCACACTCTCACCACTCACACGCTCACCATTCACACGCATCATTCACACTCTCACCACTCATTCACACTCTCACCATTCACACTCTCACCACTCATTCACACTCTCACCATTCACACTCATCATTCACACTCATCATTCATACTCTCACCACTCATTCACACTCTCACCACTCATTCACACTCTCACCATTCACATTCTCACCACTCACTCTCACCACTCATTCACACTCTCACCACTCATTCACACTCTCACCACTCACACTCTCACCATTCACACTCATCATTCACACTCTCACCACTCACACGCTCACCATTCACACTCATCATTCACACTCTCACCACTCATTCACACTCTCACCATTCACATTCTCACCACTCACTCTCACCACTCATTCACTCTCTCACCATTCACACTCTCACCACTCATTCACACTCTCACCACTCATTCACACTCTCACCACTCATTCTCACTCTCACCACTCATTCACACTCTCACCACTCACACTCTCACCATTCATTCACACTCTCACCACTCATTCTCACTCTCACCTCTCATTCACACTCTCACCACTCACACTCTCACCATTTACACTCATCATTCACACTCATCATTCACACTCTCACCACTCATTCACATTCTCACCACTCATTCACACTCTCACCATTCACATTCTCACCACTCACTCTCACCACTCATTCACACTCTCACCACTCATTCACACTCTCACCACTCACACTCTCACCACTCACACTCTCACCATTCACACTCTCACCATTCACACTCTCACCACTCATTCACACTCTCACCATTCACACTCTCACCACTCATTCACACTCTCACCTCTTTTGCTTGCGGCTGTTGAGGATGTAGAAGGAAGTGGGGGGAGGTGAGAATGGTGACGATGTTGGGATGAGTGCCGAGCCTGAAGAGGAGCAGCAAACACAACTCGTTACTGCTCACCAACTCACTCGCTCACCAACTCACTCACCAACTCACTCACCAACTCACTCACTCACTAACTCACTCACTCACCAACTCACTCGCTCACTCAGCTACCCTGCTCGCTCACCAACTCACTCACTCACCAACTCACTCACTCACCAACTCACTCACTCAGCTATCCTGCTCGCTCACCAACTCACTCACTCACCAACTCACTCACTCACCAACTCACTCACTCACCAACTCATTCACTCGGCTATCCCGTTCGCTCACCAACTCACCAACTCACTCACTCACCAACTCACTCACTCACCAACTCACTCACTCAGCTACCCTGCTCGCTCACCAACTCACTCACTCACCAACTCACTCACTCACCAACTCATTCACTCAGCTATCCCGCTCGCTCACCAACTCACTCACTCACCAACTCACTCATTCAGCCAGCCCGCTCGCTCACCAACTCACTCAGCAACTCGCTCACCAACTCATTCACTCAGCCAGCCCGCTCGCTCACCACGTGGTCTGGGCACAGACACGCCCCCTGACGTCATCACTCCGCCAACTTGCGGAGTGCCGAGAGGAGGAGGGGGGTAGGAGTTGTGTGTACGGAGTGTGTGTGTTGTATGTGTTATGTGTATGTGTTAAGTGCGTGTTGTGTGTGTGGTGTTTGTGAAGCGGGGAGCGGTAGTGTAGCGGTTAGCGCACTGCACTACGAACCCGTCGACCTGAGTTCAATTCACGCTCACGGCCAACAGCGGTGACGATTATCTGAACCGGTCCTGGGCCTCCCCTAGCTCGACTCAGCCTCAACTGAGTACCTGGTACGGTGTGTAAACATCGCCACTGGGGAGACAAAGGCGGCCGGGCGCGGTGCTGGCCACCCACCCCCTCGTGTGCCGTGCCGGCCTTCATAGGTGCTCGCTAACAGCACTTGCCCCTACAGTCTGTTACAGGCTACACGGGGGATCTTTGTCTTGTGGTGCACAGGTGGTGCATCTGCCAGTCATTTGATGCAGTTAGCCTGCTAGCAGCAGCGAGCCTTCCACAACGTCTCGTCATGGCCTCAAGGTGCACCTAGCCTGGCACTGTGCACAACACATTTGTCAGCCATCATCAGCTGTGCTTCGTCTACAGCAGACAGAAGCCCCTGTCTTCATACAGAAGCCCGGGCTTACAGGCAAAAGCCCTTGTCCACTGACAGATGCCCCAATCTGCAGACAGAAGCCTCGGGCTGCAGACAGAAGTCATGAGTTACAGACAGAAGCCCTGCTTTACAGACACCCACTGCGTTTTTACAAACTTCTGAGTTAAACAAAAAGCCTTTCCCTGTAAAATTAAAATTGCGGCATTCCATCCGAGGATCCCAATGCGCAAATGCATGGACATCAGGAAATAAAAAAACAGAGCCACTGTAGGCTCAGTTTAAAAAGATGGGTTTGCAAAGCGGACTTATATTTATCTAGCGATTCTGATTGCTCTGATGTCAAGTGGCAAGGCGTTCCACGGCGTGTGGGTGCCACGCTAACAGAAGCACGGATCGGCAAAAGAGCGCAACCTGCAGATCCTGGGAGTGCTGAGAGAGTTGGGAGATCGGATGATCTTAAGGAACTCGATGGAATATATAACTGTATTAGTTCCTGCAAGTAACGTGGGGCGGTGAGCCCCTTTAAAGCCTTGCAGGTCAATAGCGGTACCTTAAACACCACTCGGAATTTGATCCGGTAGCCAATGAAGGGACAAGAGTACCTGGGTGGTACCAGTGCCGGATTATCCTCGTAGCAAAAGTAGCTAACTACATGTGTAGTAGCTGCATGTGTAGTAGTAGCTACTACACGCGTAGTGGCTACTACTACACGTGTAGTAGTAGTAGCTACTACTAAATTTGTAGTAGTAGTAGCTACTACACAAGTAGCTACACGTGTAGTAGTAGCTACACGTGTAGTAGTAGTAGCTACACGTGTAGTAGTAGTAGCTACACGTGTAGTAGTAGCTTCACGTGTAGTAGTAGCTGCACGTGTAGTAGTAGCTGCACGTGTAGTAGTAGTAGCTGCACGTGTAGTAGTAGTAGCTGCACGTGTAGTAGTAGTAGCTTCACGTGTAGTAGTAGCTGCACGTGTAGTAGTAGCTGCACGTGTAGTAGTAGTAGCTGCACGTGTAGTAGTAGTAGCTGCACGTGTAGTAGTAGTAGCTACACGTGTAGTAGCAGTAGCTGCACACACATGTAGTAGTTACTACTACATGTGTGTAGCAGCTACGGGCCCCGTACCTCCAAGGCCCCCGCGCTAAATGATTTCGAGCTATCAATTCCGGTTCAGTGATTCTGCACTTTGCTCTATTACTATAGTACTACACCGCCTTCGACTTTTACGAACGATCGGGTGTTTAAGGTTAGCGATTCGTCGTATTATCCGGCTGTATAGCAAATAAAAAAAAATACTTAATTTTTTTTCATTTCGGGCCCCTTATAAACGTCATCATCATGCTCCAGGCCCCATAGGAGCTTCACTGGGAGCGGCGTGCGTGCTGTCAGCTCTCTTGCAGACTGCATTGTGCACGAGCTGGTGCAGTCTGCCCACGACTTTGCTCGATGTCCCAAGCCAGCAGACACGTCGGAGTGGTCTTCTAGTCGGGATAACACAACAGGCATGGAACCGACCTCTTCAATTCAGCAGGTAACGGAAAGCGACAGCATTCTGGAAATATTTCTTAGGTGGTAAAAAAATGGCATTTGAACTCCTGTGTGTGTGTGTGCCTCGAAAGACATTGACCGGTCAAACCGAGCAACGAGGTTTCTGACCTCCCCGGTGTAGAGGCTCACATCGTGACCGTCAATAGCGACAGCAGAAGCATCCTCATCAGAAGGGGAATTCACGGGCGACTTAGCTGGAGACAGACGCCGCGGTTGGCGTGGTTGGCTACGTACGGTGCGGAAGAAGTTCAACGTGCGGTGCATCCAGTAGGGTGCCATACATTTAGTCCGTACGCATAGCAAACGGGGGGGGGGGTGAAGTCTTCTGCAGACAGAAGCCCTGGTCCACAGCCAAGAAGCCAAAAGTCTGCAGACAGAAGCCCTGGTCCGCGGCCAAGAAGCCACAAGTCTGCAGACAGAAGCCCCGGGTGTACAGACAGAAGCCCTGGTTTACAGCCAGAAGGCCCAGTTTGCGGACAGAATGCCTGGTCTCATGCCAACGCCCCCCACCCCCGCCCATCTGCCTCTCTGGCCGTAAAGGGCATCTCGCGTTCAATTCGATTTGTCAATTTAATCTTCCGATAAATTCTGCCGCTGATAATTATTAACATCTCTCTCGAGATGCCATTCGCCGACAGCAGGGCGCGTGGTAAATTGTATCGCCCCGAGCGTGTGGAGTCCTCACTATGAGACGTGTGTGCATTGAAGGCGTCTAACAGAAATTGTCCTGTGATATCTGCTTCTTAACTCACCCGACTACTCGCTTGGTCCAACGTTGGGTTAACGTTGGGATGTTGGCCCACCCTTACCACAACGTTGGTCCAACGTTGGGATGTTCGCCCAACGTTACCGCAACGTTGGTCCAACGTTGGGATGTTGGCCCAACGTTACCGCAACGTTGGTCCAAGGTTGGGATGCTGGCCCACCGTTACCCCAACGTTGGTCCACGGTTGGGATGCTGGCCCACCGTTACCCCAACGTTACCCCAACGTTGGGATGCTGGCTCAACGTTACCCCAACGTTGGCCCAACGTTGGGATGTTTTACTGGACACCTCGTGCGAGGCCCCCGTCGATGCGAGCGTCAGCAAGCGTGGCCCGAACGCCACCACGGCAGCAGCAGCCGCCGCCGCACAGACGGCAGGGGGCACTCTGGACGCAAACCCAACCACGTGGCCAGGGGCAGCCAGGCCCACGCCGGGTGGTGCACTGCTCACTGGGACACACACACAGAGAGGTCTCGAGAGATTCTCGGTGCGGGGAGAGCACGAGGCGGCCGCCGTCTGCGAGGCCGGCAACATTCGACTGGGCAGTTGGACACGGAGGAGGCTTTTCGCGACCAATATCCGTAACGCAGATTGTTGGGTTTTTTGGGGGGGGGGGAGGGGAGGGGGTTAGATCACGTGAATAAATAAATGTTGTGTCGTTATACCCGCCACCACCCGACACAGCCAACTAGTAAGAGTTGTCACGTAAACAGAACGTGGCCAGTTCGTCACTAGTACAGCACACCGGTGTAGTGTATAATGTAGTGTATAGTAGTGTATAGTGTAGTGTGTAGTGTAGTGTATAGTAGTGTATAGTGTAGTGTATAGTAGTGTAGTGTATAGTAGTGTAGTGTATAGTAGTGTAGTGTATAGTGTAGTGTGTAGTAGTGTAGTGTGTAGTGTAGTGTATAGTAGTGTAGTGTATAGTGTAGTGTATAGTAGTGTAGTGTATAGTGTAGTGTATAATAGTGTATAGTGTAGTGTATAGTAGTGTAGTGTAGTGTGTAGTGTATAGTGTAGTGTATAGTAGTGTAGAGTGTAGTGTATAGTAGTGTTTAGTGTAGTGTATAGTAGTGTATAGTATAGTGTAGTGTATAGTAGTGTAGTGTATAGTAGTGTAGTGTATAGTAGTGTAGTGTGTAGTGTAGTGTATAGTGTAGTGTGTAGTAGTGTAGTGTGTAGTGTAGTGTATAGTAGTGTATAGTGTAGTGTATAGTGTAGTGTATAGTAGTGTAGTGTATAGTGTAGTGTATAATAGTGTATAGTGTAGTGTATAGTAGTGTAGTGTATAGTGTAGTGTGTAGTGTATAGTGTAGTGTATAGTAGTGTATAGTGTAGTGTATAGTAGTGTAGTGTATAGTGTAGTGTATAATAGTGTATAGTGTAGTGTATAGTAGTGTAGTGTATAGTGTAGTAGTGTAGTGTATAGTAGTGTATAGTGTAGTGTGTAGTGTAGTGTATAGTGTAGTGTATAGTGTAGTATACTAGTACAGCACCACACCGGTTGTGTGTTGGAGAACCAAGCAATCTGAGTACGACGTTTCGCCAGTAATGACAACCAGCTTCATCAGGCGACAGCCAGATTGGCTGTAAATGTTGTGGCTTGGCTCTCCAACACACAACCGGTGTAGTGCTGCACTCGTAACGATTTGACGCCTTCTGTTCACGTGATGCAACCTTACTAATTGGCTGTGTCGTGTGGCGGTGGGTTGAACGACACACACATATTTCCGCGATCTCACCCAAACAGACGAGTATTATGTTTCGACTGGACGCCTGTGATAATAACAAAAAGAACTGCAGAGATCATCGGATTCCTCCAGTGTATACAGTAAACAAATACGCATTCCTAACTCTCAGCAGCAGCAGTGACACCGCAGTGGCGCACAATGACCCTCGTCCACTAGGGGGCGACTGACGGTGAGGGCGCCGGCCACGTCTCGTGCCGACCCACGGGGAAGTTCCCACGAACTTTGCTCCTCCGTTCCCGCCGCCGCCAGCCCCCCCCCCCCCCCACGCCGGTTCTGTCCCCCCCCCCCGCGCCGGTTCTGTTCCCCCCCCCCGTGCTGGTTCTGTTCCCCCCCCGCGCCGGTTCTGTTCCCCCTCCGTGCTGGTTCTGTTCCCCCTCCGTGCTGGTTCTGTCCCCCCCCCCGCGCCGGTTCTGTTCCCCCTCCGTGCTGGTTCTGTTCCCCCTCCGTGCTGGTTCTGTTCCCCCCCCCGTGCTGGTTCTGTTCCCCTCCGTGCTGGTTCTGTTCCCCCCCCCCCGTGCTGGTTCTGTTCCCCTCCGTGCTGGTTCTGTTCCCCCTCCGTGCTGGTTCTGTTCCCCCTCCGTGCTGGTTCTGTTCCCCCTCCGTGCTGGTTCTGTTCCCCCTCCGTGCTGGTTCTGTTCCCCCTCCGTGCTGGTTCTGTTCCCCCCCCGTGCTGGTTCTGTTCCCCCCCCGTGCTGGTTCTGTTCCCCCCCCGTGCTGGTTCTGTTCCCCCCCCGCACCGGTTCTGTTCCCCTCCGTGCTGGTTCTGTTCCCCCTCCGTGCTGGTTCTGTTCCCCCCCCGTGCTGGTTCTGTTCCCCTCCGTGCTGGTTCTGTTCCCCCTCCGTGCTGGTTCTGTTCCCCCCCCGTGCTGGTTCTGTTCCCCTCCGTGCTGGTTCTGTTCCCCCTCCGTGCTGGTTCTGTTCCCCCCCCCCCCCCCGTGCTGGTTCTGTTCCCCTCCGTGCTGGTTCTGTTCCCCCCCGTGCTGGTTCTGTTCCCCCTCCGTGCTGGTTCTGTTCCCCTCCACGCTGGTTCTGTTCCCCCTCCGTGCTGGTTCTGTTCCCCCTCCGTGCTGGTTCTGTTCCCCCTCCGTGCTGGTTCTGTTCCCCCTCCGTGCTGGTTCTGTTCCCCCCCCCGTGCTGGTTCTGTTCCCCTCCGTGCTGGTTCTGTTCCCCCCCCCCGTGCTGGTTCTGTTCCCCTCCGTGCCGGTTCTGTTCCCCCCCCCCCCCCGTGCAGGTTCTGTTCCCCCTCCGCGCTGGTTCTGTTCCCCTCCGTGCTGGTTGTTCCCCTCCGTGCTGGTTCTGTTCCCCCTCCGTGCTGGTTCTGTTCCCCCCCCCCGTGCTGGTTCTGTTCCCCTCCGTGCTGGTTCTGTTCCCCCTCCGTGCTGGTTCTGTTCCCCTCCGTGCTGGTTCTGTTCCCCCCCCGTGCTGGTTCTGTTCCCCCTCCGTGCTGGTTCTGTTCCCCTCCACGCTGGTTCTGTTCCCCCTCCGTGCTGGTTCTGTTCCCCCTCCGTGCTGGTTCTGTTCCCCTCCGTGCTGGTTCTGTTCCCCCTCCGTGCTGGTTCTGTTCCCCCCCCCCCGTGCTGGTTCTGTTCCCCTCCGTGCTGGTTCTGTTCCCCCTCCGTGCTGGTTCTGTTCCCCCCCCCCCGTGCTGGTTCTGTTACCCCTCCGCGCTGGTTCTGTTCCCCCTCCGTGCTGGTTCTGTTCCCCTCCGTGCTGGTTCTGTTCCCCCTCCGTGCTGGTTCTGTTCCCCTCCACGCTGGTTCTGTTCCCCCTCCATGCTGGTTCTGTTCCCCTCCGCTCTGGTTCTGTTCTTCCTCCGTGCCGGTTCTGTTCCTCCTCCGCGCCGGGTTCTGTTCCCCGCCGCGCCGCGATGACGGGAACCCGATGTCAACCGCGCGCCGCGCCTGCTCCGTCTCGTCCATCACAGTGTGTTCACCAACCACCACCACCATCACAACAACACAAAGATGCACCTCTCCCCCCCCAGTCTATAGCCTTAACAGATTGTCGCAACGTTGGGTCAACATTGTGACCCAACGTTGTGTCAACGTTGGCAATGTCCTTCCCATACACGTCGCTCCCCACAGCACGTCGAATGATCCGAAGGTCCGGCGGGGAATTTCAGAAAAAACATAGGATAAAAAATTGCCCTTCAGAATAATCGCTTTAAAAATAATCGACGTTATTTTTAAACCAATTCTCTTCAGGACCGCGTACGCGAACGAGCGAGCGAGCGAGAGAGTGGGGGGAGCCGCGCGGATACTTTGGGGCGAGCCGCCCCTGTTTTTGTATTTATTGAAGACAACGTGAGACAGAAGATGACTAAAGATACAAAATCTAAAATGTAAAAAAACTAAAACGCGCACGCAACGCGCAGCCCAACACCGTACAATGGCGTTTAGCAATTTAAACCGAAGCAGAGACACGCGAACCCCTCGAACGCACGCACGCACGCACACGCACGCTCGCACGCCGAGGACGAGGAGACTTGCATTGTACTCGCGTGCAACACCGACCACGGGCCGCACATTCGAGGGAGGTGGCAGTACAGCAAGCGTGTCGTTCGCAAAACCCACGTTCAAGTTGTCTAGCGAGGAGTGCTGCTGGGGGGGCTTCTCAGGTTTCCCTCCACCCCGCACCCCCCAGCACCCTACCCCTCTCCCCCGACACACACGGACACACGGACACACACACGGACACGCACACGGATACGGACACGCGCGGAGGCCGAACTCTTGCCCACGACGGGGGGGAAGCGGGGAAGCATCAGCGATGTGGCCGGACCCTCCTTGGCGGCGAGCCTTGGGACCCGGCGGGGACTCTCCGGGGTTCAGCGAGGGGGGGTAACGTTATTTACACCGCGCTGGGAGTCGAGCCGCGCCCGACCAGCAGGCTTCCAACGCCGGCACGAAGCGGGCCTCGTTGTCGGTGACACGGTCCCGCGTTGCTGGGCTAGCCGGCAAAGTTTCCCAGACTCCGGTCCCCGCCGACCGACCGACCGCCGACCGACCGCCGACCGCCGCCGCGCTTTCCACGTTGACCAATTTGACTCCTCGCCGTCCGAGTGAACTCGTGTCCACGCCGCTGCACGCCCCCGGCGGCTGTCAATGACGCGGTCGGCCGCGTGGCTCTCGCCGAGCGTCGGTCACCTCGGTCGGTCCACCCCGCGGCACCCGGCTCCGTCCCGCGGCCTCCCGCCGGCGGCGGCGGGCCTTCCACACCTCACGCGACAGCCTCGGGGTGTACCCGGGCCGGCACGATGCGCCGCGGGTGACGTCGCCGACGATTCGGTGGCGGGCGGGCGGGCGGGCGCCGCTGGCTGGCGACCGCTTGGGGAAGCGTTGAACCAGCAGTGGATGGGCCGTGGCGGTGATGACGAGACACTGAAGTGGACGAGTCGGCTGTCTCGCGCGCCGCTCTGCGTCCCTCGCCCGCTTAGGCCTTGGGCCGGAATTATTGGCAAAACTATAAAATGATACGCTATTTTTACTTGGCACGGCAAGCGCCCAAGTGAGCTACGCCGCCCTTCTTCAGAAGCCCACCTGGCTACCCCACAATGTTAGCTCATCGTCGTAGTAGTGTGGAAATGTGCATCAGCGGGCCAAATCATCTTAAACGCGTGATGTTGGGCCTGAACGTCGAGGGAAAAAGCGGAGGACCCGGACAAAAATCCACGCGACCACCACGGGGAGAGAGAGAGAAAACACGCAAACTCCAAATATACAGCAGGGTCGGGATCGAACCCACGACCTCCTGTATACCAGGCGAGGTAGTTGACATCTCTGAGCCACCGCGGTGCCTAAAGGTAGCGGAACTCTATACTCGCTCGCGATTGGTCGCTTCTGGCTGCCACTCTGCCGCCTCTGGATTCCCGCGCATTTCAATCTCACGAGCGATGCGCATCACCAAGTTGCGCAATGTACCCTTACTTATATATTTATTTTTAAAAAGCACCGGCAGACTGGTCCCCGTCATAGGAATGTGGCTCAGGGACATGATTGTAGCGACCGACGCTCACTGCGCGTGCCGGTGCGACGAGGCGCGGTGCAGAGGTATACAGTGGGCGTGGTGTGTCGGGTGCCAACCGGGACTGACCCGGCCGGCAAGGAAGCCCTGCGTGAGCGAGCGCAGAGAGCCGGCGGGACGGTGACCCGCTTAGCCCGAGCGCTGGCTAGCCAGTTAGCCGCTTAGCCAGATCGCCGGCGATTAAACTAGCCGGTTGCCGTTTAGCCAGTTAGCCTTATCGCCGGTGAGTCGGCTGGCCAGTTAGCCGGTTAGCCCTATTGCCGATGACCCGGCGAGCCTCATCGCCGGTCGGCCTGCGGCTCGGCGAGCCGCGTGGCTCGCGTCGTGCCACCGACTCGGGGTTGGCTCCGGCCCCGGCTCAGGTCGGCCGGGGCCGGCCGGCCTGAGCCGGCGGCGCTCACACCCACTGGCGGATGGAGCGCTGGCAGTAGCGCAGCGGCTTGGCGGCGTTGCGTCGTCTCACGGCCAGCACGACCACCGCGCCCGCCAGCGCGCCCAGCAGCAGCAGGCACGGCAGCACAAACACCAGCGGGTTCAGCCCCCGGTCCATCTCCTCCACCACCTCCCCCTCCTCGTCCTCATCGGCCGCCTCCTCCTCTTCCTCCTCGTCCTCCTCCTCCTCCCTCCCGTCGTCGTCGTCGTCGCCGTCCGTCCCGCGGCCGCCGCCGCCCCCCCCGCCGTCGCAGCCCATCCAGTCGCGCAGCAGCGAGCGCGGGAAGCCGCTCTCTACGCGCTTCTTGTCGATGTTGAACTTCCAGTAGCGGTCGCCCTTCACGAAGAACGTGTGCACTGCCGGGGGGCGACAGGGGTGAGGAGCGCCGCGCCGGCGATTACGATGACTGTGACGGCGATGACCATGATGACGATGATGATGGTAGTGACTTTGATGATGACGATGATGACGATGATGATGGTAGTGACTTTGATGATGATGGTAGTGACTTTGATGATGGCTGTGATGATGACGGCAACTACGATGATGATGAAAGTGACTGTGATGATGACGATGATGACGATGACTGTGATGACAATGATGACGACAATTATGTTGATGATGACAACTGATGATGACAATGATGACAATGATGACGATGATGATGGCGATCGCTGCGTCTCTCCCAGAGCTGTACACGCGGCCGACAGAGAAGCCGGTAGAGGAGGTGGTGGAGGAGGTCGAGGAGGTGAAGGAGGGGGTAAGAGACAGAGGAGAGGGCCGGAGAGATGAGGTGGCCGGGCGGTGGGGAGAGTCCGCACCGAGGAAGGAACTTTATTATTTATTTGCCCACTGAGATGTGTCGCTCTTTTTCAGAAGCGACCTGGCTATCATCGCCGTCATCATCGTCATCACCGTCACGCGGAAATGTACAGCAGCGGCCAAACACCCTGAACGTGTGGCCACATCAATTCTAAACGTGGAGGGAGCAACCGAAGAGGAGAAAAATCCACGCGACCGTGGGGAGCGAGAGGGAGAGACACGCAAACTCCAGATGCACAGCAGGTTGTCGTCAGGGTCGGGACGGAGCCCGTGACTTCCTGCAGGCCAGGCGAGGCCGTCAGCAACCTGCTGTGGCCGCCGGGTCCGCGCCCCACCGCTCACCTCCGTCCTGGCTGAGGAAGGCGGCCTGCGTGCCAGAGGGGACCCCCTCCCAGAGGCTGAGGGGCTTGGGGTATCCCTCGGCCACCGCACGGCTGTCCTCATCGAACCGCCAGTATCTGCACGAGCGAAGCACAAATGGTTCCCCCTCCCGCGTTGAGGGCCGCGCAGGCTGTCGGGGCCGAGGGCCGTTAGCGTGCGGCGGCACCTACGAAGGCCGGCGCTGTGGCACGCGAAGGGGTGGGTGGCCAGCGCCACGCCCGGCCGCCTTTGTCTCCCCAGCGGCGATGTTTACTACGCACCGTGCCGGGTGCTCGTTTAAGGCGGAGTCGACCTAGGGGAGGCCCAGGACCGGTTCAGATAATCGTCACTGGCGTTGGCCGTGAGTGGGAGTCGAACTCGGTGTCGCCGGGTTTGTAGAGCGGCGTAGCGCTAACCGCTACACTACCGCTCCACACTGGTCCCCTCTGAATAAGTAGGTGGTGCTTATGGACTCCCATCACCCTCACCCACCCACTAATCTACTCACTCACTCACCCACCCACTCACCCACCCACTCACCCACCCACTCACCCGTCCCCTCTAAAGAAGTAGGTGGTGCTTGTAGACTCCCACCACTCTCACCCACTCACTCACCCACTCACTCACTCACCCACCCACTCACCCGTCCCCTCTAAATAAGTAGGTGGTGCTGGTGGACTCCGACCACACTCACCCACCCACTCACCCACACACTCACCCACACACTCACCCACCCACTCACCGGTCCCCTCTAAAGAAGTAGGTGGTGCTGGTGGACTCCCACCACATTCACCCACCCACTCACCCACACACTCACCCACTCACTCACCCACACACTCACCCACCCACTCACCGGTCCCTTCTAAAGAAGTAGGTGGTGCTGGTGGACTCCCACCACACTCACCCACCACACTCACCCACACACCCACCCACTCACCCACCCACTCACCCACTCACCCACCCACTCACCCACACACTCACCCACCCACTCACCCACCCACTCACCCACACACTCACCCACCCACTCACCGGTCCCCTCTAAAGAAGTAGGTGGTGCTGGTGGACTCCCACCACTCTCACCCACTCACTCACCCACCACACTCACCCACTCACTCACCCACCCACTCACCCACCCACTAACCCACTAACCCACACACTCACCCACCCACTCATCCACACACTCACCCACCCACTCACCCACACACTCACCCACCCACTCACCGGTCCCCTCTAAAGAAGTAGGTGGTGCTGGTGGACTCCCACCACACGGCCGCGTCCACGCGGTCGCGGGGAAGACCTCGGCCCAGCTCCTTCAGTTGCCGTGGGAACCCGGGCTCAGAGGTCCCCTCCTGGAACAGCCAAAACTTGCTCCCTGTCGGGGGGGGGGGGGGGGGGGGGGGGCAGGGGTGAGTGGGTGGGTGGGTGGGTGAGAGGGGAGACACGGGGGTGAGTGGGTGGGTGAGTGAGGAGACACGGGGGTGAGTGGGTGGGTGAGTGGGTGGGTGAGTGGGGTGACAAAGGGGTGAGTGGACGGGTGAGTGGGTGGGTGAGTGGGTGGGTGAGTGGGGTGACAAGGGGGTGAGTGAGTGGGTGGGTGGGGAGACACGGGGGTGAGTGGACGGGTGAGTGGGGAGACAAGGGGGTGAGTGGACGGGTAAGTGGGGAGACAAGGGGGTGAGTGGATGGGTGAGTAGGGAGACACGGGGGTGAGTAGGGAGACACGGGGGTGAGTGGACGGGTGAGTGGGGAGACAAGGGGGTGAGTGGACGGGTGAGTGGGAAGACACGGGGGTGAGTAGGTGGGTGAGTGGGGAGACACGGGGGTGAGTGGGTGGGTGAGTGGGGAGACACGGGGGTGAGTGGGTGGGTGAGTGGGGAGACACGGGGGTGAGTGGGTGGGTGAGTGGGGAGACAAGGGGGTGAGTGGGTGGGTGAGTAGGGAGACACGGGGGTGAGTGGACGGGTGAGTGGGGAGACAAGGGGGTGAGTGGACGGGTGAGTGGGGAGACACGGGGGTGAGTGGGTGGGTGAGTGGGGAGACACGGGGGTGAGTGGGTGGGTGAGTGGGGAGACACTGGGGTGACTGGGGTGACAAGGGTTGAGTCTGTGGGCGAGTGAGTGAAGTGCTACACAGAGTTGTGGCTCGCTGCTACGTGCGTTAGTATGTCTGTCCGTCTGCCTCCCGGTGGTGGTGAGGAGCGGTGAGCGCTGTGCGAGGTGCTCACCCTTGAAGAAGACGAACTTCCCGTCGGGCCTCTCGTAGACGGTGTCCACGCTGTGCGGCAGGCCCTGCCAGAAGTGGCCGATGGGCATGGGGTAGCCACTGAGCACCACGCCGTCCCGCACCCTCCAGAACCACTCGTCCTGCACACGCAACGGGGAAACGTCCCGTCTCAAGCCGGCCTCCACCCGGCCTCCACCTGATCTCCACCCAGCCTCCACCCGGCCTCCACCTGATCTCCACCCGGTCTCCACCTGATCTCCACCTGATCTCCACCTGATCTCCACCTGGCCTCCACCTGATCTCCACCCGGCCTCCACCCGGCCTCCACCTGGCCTCCACCTGGCCTCCACCTGATCTCCACCTGATCTCCACCTGGTCTCCACCTGATCTCCACTTGATCTCCACCCGGCCTCCACCCGGCCTCCACCTGGCCTCCACCTGGCCTCCACCTGATCTCCACCTGATCTCCACCTGGTCTCCACCTGATCTCCACCTGATCTCCACCCGGCCTCACGTGGGGAGTCGCCGAGTGTGCAGCGTCGCTGCGCCATACCTTGAAGACGACGAGCTCCCCGCGGAGGCGCGCCAGGGTGTCGAACTTCCCGGCGCAGATGTCCGGCTCGGACCCGGGCCGCGGAGGGGCACGGGGAGGCGCAGGGTGCCGCGGGTGGTGAGGCGGCTTCCGCTCCGGCTTCGTCTTGGGGGGCTTGGGGTCCCTGGGTTTCTCCGGCTTGCTCGGGGGTTTCGGTTTGTGGGGGGCCACCGTTGGGGGTGCGTCGGGGGGCCCTGTAAGGATGAGACCGGCAAAAAAGAGGGGCGGTGGAGGCGGCCCGGGGGGGGGGGGGGTGGGGGGTTAAAATATTGCCGCGCTCCGGTCAACTATACCACGGTTGCACTCCGGTGTACCCCGATCTCAATCCAGTATACCACACAACATCCACTATGTCTCCGTGTCTCTCTGTCTTCTCTCTTTCTGTATCTCTCTCCGTGTCTCTCTCTCTCCGTGTCTCTCTCTCTCCGTCTCTTTTCTCTCTGCATCTCTCCGTGTGTCTCTCTCTCTGTCTCTCTCTCCGTGTCTCTCTCTCTCCGTGTCTCTCTCTACGTCTCTTTTCTCTCTGCATCTCTCCGTGTGTCTCTCTCTTTGTCTCTCTCTCCGTGTCTCTCTCTCTCCGTGTTTCTCTCTACGTCTCTTCTCTCTCTGTATCTCTCCGTGTCTCTCTCTCTCTCCGTGTCTCTCTCTCTACGTGTCTCTCTCTCTCCGTGTCTCTCCCTCTCTCAGTGTCTCTCTCCGTGTCTCTCTCTCTCTACGTGTCTCTCTCTCTCCGTGTCTCTCTCCGTGTCTCTCTCTCTGTGTCTCTCTCCGTGTCTCTCTCTCCGCGTCTCTCTCTCTCCGTGTCTCTCTCTCTCTCTCTGTATCTCTCTCCGCATCTCTCTCTTCTTTCCATCTCGCTCTCCCTCCGCGTGCCCACCGTAGATCTGCTGGATGCCCAGCAAGTCGTCGTAGGGCAGGCGGAAGTCCTCCGTGTCCATGTACTGGTAGAAGGGCGCCATGACGGCCGTGGGGTCGTTGGAGTGCTCCAGGCCCAATGCGTGGCCCAGCTCGTGGACGGCGACGATGAAGAGGTCGTTCCCTGAGCGCCCGTCCGCACAAACGCAAAGATCCCCAGCCACCCCCCCCCCCGGATAGCCTCAACGGACTGCAGGGGCAAGTGCCGTCACTGTCGGCGAGTGGCGGCACCTGTGAAGGCCGCCGCGTCGCACGAGGCGGCGGTCGGCCAACAGCGCCCTGGCTGAGTCGACCTAGGGGAGGCCCAGGGCCTGTTCAGATTATCGTCACTGATGTTGGTGGCCGTCAGTGGGAACAGAACGCGGGTCGCCGGGTTCACAATCGCAGTGTAGCGCTACCCGCTACACTACCGCTCCCCACACACACAAAGACACAAATCTCCCGTATAGCCTTGACAGACTCTTGGGGCAAGTGCTGTTAGCGAACACCTATGGAGGCCGGCACGGCACACGAGGGGGTGGGTGGCCAGCACCACGCCCGGCCGCCTTTGTCTCCCCAGTGGCGATGTTTACTACACACCGCACCTGGTACTACTTATTTGAGGCCGAGTAGACGTTGGAGAGGCCCAGGACCTGCACAGATATTCGTCACTGGTGTTGGTGGCCGTGAGCGAGAACCGAACTCGGATCGCCAGGTTCACAGCGCGGCGTAGCGCTAACCACTGCCCTGCCGCTCCCCACACACACACGAACACGTACACACACGAACACGTACACACACGAACACGTACACACGCGCACGCGCGCGCACGCACCGGTGTAGTCGCGGTCGCCGATGGTCCAGGGCTCGTCGTCGTCGAAGTGCGTGTCTCCGCCGATACCCGGCCCGGGGAAGTAGGCGTGCGCCAGGAAGCCCCCAACGCCGTCAAACGGAGAGTTGTCTCCGTGCTGCCCTGGGGGTCCGCAGACGGCCACGGCCAGACAGCCAATCACAGACCGCGTCTGTGCGTGCACGTGTGCGTGTGTGGCCGTGCGCGACGGCGGCGTTGGCGCTGACGGAGAGAGGGGGGCGAGCGGCCTGCACGGCGAGGATGAGGAGGTGGAGGGGCGGCTCGCTCACTCCCTTCGCTCGTTCCGTCACTGCCGGCGTGAGGGCCTGCTCCCGGTGAGTGAGCTGTAGGAGAGCCCCTTGTGAAAGGCGGCGGGGGGGGGGGGTGCTTTGGCCTCTTCTGCCACGCTGGTCGGATTTACAGCATTGGAAGAAGAGGTTGGAGGTATCCTCACTTTAACGAATATTTTCCTGGGATTCTTTGGTGTTTCTGCAGATGTTTCTGAATTCACTTCAGATATTTATCCAGATTTCTCTGGTTTCTCTCCAGATTTTTCCAAATCTCTCTCCAGATTTCTCTCCAGATTTTTTCCAGATTACTTCTCTACAGTTGGTTTCTCTCCAGATCTCTCTCTCACTGTGTTGTTGACCTCCGGTGTGGAATTACCCGACGCAAAGAAGATGTTGATGTCCACCTCGTGCCCCGCCGCCTCGTGGAAGGTCAGGGGGGTCACCGTTTGCCAGATGTCGAAAGCCTGGCGGATCGCTTGCCGTGTCTCGTACTCGCCGACCTTGGGCGTGTAGTTGTGGATGCTGAACAGAGATGCAAAGACGTGAGCGGGAATCGGACTTGGGTTGCCGGGTTCGTAGCGCAGCGCGCTAACCGCTGCACTGCCGCTCCCCATGCACAGAGATGCGCAAACACACACACTCGATTATAAACACACACTCCACCTAGGCGGTGTCTAAAGAGGAAGGGTCTAGGCTTAAACAGGACGTTCCGGGGCCTAAACAGGAAGGGCCGGGGCCTAAACAGAACGTTCCGGGGCCTACAGAGGTTGAACTTTCCCTGTTGAGTCAAGGCGGTAGAAACGCAGAGAATCAAACAGGCGCGGCAGGCAGCAACAGCAGCAGCAGCGGCCACGGGCCAAGTAGGGCACCATGGTCACGAGCTGTTAACTACCTTGTCTGGTATGCAGGAAGTCGTGGGTTCGATCCGGACCCTGACGCCTGTTTATTTGGAGTTTGCGTATCTCTCTCTCCACGTGGTTGCGTGGTTTTTTTGTCCGGATCCTGCGGTTTTTCCGCCCACATTTAGAATCAACGTCACGTGTTTAGAGTATTTGGCTGCTACTATAAATTCCCACATGATGGTGAGCCACTTCGGTGAGCTATCGTTTGCGATCGCCGCATCACTTCTGAAAAAGGGGCTACATAGCTCAGTGGGCCTTACCTGGTGAAATAAAAATAAAAAAGCTTAGCTTTAATAGAAACGGAGATTGCCCGTTGAGGCGTAGCGTGTAAGGAACGAGCCTGGACTCGCTCTCGGGTCCAGCGCGCGGTCCGCTCTCCCCTTCCCCCCCCCGACCCCCCGGGCCTACTTGTAGGTGATGTGCCGGTGACTCCACTTGAGGCCGTTGACGGCGAAGCGCTTGCGCCGTCGCGTTGACCCCGCCGCCGCCGCGTCGCCGCCCCCCCGGGAGATGCGATCGGGAACCCCACAGCGGGGCCGCTTCATCCACCTGCGCGGCGACAGCCGACGTGTCTCGCTCGGTCACGGTCGTGGACGCGCAGCCAAGGTGCACCGGGCGCGCTGCGCTGGGGGTGTGGCTGTGTTGCAGGCATGCGGGGCGGCGCGCTACGAACCCGGCGGCCCGGGTTCAATTCGCGCTCACGGCCAACACCGCCGATGGTGATTATCCGAACCGGTGTTGGGCCTCCCTGAGGTCGACTCGGCCTCAAATGAGCACACGGCGCGGTGCGTAAACATCGCCGCTACGGAGACAACGGCGAACCGGGTCGCGCGTGGCCAGGGCGCTGGCGGCCACCCCCGCCGCCTCGTGCGACGCGGCGGCCTTCACAGGTGCCGCCACTCGCCGACAGTGACGGCACTTGCCCCTGCAGTCCGTTAAGGCTATCCGGGGTGGGGGGGTGGGGGGCCTGGGGATCTTTGCGTTTGTGCGGACGCGCGCTCAGGGAACGACCTCTTCATCGTCGCCGTCCACGAGCTCTCCAACGACCCCACGGCCCTGGGCTACAGGGGAGACAAAGGCGGCCGGGCGTGGTCGCTGGCCACTCACCCCCACGTGTGCCGTGCCGGCCTTCATAGGTGCTACTCGCTAACAGCACTTGCCTCAACAGTCTGTTAAAGCTGTACTGGGGATCTTTGTCTTTGTAGAAGCAACAGTAAGTGAGAGGCATACTGGATGTGGTGTGCCGGGGTGTGTCGTAGAGTGGACTGGTGTAGGTGGAACGTGACTTGTAGCAGGTGCTTCCTAACAACACTTGCCCCTACAGTCTGTTAAGGCTATACGGGGGATCTTTATCTGTGTTATCCGGTGGACTCGTAAAGGTGTTACGTGACGTGTAGTAGCAGCAGCAGCCACAGTAATAGCGAGAGGTTTACTGAATGTGGTGTGCCGGGGTGTGGGTGTGCTGCAGAGTGGCGTGGTGTAGATGCCACGTGGACGTGTAGTAGTGGCAGCAGCGGCCAGAGTCGTCGCGAGAGGTATCCTGGATGCGGTGTGCCGGGGTGTCGGTGTGTTGCAGAGTGGCGTGGTGTAGATGCCACGTGATCGTGTAGTAGTGACAGCAGCGGCCAGAGTCGTCGCGAGGGGTATCCTGGATGCGGTGTGCCGGGTTGGCGCCCACCGCAAGGTGAGCTCGTCCATGTCTCCCGTGACGGGGATGCCGTACAGCTGCTGCATGGCTGCCACGGCTGACGAGAGCGTCTCGGCCGAGCGGTAGGTGCCCAGTCCGGCGCCCTTCGCCGGGAGGTAGCCGTACCTCTCCAGCCACGACTGCGCCCAGCAGGCACGCGCACAGGCGCACACAGAGAGGCGTGAAGGTGCGTACAGGGTGCACAGACACATACAGGTGACGTGCAGGTACCTACAGACGCGTGCTGTAGACACAGCCACGTACGTACAGGTAAGCCTAGGTATGAGCCGTCCTTTTTTAAAAAAAAAAATTGTACGATCAGAGGAAACAAGACGATGCTCGGTGTAGTCGGCACTTTGCTCCGTTCATCATTTCGTTTTTTTAATGCTTTGCTTTATGTAACCCCCCCCCCCCCTTTTTAAAGAAAGTAAAAATGAGCCGTCCTCCCTCTCTGAGTCGTTCCCTCTCTCTGAGTCGTCCTCTATGAGTCGTTCCCTCTCTCTCTCTGAGTCGTCCTCTATGAGTCGTTCCCTCTCTCTCTGAGTCGGGCTCTCTCTCCGAGTCGTCCTCTATGAGTCGTTCCCTCTCTCTCTGAGTCGTCCTCTCTGAGTCGTTCCCTCTCTCTCTGAGTCGTCCTCTATGAGTCGTTCCCTCTCTCTGAGTCGTCCTCTATGAGTCGTTCCCTCTCTCTCTGAGTCGTCCTCTCTGAGTCGTTCTCTCTCTGAGTCGTCCTCTATGAGTCGTTCCCTCTCTCTGAGTCGTCCTCTATGAGTCGTTCTCTCTCTCTGAGTCGTCCTCTATGAGTCGTTCCCTCTCTCTGAGTCGTCCTCTATGAGTCGTTCCCTCTCTCTGAGTCGTTCCCTCTCTCTGAGTCGTCCTCTCTGAGTCGTTCCCTCTCTCTCTGAGTCGTCCTCTATGAGTCGTTCCCTCTCTCTGAGTCGTCCTCTATGAGTCGTTCCCTCTCTCTGAGTCGTCCTCTATGAGTCGTTCCCTCTCTGAGTCGGGCTCTCTGAGTCGTTCCCTCTCTGAGTCGTTCCCTCTCTCTCTGAGTCGTCCTCTCTGAGTCGTCCCCTCTCTGAGTCGTTTCCTCTCTCTCTGAGTCGTCCTCTATGAGTCGTTCCCTCTCTCTCTGAGTCGTCCTCTATGAGTCGTTCCCTCTCTCTGAGTCGTCCTCTATGAGTCGTTCCCTCTCTCTCTGAGTCGGGCTCTCTCTTTCCGAGTCGTCCTCTACGAGTCATCTCCTCTCTCTCCGAGTCGTCCTCTAAGAGTCATCCTCTCCGAATTGTCCCTCCTCTCCCTCTGCGAGTCGCCCCCTCCTCTCTCGACGAGAGTGAAGAGCGAGTGAGCGAGCGAGTGAGCGAGTGAGCGAGGAGTGAGCGAGTGAGCGAGCGAGGAGTGAGTGAGCGAGTGAGCGAGCGCTGCGGCAGCGGTGATGTTGCGGCGTTCCGTGTCGGCGGGAAGCGATTCACTCTCACGATCGTGAGCCACGTGGTCTTATTGCGTTCGAGCCGCCCTCGTTGACGGCTGCCTCAAAGCGTGGCTTCCACCATCTGAAAGCGACCAAATTCCTCCGCTAACTCAAACCATGCTCGCTCACTCGCTCGCTCCGCGGGGATAGGGAGAGGGAAGCGGGGCTCCTGCAACCGGATGGAGCATCAGCAGCATCAGCAGCAGCATCAGCAGCAGCATCACAGCAGCATCATAGCAGCAGCATCACAGCAGCATCAGCAGCAGCATCAGCAGCAGCATCAGCAGCATCACAGCAGCATCAGCATCACAGCAGCATCAGCAGCAGCATCACAGCAGCATCACAGCAGCATCAACAGCAGCATCACAGCAGCAGCAGCAGCATCAACAGCAGCAGCAGCATCACAGCAGCATCAGCAGCAGCAGCATCACAGCAGCAGCATCAGCAGCAGCATCAGCAGCAGCATCACAGCAGCATCACAGCAGCAGCATCACATCAGCATAGCAGCAGCAGCATCAGCAGCAGCAGCATCACAGCAGCATCACAGCAGCATCACAGCAGCAGCATCACAGCAGCATCACAGCAGCATCACAGCAGCAGCATCATAGCAGCATCACAGCAGCAGCAGCATCACAGCAGCATCACAGCAGCATCACAGCAGCATCAGCACTTGGCACGACTCTGGCGGAGGGGATCCCGCAAGATGTCGGGGGGGGGGGGGTGATCGATGGGTCCATGTGGTGTCACGGGGCTTATGCGGTACTGCGTGTGCACAACACACACGCAGGGTGGCCCAACAGTCCAGGAAAACTTTGGGTTATTGTATAGGGTGGCCAAAAAGTCAGGACACATAGGGTTATTGTATAGGGTTATTGTACAGGGTGGCCCAAAAGTCAGGACACATCGGATTATTGTACAGGGTGGCCCAAAAGTCAGGACACAGGGTTATTGTATAGGGTGGCCCAAAAGTCAGGGCACATAGGGTTATTGTATAGGGTTATTGTACAGGGTGGCCCAAAAGTCAGGACACATAGGGTTATTGTATAGGGTTATTGTACAGGGTGGCCCAAAAGTCAGGACACAGGGTTATTGTGCAGGGTGGCCCAAAACTCAGGACACATAGGGTTATTGTATAGGGTGGCCCAAAACTCAGGATACATAGGGTTATTGTATAGGGTGGCCCAAAAGTCAGGACACACAGGGTTATTGTATAGGGTGGCCCAAAAGTCAGGACACAGGGTTATTATTATACAGGGTGGCCCTGTATAAGACCTAAGGGAGGCCCAGCAGCGGTTCAAATATTCGCTGCTGTGTAATGGTCGTAAACGGGAATCGTACTCGGGTCACCGTGTTCGTAGCTCAGCGCACGCTATCCACTGCCCCACCGCTCCCTCGCACAAAGACACAAACATCAAGGGGCGATCGCCCATACTCGGCTGTTCCCTCCACTCCACTCCAGGCACGCACAGCCCTGACTCAGGCAGCAGCAGCTATCAACATCAAAACATCGTCACGTGACTGTCAGACAACCACTGAGAGATGCACGCCGGGAGTTAGACTGAGAGGCGGGGAGAGGAGCACGTGGAGTGGAGGACACACGCAGGGGTAGAGACATCACCACCACCATCACATTGATCTTCATCCAGCAGTGGACTGAACCTGGCTGCTGCTGATCATCATCATGATGGTGATGATTCGTGTACGGCCTCATGATGATGCGAGGTAGTCAGCATCTCCTAGCCACCGTGATGATGATGAGAGAGAGACACGCAAACTCCAAATATACAGCAAACAGGCGTCAGGGTCGGGATCCAACCCACGACACCCTGTGTACCAGGCGAGGTCGTCAACATCTCATAGCCACCGAGCGACGCTCCCGGCCGCGAACAGCGCCAACAACACTGCACAACGTCGTTGTTGTTGTTGAATCTCTTTCCCACCGTACGTAGCCAACCGGAGGTGCAGATCAGAAAGAGCGCCGCGATCACGAGGCCACTGAGTCAGCCCCCCCCTCTCTCGCAAAGTCGGGGGGGTGGAGGAGGGGGGTGGAGGGAGTATGGAGGGGGGGGGCGTGGAGGATGGAGGGGGGGCGTGGAGGGGGGGCGTGGAGGATGGAGGGGGGGCGTGGAGAAGGGGGGTGGAGGGGGGGGGGCTCTCTGGAACGCGTGCGGTTTTTGTTTTTTCCCGAGGAGGCAAAACAGCTGACATCATCACGGGTCCCGTGACTCTGTCAACCACCACCACCCACACCACCATCACCATTACACCAGCACCACCACCCACACCACCAGCACCACCAGCACCACCAGCACCAACCACATCACCAGCACCACCCACACCACCCACACCATTACCACCAACACCACCAGAACCACCCACATCACCCACATCACCAGCACCACCCACATCACCCACATCACCAGCACCACCAGCATCACCATTACCACCAGCACCACCCACACCACCAGCAACCACCCACATCACCCACATCACCAGCACCACCAGCACCACCATCACCATTACCACCAGCACCACCCACACCACCAACACCACCAGCACCACCCACATCACCAGCACCACCCACACCACCCACACCACCAGCACCACCCACACCACCCACCAACACCACCAGCACCACCCACACCACCCACCAACACCACCAGCACCACCCACAGCACCATCACCCACACCACCATTACCACCATCACCATTACCACCAACACCACCAGCACCACCCACACCACCCACCACCAGCGCCACCCACATCACCAGCACCACCAGCAACACCCACATCACCAACCCCACCCACACCACCATCACCATTACCACCAACACCACCAGCGCCACCCACACCACCCACCAACACCACCAGCACCACCCACATCACCAGCACCACCCACACCACCCACCAACACCACCAGAACCACCCGCATCACCAGCACCACCCACACCACCATCACCATTACCACCAACACCACCAGCGCCACCCACACCACCCACCAACACCACCAGCACCACCCACAGCACCATCACCCACACCACCATCACCATTACCACCAACACCACCAGCACCACCAACACCACCAGCACCACCCACACCACCCACCACCACCACACCACTCTAACCACCCCTCCCCTCCTCGCTCCATCTCCTTCCTCTCCTCTCCCCCTCTCGCCTCCATCCCTTCCCCCCATCCCTCTCCATCCTTCTCCCTGACACTTACTCCCTCCCTCCTGTCTCTCCCGTCCATCCCTCCACTTCCTCTCCAAAATCCCCCCCCTCCCTCCTTTGTTTCCACAGAGGAGGCCAAGGCGTTGTTTTTGTACCGCGCCGTGCTGCTGCTGCTGCGGGTCACGTGACGCCATCTCGAGTCGCTGAGGCTGAGAGTTCAGTCGCGATGGGACTCACACACACAGAGAGGTGGACAACTCAGACTCACACACAGGTGGACAACTCAGACACACACACAGGTGGACAACTCAGACACACAGGTGGACAACTCAGACACACAGGTGGACAACTCAGACTCACACACAGAGAGAGGTGGACAACTCGAACTCACGCCCAGGTGGACAACTCAGACTCACACACAGAGAGCGGTGGACAACTCAGATTCACACACAGGTGGACAACTCAGACACACAGATGGATAACTCAGACACACACAGGTGGACAACTCAGACTCACACACAGGTGGACAACTCGGACTCACGCACAGGTGGACAACTCAAACTCACACAGGTAGACAACTCAGACTCACACAGAGAGAGGTTGACAACTCGGACTCACACACAGGTGGACAACTCAGACTCACACACAGGTGGACAACTCAAACTCACACAGGTAGACAACTCAGACTCACACAGAGAGAGGTTGACAACTCGGACTCACACACAGGTGGACAACTCAGACTCACACACAGGTGGACAACTCAGACTCACACACAGGTGGGCAACTCAGACACACACACAGGTGGACAACTCAGACTCACACACAGGTGGGCAACTCAGACACACACAGGTGGACAACTCAGACTCACACACAGGTGGACAACTCAGACTCACACACAGGTGGACAACTCGGACTCACACACAGGTGGACAACTCAGACTCGCACACAGGTGGACAACTCAGACACACACACACACAGGTGGACAACTCAGACTCACACACAGGTGGACAACTCAGACTCACACACAGGTGGACAACTCAGACACACACACAGGTGGACAACTCAGACACACACACAGGTGGACAACTCAGACACACACAGGTGGACAACTCAGACACAGGTGGACAACTCAGACACACACACAGGTGGACAACTCAGACTCACACAGGTAGACAACTCAGACTCACACAGAGAGAGGTGGACAACTCAGACTCACACACAGGTGGACAACTCAGACTCACACACAGGTGGACAACTCAGACACACACAGGTGGACAACTCAGACACACACACAGGTGGACAACTCAGACTCACACACAGGTGGACAACTCAGACACACACACACAGGTGGACAACTCAGACTCACACAGAGAGAGGTGGACAACTCAGACTCACACACAGGTGGACAACTCAGACACACACAGGTGGACAACTCAGACACACACACAGGTGGACAACTCAGACTCACACAGGTAGACAACTCAGACTCACACACAGGTGGACAACTCAGACTCACACACAGGTGGACAACTCAGACTCACACACAGGTGGACAACTCAGACACACACAGGTGGACAACTCAGACACACACACACAGGTGGACAACTCAGACTCACACACAGGTGGACAACTCAGACTCACACACAGGTGGACAACTCAGACTCACACACAGGTGGACAACTCAGACACACACACAGGTGGACAACTCAGACTCACACAGAGAGAGGTGGACAACTCAGACTCACACACAGGTGGACAACTCAGACACACACACAGGTGGACAACTCAGACACACACAGGTGGACAACTCAGACATAGGGGAGGACCAGGACCGCTGGGTTGGTTGCGGAGTGCGTGCTGACGGCTGCACCACCGCTCCCCTCGCAGACACGCGCCCAACGACACAGAGAGACACACAGAGACACAAAGACTCACGTACACACACACACAACAAAGACAAAGATCCCACCATAGCAGTCTCTTTAGGCTGTTGTTGCTGCTGCTGTTGTGGCCCATAGCAGTCTGTTTAGGCTGTTGCTGTTGTGGCCCATAGCAGTCTGTTTAGGCTGTTGATGCTGCTGTTGTTGTGGCCCATAGCAGTCTGTTTAGGCTGTTGATGCTGCTGCTGTTGTGGCACATAGTAGTCTGTTTAGGCTGTTGATGCTGCTGCTGTTGTGGCCCATAGTAGTCTGATTAGGCTGTTGATGCTGCTGTTGTTGTGGCCCATAGCAGTCTGTTTAGGCTGTTGCTGCTGTTGTGGCCCATAGCAGTCTGTTTAGGCTGTTGATGCCGCTGTTGTTGTGGCCCATAGCAGTCTGTTTAGGCTGTTGCTGCTGTTGTGGCTCATAGCAGTCTGTTTAGGCTGTTGATGCTGCTGTTGTTGTGGCCCATAGCAGTCTGTTTAGGCTGCTGCTGCTGCTGTTGTGGCCCATAGCAGTCTGTTTAGGCTGTTGATGCTGCTGTTGTTGTGGCCCATAGCAGTCTGTTTAGGCTGCTGCTGCTGCTGTTGTGGCCCATAGCAGTCTGTTTAGGCTGTTGATGCTGCTGTTGTTGTGGCCCATAGCAGTCTGTTTAGGCTGCTGCTGCTGCTGTTGTGGCCCATAGCAGTCTGTTTAGGCTGTTGCTGTTGTTGTGGCCCATAGCAGTCTGTTTAGGCTGCTGCTGCTGCTGTTGTGGCCCATAGCAGTCTGTTTAGGCTGTTGCTGTTGTTGTGGCCCATAGCAGTCTGTTTAGGCTGTTGCTGTTGTGGCCCATAACAGTCTGTTTAGGCTGTTGCTGTTGTGGCCCATAGCAGTCTGTTTAGGCTGTTGCTGCTGCTGTTGTGGCCCATAGCAGTCTGTTTAGGCTGTTGCTGTTGTTGTGGCCCATAGCAGTCTGTTTAGGTTGTTGTTGCTGCTGTTGTGGCCCATAGCAGTCTGTTTAGGCTGTTGCTGTGGCCCATAGCAGTCTGTTTAGGCTGCTGTTGCTGCTGTTGTTGTGGCCCATAGCAGTCTGTTTAGGCTGTTGCTGTTGTTGTGGCCCATAGCAGTCTGTTTAGGCTGTTGCTTTTGTTGTGGCCCATAGCAGTCTGTTTAGGCTGTTGTTGCTGCTGTTGTTGTGGCCCATAGCAGTCTGTTTAGGCTGTTGCTGTTGTTGTGGCCCATAGCAGTCTGTTGAGGCTGTTGCTGTGGCCCATAGCAGTCTGTTTAGGCTGCTGTTGCTGCTGTTGTTGTGGCCCATAGCAGTCTGTTTAGGCTGTTGCTGTTGTTGTGGCCCATAGCAGTCTGTTTAGGCTGTTGCTGTTGTTGTGGCCCATAGCAGTCTGTTTAGGCTGTTGCTTTTGTTGTGGCCCATAGCAGTCTGTTTAGGCTGTTGTTGCTGCTGTTGTTGTGGCCCATAGCAGTCTGTTTAGGCTGTTGCTGTTGTTGTGGCCCATAGCAGTCTGTTTAGGCTGTTGCTGTGGCCCATAGCAGTCTGTTTAGGCTGCTGTTGCTGCTGTTGTTGTGGCCCATAGCAGTCTGTTTAGGCTGTTGCTGTGGCCCATAGCAGTCTGTTTAGGCTGCTGTTGCTGCTGTTGTTGTGGCCCATAGCAGTCTGTTTAGGCTGTTGCTGTTGTTGTGGCCCATAGCAGTCTGTTTAGGCTGTTGCTGCTGTTGTGGCGCATAGCAGTCTGTTTAGGCTGTTGCTGCTGTTGTGGCCCATAGCAGTCTGTTTAGGCTGTTGCTGTGGCCCATAGCAGTCTGTTTAGGTTGTTGATGCTGCTGTTGCTGCTGCTGCTATACGGGTGGTGCGTTGTTCTTTGTCTTTGTTTTTGGCAGAGGTGGTGCAGCGGTGAGCCGCGCTCTGAATCCCGTGGGGTCCCGAGATCGACGCTCGCTCACGGCCACTGAACGTGACAGAAGGTGGCTCAAACCCTCCATGCGTGGGGGTGGTGGGTTGGTGTCAGCGGGGGCGGGGGGGGGGCAGGGAGTGAGCGGCCAAAGTTAGGAGCGGCAAGACGACCCGGGCGGAGAGGACTCGGCGCGGCCACCGAGGGAGGCGTGGGAGCGATCGAAACAACGTGAAGATTCTAAACAAAACAAAAACTCGAACCAAACAACTTCTTATCGGTTGCTACCTTGGCAAGGCTTCGCTGAGATTTTTTTTGTTTGTTGCGGAAGCGACCTGGCTATCTCAGATGATAGCTCAACGAAAGTGGCTCACAATCATGATTATCATCACGTGGACATTCGTACCAGCCGTGAGATGGGTGGCCGTTTGAGTCGACACACGTGAACAGCATCCACGCAAAATCTCTCGCTGTGCGTGCTAAACTACTCAGCAACTCGACGAGTGTGAGATTAAAAGCAGCCCTGCACTGTGTATCATTGTGAGTGATGGTGTGTGATGATTATGATGATGGTGTGTGTTTGCGTGAGTGTGTGTGGGGAGCGGTGGTGTAGTGGTTAGCACTGCGCTGCGAACCCGCCGACCCGAGTTCGATTCCCGCTCACGGCCAACACCGGTGACGATTATCTGAACCGGTCCTGGGCCTCCCCCTAGATCGACTCGGCCTCAAATTAGTACCTGGTGCGGTGCGTTAAATAATCTCCACTGGGGAGACAAAGAGAGCCGGGCGTGGTGATGGCCACCCACCCCCTCGTGTGCCGTGCCGGCCTTCATAGGTGCTCGCTAACAGCACTTGCCCCAACAGTCTGTTACAGGCTACTCACTTACCTACTCACTTACCCACCTACTCACCCACCTACTCACCCATCCACTCACCCACCCACTCACTCACCTACTCACTTACCCATCCACTCACCCACTCACCCACCCACTCACTCACCCACTCACCCACCTACTCACCCACTCACCCACCTACTCACCCACTCACCCACCTACTCACCCACTCACCCACCTACTCACCCACTCACCCACCTACTCACCCACTCACCCACCTACTCACCCACTCACCCACCTACTCACCCACTCACCCACCTACTCACCCACCCACCTACTCACCCACCCACCTACTCATCCACCCACCTACTCACCCACCCACCCACTCACCCCGTGGTTCACGACAGGAGCTCACAGTCCCTACCTCTCCGCTGAAGGAGCGATTGGAGACGGACTCCCCCGGGGCCTCCTCCACGGTCGCGATCGCAGCGGCCAGCAGCGAGAGGAGGAGAGCAGACAGAGCGCTGGGTGCCTGCAGCCTCATGATCACGAATCACCTCTCAACACTCCTACTCCGACTGAGAGTCTGGAGATCTGATTCCCCCACTTCCTCTCCCCCACTCCCCCACTCGCTCTCTCCCCCACTCTCTAAGTCAAAGTCTCCCCCTCCACTCTCTCTACCCCCGCTACACTCTATTTTTTTTTACGATCAGAGGAAACAAGAAGATGCTCGGTGTAGTCGGCACTTGGCTTCGTTCATCATTTCGGGGTTTTTTTCAATGCTCTGCTTTTTGTGCCCCCCACCCCCCCTTTTTAAATGAAAGATTTCGCAAAAGATTTCACGCTCTTCTCTCCTCCTTCTCTCTACCCCCTCTCTCTCCCCCTACTCTCTCTCTCTCCCTCTCCCCTACTTTCCCTCTCCTACTCGCTCCCTCTCCTCTCTCCCTCTCTCCCCTCTCTCTTTTCCTCCCCCCTCCTCCCCTACACGCCTTCAGCCAATGTGGCCCGCGCGTGCGGGGAGGGTGACGTATGGACTACGACGTCCTTGTCGTACTTTTGTATGTTGAACTTCTTTCGCACCGCACGTAGCCAACCGCGCTGATGATCCGTAGGTGCGGGGAGCGGTGGTGCAGTGGTTTAGCGCGACGCTGCGCTCACGGCCACCGCCTGCCTACAGCGGTGATACATCGTCTGAGCGCGGTTCTGGGACTCCGTCTAGGTCGACTCAGCCTCGAATGAGTACCTGGGTGCGGTGTGTGGTAATGAACATCGCCACTCGGGGGAGACAAAGGCGGCCTGGCGTGGTGCTCGCCACCCAGCCCCCCGTCCCTCGTGTGCCACAGTGAGGGTGCTGCTACTCGCTAACAGCACTTGCCCCAACAGTTTGTTAAGGCTACACGTGGGGGGGGGGAGTCTTTGTCTTGAGGGTTATGGAGGGAGACACGGGGGGGGGGGGTTAGGTATGTGCTGGCACAAATCTGCGTTAGAGAAATAAAAAATAAAAATATCTCTCTCTCGTTTCCAGTTCGTCAACTATGCCCGCTGGCTTAGAACGGGGAGAGAACACCACCACCATGAGCTGGGGAAGTGCACATTAGAATAAAACCCTTCCTCGCGTGAAGCTCTGCTGCTGCTTGTTGTGAGAGTGGGGGGTCACTTTGTTGTTGAAGCTCGCGCTGGGGGGCAGTGTGGGAGCGACCTCGTGCTGAGCCAGTGGGGTCACTGGTGATGGTGGTGAGTGTCTGGTGAGCGTCTGGTGGGTGTCTGGCGAGTGCGTGGTGCCTGGTGAGTGAATAGTGAAGGTCTGGTGCATGGTGAGTGTCTGGTGAGTGTCTGGTGAGTGGTGTCTCTGGGGAGTGGTGTCTGGTGAGTGAGTGGTGCGTGGTGAGTGTCTGGTGAGTGCCTGGTGAGTGAGTGGTGAGTGTATGCTGCGTGGTGAGTGCCTGGTGTATGAGTGAGTGGTGAGTGTATGGTGCGTGGTGAGTGCCTGGTGTATGAGTGAGTGGTGAGTGTCTGGTGAGTGATGAGTGAGTGGTGAGTGTATGGTGCGTGGTGAGTGTCTGGTGTATGAGTGAGTGGTGAGTGCCTGGTGTATGAGTGAGTGGTGAGTGAGTGGTGAGTGTATGGTGCGTGGTGAGTGCCTGGTGTATGAGTGAGTGAGTGGTGAGTGAGTGGTGAGTGTCTGATGAGTGAGTGGTGCGTATATGGTGCGTGGTGAGTGCCTGGTGTATGAGTGAGTGGTGAGTGAGTGGTGAGTGTATGGTGCGTGGTGAGTGCCTGGTGTATGAGTGAGTGGTGAGTGTCTGGTGAGTGCCTGGTGAGTGAGTGGTGAATGTATGGTGCGTGGTGAGTGTCTGGTGAGTGCTGCGTCTCTGGTGAGTGTCTGGGCTAGTGGTGAGTGGTGAGTGTCTGGGGAGTGGTGTCTGGTTAGTGGTGTCTGGTGAGTGTCTGCGGAGTTGTGTCTGGTGAGTGAGTGGTGGTCTGGAGAGTGGTGAGTGTCTATTACGTGTGGTGTCTGGTGAGTGTCTGGGGAGTGGTGAGTGAGTGGTGGTCTAGAGAGTGGTGAGTGTCTATTGCGTGTGGTGTCTGGTGAGTGTCTGGGGAGTGATGAGTAAGTGGTGGTCTGGGGAGTGGTGACTGTCTATTGCGTGTGGTGTCTGGTGAGTGTCTGGGGAGTGGTGAGTGAGTGGTGGTCTGGGGAGTGGTGAGTGTCTGGTGAGTGGTGAGTGTCTGGGGAGTGGTGAGTGTCTGGGGAGTGGTGAGTGTCTGGGGAGTGGTGAGTGTCTGGGGAGTGGTGAGTGTCTATTGCGTGTGGTGTCTGGTGAGTGTCTGGGGAGTGGTGAGTGAGTGGTGATCTGGGGAGTGGTGAGTGTCTGGGGAGTGGTGAGTGTCTGGGGAGTGGTGAGTGTCTGGGGAGTGGTGAGTGAGTTGTGATCTGGGGAGTGGTGAGTGTCTGGTGAGTGGTGAGTGTCTGGGGAGTGGTGAGTGTCTGGGGAGTGGTGAGTGTCTGGGGAGTGGTGAGTGTCTGGGGAGTGGTGAGTGTCTGGGGAGTGGTGAGTGTCTGGGGAGTGGTGAGTGTCTATTGCGTGTGGTGTCTGGTGAGTGTCTGGGGAGTGGTGAGTGAGTGGTGATCTGGGGAGTGGTGAGTGTCTGGGGAGTGGTGAGTGTCTGGGGAGTGGTGAGTGTCTGGGGAGTGGTGAGTGAGTTGTGATCTGGGGAGTGGTGAGTGTCTGGGGGGTGGTGAGTGGCTGGTGAGTGGTGAGTGTCTATTGCGTGTGGTGTCTGGTGAGGCTGAGTGAGCGGAGTCTGGTGAGTGGTGAGTGCCCAAAACAACAAATCATCTCTACACATTCCGTGTCAACAACACCACGGAGTTCATCTGCTTTGGTTCTATCGGTAAAGTCACGTAGAATGAGAATTAAATAATAAATTAATACAATAAAATAACAGGACGACAAGTCTGTTCCTTTCACCTGAAGAAGGCCACTTGTGTTGTGGCCGAAACGTCGTGAGAATTTAATTGCGTTATTTTATTAATTTATTATTTTATTCACATTCTACGTGACTTTACCGAAAGAACCAAAGAAGATGAATCCTTGCGGTCACGAAAGCTTTAAATCGAAACACCACGGAGTGCTGCTGCCTCAAGAGGTAAAGTACACAATAGGCGACGTTTCGGGCAATGGTCCTAAAGGAGACGCCACGGCGATAATGGATGCTGTGTGACGCATGGCCAAGACGAGCAGCCGAGTTGCGGCCAAAGTTTTAGTTTATTTTTTATTTTGGTATAGCCCTGTGAGCCATTCGGCTCTTGAATCGGGTACAACCGCAACAAACACAAAAACATGAACAAGAAAACATCTTAAAGTGACTTTGTGTGACTGTGCAAACAGAAAATCCATGGGAAAAAAAACAGCAAAATATTCCTGAAAAAGCACCGTACACCAACGCTGTGTGCGAAAAATCCCAGTGGGATGCAAGTCAAACAACAACAACAACCACAAGAAAACTTCGATTTAAAGCTTTCGTGACTGCAATGATTCATCTTCTTTGGTTCTTTCGGTAAAGTCACGTAGAATGAGAATAAAATAATAAATTGATAAAATAAATTAGTGAGAATATTATTGTGTTATTTTATTTTATCAATTTATTATTTTATTCTCATTCTACGTGACTTTACCGAAAGAACCAAAGAACACAAGAAAACTTATATTAAGGCCATCAGTCTAACTCCGTACTACAACAAAACAAACATGTCCAAACCAAAAAACTTTTCGAAATCACCAAAAAATAAAGCCATAATTGCAACGTAACTGTGATCACAGGGACTGTGACCGAATTTTTACAATAAACTACATAAATAGCATGTAACACCAAATCCTAGAGCCATAGCTGGCTGCATGAGTTACTCCACAACAACAGGAGCATCAGTCGGAGTATCACATTTTTCAATGCACCTTTAAGATCAGCACGCTAAATCAAAATACAGATAATACTTTGCAGCGTCATCCAGAGCGAAACATTTTATTTTACGCCAATGAATAGCAGTGGCAGCTAGGGGTGTACAACTCCTCTAGAGCAGTTTTGAGAGAAGATCTAATTGGTAGCGATTCAAGTTGCAGTTTATTGGCAATAACATTCCAGACCCTGGAGGCATCAATAGCAAAGGCCCTTCCTCCAGTTTTTGTACGGCAATAGGGAATGTGAAGCTGGTAAATGAGCGAAGACCTGAGGTCAAATTTGTTCTTTGAAACAGAGAGGAGATCCAGTAGGTAGTCTGCGGAATTTTTTGTAAGTACATCGTGAATAAATAAGATCTGGTGCATAAGCCGTCGAACATTAAGAGATGTTAAGTTTGACCCAATGTAGAGATCACAGTGGTGAGTGCTATATGGGCAGTTCAATGTAAATCTTAAGGCCGAGTGATAGATGGAATCAAGCTTCTTCAGTACAGTACTTGGGGCTGATTTATACACGATGTCACAGTAGTCAAGTAGAGGCAGTATGGTAGCTTTTATCAATTCCAAACGGAACATTGGGGGGAAGCAATGCTTGTGTCGATATAGCGAGCACGTCCACGGATGAGATGGAGCGATGGAACGTGGATCAGTATAACATCGCAGGTTCTGTGAGATATAAAAAAACATCGCTGCCAACCCCTTAACTTATCACAGACCAACTCAGACCCCATTGGTCACGCCGTGTGCCCCCTTAATAAATCTCAACGTTCATCCTACAAAGTCCCATCAACAAGGGAGAGACACGAACACAAGAAAGACATTTTTATTTTGTCGTCTGTATTGAAACGGCTGTAGGCCGTACGGACTTGAAAGGGGCCGTCCATAAATGACGTCACGCACCTAGGGGGGGTCAGACATTTGTGACGATGTGTGACGAGGGGGGAGGGGTTGAGAAATGTGACGTCACATCAAAATGCGCAACTTTATAAATAAATATAGACAACACGTTCTACTTAATTAAATAGACTTTTTAAATAAAAGTTTTCTCCTACAACATCAGAGTGCAGCGCCACATTAAATACGCACCACAATGACAATAGTTTAAAGCGATTTGAAGCATGTTTTATTTTTTTTTTTGGGGGGGGGCAGAGCTTTGTGACGTCATATTTGAGGGGGGGGGGTCTGACTTTTTGTGAAGCCGTGTGACGAGGGGTGGGGGGTCAAAAATCGTCCAAAATCACGTGACGTCATTTATGGACGACCCCAAAGCTGCATTTCCCTGTCCAAGAACAGAGCAAGGAGGAACACGTGGACTTGAGTAGCCGTCCTTGTATGGACCCCCCCCCACTAATCACGCGTGAATATTCATGAGCTCATAATGTGCCTAACCCCGCCGCCTCCCCTCCCCGTATGAGCATATATGGGCACGCCACGCCCACAGATCATTATGAATATTCATGAGCTCATAATGTGCCAACCCCCCCGCCTCCGATCCCCGTATGAGCATATATGGGCACGCCACGCCCACATATCATTATGAATATTCATGAGCTGATAATAAGCCAAACCCGCCCCCGCCTCCCCTCCACTTATGACCATATATGGGCACACCCACGAATTAGTTATGAATATGCATGAGCTCATAAACAGCAACCCCGCCCCCCCCCACTTATGACCATATATGGGCACGCCACGTCCACTGCTTAATTAGGAATAACCACGAATTAATTATCCAAATCCCCCCCTCGTGTACACAAATATGCACTCCGCTGATTTACGAATAAACATTTATACGTGAATAATAATTTATTTATGAATAACGAATAATAATGCATTAATGACCATAAAATAATATTAATTCATAATCATAAATGGGTTTTATCATTAATTTATTATTAATAATGATTTGTTATACAACCCCCGCCCTCCGTATGACCAAATAAAGGCAGGCCACGCCCATCAACGCGTACCGTGACTCTCTAGGCCACGTGTCTCTCTAGACCCACGCCTATTGGCTGAGCCCTTCGCTATAAGTACCCGGCAGTCGTGAATTGTCTGACAGCTCCACCTGTAGGTGAGTGTGGTGAGTGTGGTGGCGAGTGGTGGCGAGTGGTGAGGGTAGCGAGTGGTGAGTGGTGACGGTGGCGAGGGTGGTGTGGGTGGTGTGGGTGGTGTGGGTGGTGAGTGTGGTGAGGGTGGTGAGGGTGGTGTGAGTGGTGAGGGTGGCGTGAGTGGTGAGGGTGGCGTGGGTGGCGTGAGTGGTGAGGGTGGTGTGAGTGGTGTGGGTGGTGTGAGTGGTGAGGGTGGCGAGTGGTGAGGGTGGCGAGTGGTGTGAGTGGTGTGAGTGGTGAGGGTGGTGAGGGTGGTGTGAGTGGTGAGGGTGGTGATGCTGGTGATGCTGGTGAGGGTGGTGAGGGTGGTGTGTAAGTCGTGTCTGGTGAGTGTGGTGAGTATCTTGTGAGAGTGAGTGGCGAGTAAGTGGTGTCTGGTGAGTGGTGAGTGTGGTGAGTGGTGAAAGCACGTGCCCCCCCCCAACCACCCCATCATCTTCCAGTGATCCACCAACCCTGCCCTGTCCACTCTCTCACCCAACGCTACCAGTGACAACGCTGTTGATGTCCCTCCTGCTGTGGTGTTGTGCCTTGAGAACCGTACGGTGTGAAAGAAGTTCAACGTGTACAAAGACAAAGATCCCCCATATAGCCTGTAATAGACTGTAGGGAGCAAGTGCTGTTAGCGAGCACCTATGAAGGCCGGCACGGCACACGAGGGGATGGGCGGCCAGCACCACGCCCGGCCGCCTTTGTCTCCCAAGTGGCGATGTTTACTACACACCGCACCAGGTACTCATTTGAGGCTGAGTCGACCTAGGGGAGGAGGCCTAGGACCGGTTCAGAATCGAACTCGGATCACCAGGTTCTTAGCAACGTAGTGCTCCACCACCGCTCCCCAACGTGTACACACACACACACCTACACACACACACACCTACACACACACACACCTACACACACACACACCTACACACACACACCTACACACACACACCTACACACACACACCTACACACACACACCTACACACACACACCTACACACACACACCTACACACACACACCTACACACACACCACACACAAAGATCCCCCATATAGCCTTAACAGACTGTAGGGGCAAATGCTGTTAGCGAGCAGCACCTATGAAGGCCGGAACGGTACACGAGGGGGTGGGTGGCCAGCACCACGCCCGACCGCCTTTGTCTCCCTAGTGGCGATGTTTACACACCGCAACCTGGTACTCATTTGAGGCTGAGTTGACCTAGGGGAGGCCCGGGACCGGTTCAGATAATCGTCACCGGTGTTGGCCGTGAGCGGGAATCGAACCCGGGTCGCCAGGTTACATACACACCCCCCCCCCTACACACCCACCCAGACACACACCCCACACACACCGATACAAGACACATACACCCCTACACATACACCCCTCCACACAACCACACACACACCCCTACACACACACCCACCCACCTAGACACACCCCTACACACACACCCACACCCCTACACACAACCACACACACACAGACACCCACACACACACACAGACACCCACACACACCCACACACACATCCACGTCGTTGCAATCGAACTCGACTCTTGCTTCCTCGGCTAAATATAGCGACCGTGGAGTGGGCAGCTGCGACTCTGGCATTCCTTCTGCCTCTCTCCAGAAGCCGCCATCACCTCCCCCGACACCCCCCACTCTGTCTCTCTCCAACATTCCTTCCGTTTTTCCAGAAGGAATTAACATCATCACCTCCATCATCATCATCACCACCACCACTAACATCACTTCGCCATCATCATCTTCACCACCACTATCGTCATCATCACCACTGTCATCATCGTCATTGTCACCGTCGTCATTGTCATCGTCATCACCACCACCGTCATTGTCATCGTCATCACCACCATCGCCACCACCACCATCGTCATCGCCACCACCACCACCGTCATCACCACCACCACTATCACCACTTCAGCTATCATTATCTTCACCACCACCATCGTCATCATCACCACCGTCATCATCGTCATTGTCACCGTCGTCATTGTCATCGTCATCACCACTATCGTCATCGCCACCGTCATCGCCACCACCACCATCATCACCACCACCATCATCATCAACGCCAAAAGGCGAACAGTGACACTGGTGGTGAGGCGAGGCCCGAGAGAAAGCTTCTGCTGCTGCTGCTGTCTCTGTTGGAGGCCAATCAGTGTCGAAGACAGTTCACACATTAAGAGTCGAGTCAAGAATTCACACATTGCTACCAGAGCAACTTTGTGTTTGCGTGTTCACCACAAGCACTGTGGTGTGTGGTTAATGCGAACTTGATTCCTTGCAAAAAGTTTATGTTTGGTGTTTGAACATCTTAACTCCTGTTTTATTGCCAGAAAGGGCAAAACCTATTATTATTATTTGTTCATACTAATATAGAGACACATTGAGATCCATAGACACTTTGAGACCCATAGAGGCTCACTGAAATCCAGAGACACATTAAGACCCATAGACACATTGAGACCCATAGAGGCTCACTGAAATCCAGAGGCACATTGAGACCCATAGACACATTGAGACCCATAGAGGCTCACTGAAATCCAGAGGCACATTGAGACCCATAGATACTCACTGAAATCTAGAGACACATTGAGACCCATAGAGGCTCGCTGAAATCTAGAGACACATTGAGACCCATAGAGGCTCGCTGAAATCCAGAGACACATTGAGACCCATAGACACATTGAGACCCATAGAGGCTCACTGAAATCCAGAGACACATTGAGACCCATAGAGGCTCGCTGAAATCTAGAGACACATTGAGACCCGTAGACACATTGAGACCCATAGAGGCCCAATGAAATCCAGAGACACATTGAGACCCATAGAGGCTCGCTGAAATCTAGAGACACATTGAGACCTGAAGAGAGGCACGCTAAGGTAGACATGGGGAAGGTAAAAAAATCACTTCTAAAAAATATAAACTAAAACTCTCTTACCAGGTAAAGCCCACTTGAGATATCAGCTTCATGAAAGTCTCCTGCACGGTATCCACGCCGCAGCCCGCCCGCCCGCCCGCTGGTGTCCCGTTGCAATGGGCCGCGTCTATATTTAGGGTGGGAGTCGCCGCCTCCGCTCCCTTATATAGAGCAGCAGTGCTCGCACGGAGAGCCACACGCTCCTCCGTCCACTGGCTACCGCTGTTCACCAGCTCGCTCGTAACCAGGTCACTCACCCGCTGTTCACCAGCTCGCTCGCTCACCCGCTGTTCACCAGCTCGCTCGCTCAGCCGCTGTTCACCAGCTCGCTCGTAACAAGGTCACTCACGCACTGCTCACCAACTCACTCGCTCACTCGTAACGAGGTCACTCACCCGCTGCTCACCAACTCACTCGCTCACTCGTAACGAGGTCACTCACCCGCTGCTCACCAACTCACTCGCTCACTCGTAACGAGGTCACTCACCCGCTGCTCACCAACTCACTCGCTCACTCGTAACGAGGTCACTCACCCGCTGCTCACCAACTCACTCGCTCACTCATGCTGTGCGTGGTTTTTTTTGTCGATATCATCGACAGGTCATCGCAAACCCACGGTGTCTTGTGGAGTTTGCTGGAGTCTGGTGGAGTCTGGTGGAGTCTGGTGGAGTTTGGTGGAGTTTGCTCAAGTTCGGTGGAGTCTGGTGGAGTCTGGTGGAGTTCGCTGGAGTTTGGTGAAGTCTGGTGGAGTCTGGTGGAGTTCGCTGGAGTTTGGTGAAGTCTGGTGGAGTCTGCTGGAGTTCGCTGGATTTTGCTGGAGTTTGGTGGAGTTTTGTGGCGTTTGCTCGAGTTTGGTGGAGTTCGCTGGAGTTTGGTGGAGTTCGCTGGAGTCTGCTGGAGTCTGCTGGAGTTTGCTCAAGTTCGGTGGCGTGGGTGAGATCAGCAGCTTCTCTCCATGGCGTCCCAGTGCTACAACAGGGGCTGCGGAAAGACGTTTGAACCATCAGAGAATGGAGAGGGTGAGCGAGCGAGTAAATGGGTCAATGAGTGGGTGTACGAGTGAGTGGATGGGTGGACGAGTTGGCCAGTAAGTGGGCGAGTGGCTGAGTGGGTGAGTGAGTGGACGGGTGGACGAGTTGGCCAGTAAGTGGGCGAGTGGCTGAGTGGGTGAGTGAGTGGACGGGTGGGCGAGTTGGCCGGTAAGTGGGCGAGTGGCTGAGTGGGTGAGTGAGTGGACGGGTAGGTGAGTTGGCCAGTAAGTGGGTGAGTTGGTGAGTGGATGAGTGAGTGGGGGTGGGTAAGCGAATGGATGAGTGATTGAACGATTGGGTGAGTGACTCTGAATTATTATTTAGTGAGTGAGTGAGAGCGAGTTGGATGAGTGGGTGAGTGAGTGGACGGGTGAGCGAGTTGGCCGGTAAGTGGACGAGTGGCTGTGTGGGTAAGTGGACGGGTGGGTGAGTTGGCCGGTAACTGGGTGAGTTGGTGAGTGTGGGTGGGTAAGTGACTGGATGAGTGATTGAACGATTGGGTGAGTGACTGACTGAATGATGATTTAGTGAGTGAGTGAGAGCGAGTTGGATGAGTGTGTGAGTGAACTGTGTGCAGTTTGTTGGTGATGGATGCACGTACAGTATTCACACACACTATGCACCAGGGGTGGCCAACCTATCACAGACCATGAGCCAAAAGGTACCCATGAGGTCTGCAAAGAGCCATGTGTGTATATATCTATAAGTGTGTATATATTGACGGTCTTCGGCACAGCACGGGAGACATTCATCATTCTTTGCTGCTACTGCGATAGCGCGTTCTACGTTACGCCCCTTCTAAAGAGCCTCATGTGGCTTAAGGAGACGCTGTGTGACGTTGGTCCAGAGACCTCACCTGTGCGCGCCCGTGTGTCCCTGTTCCCAGGTGCGTGCTCATACCACCCCGGCAGAGCCATCTTCCACGACGCCTTGAAGGTACTGCCCTCCCAATCGTTCTCTCCCTCGTTCTCTCGCTCGTTCCCCGTTCGTTCGGCACCGGCCGCTCCGCACCGCTACTCACTCACGCTCACACGCCTGTCGGCCACATGCAGCGACTTGGGCATTTCAATCGGTGTGAGGGTGGTGGTGGTGGTGGTGATGGTGGTTGTGACGAGGCCCGCAGAGATGGAGGGAGGCCTTCATCCAGCAGTGTATGAGAATTAAAATATGTATTCTGGAAATATACGATGATCCATGAAGATATTTTTGTCACAGATGTGACAGTAAATGGGGGCACGAGGTCAGAAAGTTACTACAACAACAACAACAAACAACACAGACAACACGATAGGAGTGCAGAGTATAGGAAAGGTAAACAAATCGCTAATAATAAATATAACTTCAAATTGCACAAGCACACCAATTCCCAAGCTTGGGCAAGGCAGCAAAACAACAGCAAGAAGAGTCCCAGACCACACCAAGACAACAACAATAGGGATTGCACATTACAATGAAACTGTCGATACACGTAAGGATGAAAGTTACAAATCACATTTGCGACCTCATTCATCTTCTGCTTCGGGACATTTTTTTCGTGAAGGAAGATTTACGATTTTAAGGGAGGAAACGAGGTTGTTCCAAGACCATTGCCGCTGCAGCTGCCGCCGATGCTGCTGCCGCTGATGCTGCTGATGCTGCCGCTGCCACTGATGATGCTGCTGCTGATGTCACTGATGATGTTGCTGCTGATGTCACTGGTGATGCTGTTGCTGATGTCACTGATGATGTCACTGATGATGCTGCTGCTAATGCTGCTGTTGATGCTGCTGCTGATGCTGCTGCCGATGTCACTGATGCTGCTGCTGCTGCTGCCGCCGCTGTGTGTGTGTCAGGGCTGGTCGTGCTGCAAGAAGAGAACCTGCGACTTCTCCGAGTTCCTCGGCATCCCCGTGAGTCCCCGGAGCATCGTCGCGGACAACCGCGGGGTTCACAGTGGCCGTGTCGAGGCCGCCGAGCCAGAGCCGCCGATTCAAGGCCGCCGATTCAGGGCCGCCGATTCAGGGCCGCCGAGTCAGGGCCGCCGAGCTCCCCTGGGGTTTTCGATCCCCTGGGTCTGGGTGTCGTGAATCTCAGCGGGTTCACAGTGGCCGTGTCACACACAGCCCACTGTTGAGCAAATGAATTGAATCCGATGTTGCTTTACTCGGTCCAAGATGACGACGATGACGACGACGACGATGACAATGATGACGACAATGATGGTGACGGTAATAACGATGATGATGATGAGAGCAACTAATAGCTATGCTTATAATGATGATGGTGGTGATGAAGGTGACTATGATGATGATAATGACGATGATGATGATAATGACAATCGTGACAACGACGACGATAACGATGGCGATCGCCGTGTCTCCACCAGGGCTGTACGCGCGGCCGCCACAGCTCGGAGAAGCCGGTGGAGGAGGCGAAGGAGGAGGAGGCGACGAGGGATGGAGCGGAGGTGACCGGGCGGGGCGGAGAGTCCGCCGAGTCGACGTCGATGCCCGCCCCGAGGAAGGAGCTGATCTTCCGCGGCCCCCCTCCGGCCAAGAACAAGGCCCCCCGCCCCAGGTTCGTTCGCTCGGTTTCAGTCCCCTTCATCCCCCGCGGGACGCGAGGCCGCAATGAGTTTCCCTCTTTGCGGCCTTACCCTTGGCAACATGTGGAGCCTCGTCCCAACAGAGGTCGACCGCCGCTACCACCGGCTCCTCCTTCACGGTCTGGCGCCGAGTGGCCACGGCTCTCCCAGAGTTTCCTTTTGCCCGGCGATGTTCATCTTGGGGGTGGCCGGGACGCCCCTGGTCCATTCCCGAGAACGTGTCGGAGCTGTCCTGAGTGTCGCGTGATATTATGACGAACCGGGTCGTCTTGTGCGGTCCGGTGTCGTGGATTTTGTTTGGCCAGAAGATGCAGCTGCAGATTCTCCCGAGGCGTCTGTTACGGAACGACTCGCGTACCCTCTGTCGTGTCGCGCTTGACGACGTGACAACTCTCCGAGGCGTACAACAACAGCACCGATTTAACGTTGCTGTTATGCAGCTCTGCCAGGTCAAGGCCCACTGATCTGTGTGTAACCCTTTTGTCAGAAGCGAACTGGCCATCACAAATGGTAGCAGCTCAACGAAAGTGGCGGCTTGTCATCATCACGTGGAATTTAGGGCAGCAGCCTCTAAAACGCGCGCTGACGTTGATTCTAAATGTGAAGGGGAGAAAAAAAGGAGGACCCGGAGACAAATCCACACGGTACCACGGAGAGAGAGAGAGAGACACAAACTCCAAATATACAGCAGCAGTAGCAGCAGTAGCAGCAGTAGCAGCAGGCGAGGTAGTTAACATCTCCTATCCACCGTGGTGGTGATGATGAGAGACAGAGAGAGACGCTGCAAACTCCAAATACACAGCAGCAGCAGCAGGCGCCGGGGTCGGGATTGAACCACAACCTCCTTGTACACCAGGCGAGGTCGTTAACATCTCCTATCCACCGTGGTGGTGATGATGAGAGAAAGAGAGAGAGACACGTAGACTCCAAATATACAGCAGCAGGCGTCAGGGTCCGGGATCGAGGCGAGGTAGTTAACATCTCGCCCACGCGGGTGGTGGTGGTGGGGGGAACCTGCAGAACTAGCACGGGTGTAGCGCCTCTAGTGGCTCAAGGAAACCCCAAAGTAGGCCCCAGGATCAGAATGTGTATGAATGCTGGGGGAATCCGATGAGCTTTAAAGCTCATCGGATTTTCCACGGATGTCCAAGTGGCCCAAGGAGCCCAGAAATCTGTGGATGAATCCAACTGGATGCCCAGACGTCAGCGCTAACATCGAGGGTCCTGGTCGTTGTTGTTGTTGTTACCGTTGATGTTGTTACCGTTGTTGTTATTAACGATGTTGTTACCGTTGTTGTTACCGTTGTTGTTGTTACCGTTGTTGTTGTTACCGTTGATGTTGTTACCGTTGATGTTGTTACCGTTGATGTTACCGTTGATGTTGTTACCGTTGATGTTGTTGTTATTAGCGTTATTGTTACCGTTGTGCGTGTGGGTGGGTGGAGGTTTATCTTTGTCATTGCCCCAGGGTGCACCTCTCCTGGCACAAGCGCCCGCGGTGACGTCACCGCCGCTGAGTGGCGAACGGCGGTGGCAGCTGTTGCTGCTGCTGTTGTGCGCGGGAGCGGTAGCGCAGCGTTTAGCGCTATGCTGCGATCACCGGGGGCCCGGCGACCCTGGTCCTGGGCCTGCCCTAGGTCGACTCGGTCTCACAAGAGTAGCTGTTGCGGTGTGTAAACATCGCCACTGGGGAGACAAAGGCGGCCAGGCGGTGACACTAACCACCCATCACCTCGTGTGCTGTTCTGGCCTTCACAGGTGCTGCTCGCTAACAGCACTTGCCCCAACAGTCTGCTAAGGCTACACGGGGAATCTTTGTCTTTGTGCGCCCGAGATGTGTGGTGCGGGTATTTTATTCCATCAAATTCTCCAGCCCCCCCCCCCCCCCCCCACTCGACTCCCCCATGAGTCGTGGGATGGTTGCGGGAGGAGTCTCCATGCCTATCCAGAGTGGTCCTGGGCCTCCCCTAGGTCGACCCAGCCGTAAATGAGTGCTTGGAGCGGGACGCAAAGGTGGATGGATGGACGGACAGGCTGTGCCCGGCACCTTGGTAGACGCTCCCTCGCAGCACGGCACTCGCCCCGACGACCCCCCGCGGTGGCCTAACACGTGGGATGGGGGGGGGGATCGTTTGTCCGTGCGCGCAGTGGGGACGCCCCTCTCAGCGCCCTCCCCGTCGCCGTCTCCGCGTCCCTGCGGCGGGCGCTGCAGGAGGCCGGCGACGCTCGCGCCGCTGCGGCCCACGCCACCAACGGTGAGGCCGGGGTCACGGGGTCACGGGGTCACGGGCTGACGCTCACGGTGGGGGGGACTTGATGATGCCTTGCCAAGGGCATCCAGTCGGCGTTTGAACATCTTAAGACCTCCTTTGTTATTGCCAGGAAGGGTTAGGGCCTTTTTTTTCTGCACGATCCAAGCGCCGGCTCGCACTGCCGGGAAATCGTGTTGGTGCGGCATCTCCCGGCTTGACGCGGGACGACGCAGTCGGGTGTTCGTGCCCACTGCTGCGCGTTTCCTTGCTCTGCTTCTCTATTTGTTTTGCATCTCATCATTTTGGTGGCCCCACCTCCCCCAGGGGTCACCCATGCGAATGTAGTGGGTAATCAACTGGAGGAAGCTTGCTTGAGGCAGCACGTTTATTACAACTTATGAAACTACAATTCAAAGTGGTAACGGCCCCTTCCACCCGATGTCCTACGTAGCCGGCTCGCTCGCCTCTTCGGCTATCACTGCGCCTACACTGCCGGGGGCTTGAGTCTTCTCTCAAGCCTTCGCTGGTTATAAGCTCGGAGCTTGACTGGTACAGCTCAAGCCTCACCCTAGCCAGGGGGTTCGGCTTTGCCCACAGGGCTATTCTCTCTTCAGGGCTCCAGGTCGATCTTCAGTCTTCAGCCGGACGACACTGAGCCCAGCCGTTCAGGGCCCTGCCTTATATACCGGGTCCCGGCTCACTCCGCCCCTGGCCACGCCTCCATTATAGAACCTTCTCGAAGGCCCTGGAGAATGACCTCATCTCCCAGCCCCCTTCCGGGGGGCTGAGGTCCCAACCGTTGGTCCCGATGCTCCCCCCAGGGATTGCCGGAGGGCCAACTGCCCATCATCACTCTTGGGCAGGTCCGGCCTCCCTTCTGCTCTCTACTGGCCTGAGCTGGTACTGCCGGCTATGAGTAGTGGCGATCGTGGCCACTACACAAACGAGACTCTCGTGATGGTCCCTTCTTGCGTTCTCTCGCCTGGTTAAAGAAACTCGACCTGAACTCAACTCGCTCGCTCGCTCATCAGCCCACTCCGCCATTTACCCACTCGCCCACCATCTCGCTCACCATCTTCATATGCCCATTCACCCGTTCGCTCACCCGCTCGCTCACCCGTTCGCTTACCCAATCGCCACTCATTCATCAACTTACCCACTCATTCACCAACTCACACACTTATTCACTCAGTCTTTCACCAATTTATTCACTCGGTCATTCACCCACTCATTCACCAACTCACCCACTCATTCACTCAATCACTCACCCACCCACTCACCCACTCATTCATCAACTCGCCCACTTATTCACTCATTCATTCACCCACTCTGCCACCCACCCACTCACCCACCAACTCACCCACTCATTCACTCAATCACTCACTCACTCACTCACCCACCCACTCATTCACCAACTCGCCCACTCATTCGCTCAGTCATTCACTCAACCATTCACCCACTCACTCACTAAATTACCAACTCGCCCACCCACTCACTCACCCACTCACACATTCACCCACTCACTCACCCACCAACTCACCCAATTATTCATTCACTCACCCGCCCTCGATTACGCCAAATCGGCCTGAAGTTTGACCTTGACGCTCTGTAGGCGACAGTGGCGTGGCCACGCTCGTGAAGGTCGGAACGTCCTGCAAGAACGGCGGCTGCAAAGCGGTGAGCCACTAATATTAATTATTTATTATTCGTGATTTAACTAATAAACATCCACGACGTTAGTTCCGGTCCATCAGGTGCCCACCGAGCTGCATTGCATTCCGGTTGCCGGGCGAATGTGTTGCAAGTTCAACGCTCGTCGCACGCACAAAGCGCTTGCCACAAATGATCTCGTCAGGAGGCATTAACCACCGTCGCGCGAACTCCGCTCGCCCTCGCAGCAGCAGCAGCAGCAGCAGCGGCGGCGGCTTTTTTCTAACCGTCGAACAAAGAAGGCGGTCACCGCATCATCATCGCGCCGCGCTTTCAGACGCGCTTCTGCGGCCGTCTGGAACGCTCTTCTTTCCGATATTTAGGAAGCCACTGGAGCTATGCACCTTTTTAAATCGTCACCTAGATTGACAAACTCCTTTTCTTTAGAACCGATGTTTCTGTTTAGCGTCGTTGGCCTTCCTGCACACCTCCCGACTAGCACGGTTGGCTACATAACGGTGCGAAAGGATTTCAACGCAGCGTACGTACATTGGCACCCGCAGACTCGCATAGGCACAAAGACAGAAACCCACAGACTCGTAGAGACCCACAGACTCGCTAAGATTGACGAAGTAATTTGTTTAGAACTGCTCTTCGTGCTTAGTTTGTTATCCTTCAGGCGCACCTTTGATTTAGCGCGGGTTGGCTACGTACGGTGCGAAAGAAGTTCAACACACGTACGTACGTACGTACAGACACGGCAGCATCATCGTCGTCGTTCTTGCAAATGAAGGAGGCACCACGGACGAGCGGGGAGGCAGTGGCCGCCGCTCCTGACAGTTGCCAAAGCTCTGCAGTCCTCTATATAGTGTAGTTCATAATAAAGGCTTTTGGGTTGTATTGCGTTGGTGTAAATGTGTCGTGACCCTCCACCACCCGACACAGCAAGTAAGGGTTTTGTCACGTAAACGAAACGCGCCAATTAGTTCACTACTTCAGCCCACCGGTGTGTTGGAGAGTAAATCCACAACATTTACAACCTGAGTGGTACGACGTTTCGCTGGTAATTACATCCGGCATTTATACTTACGAGATCTAAACCAAAAAAAACCTTTATTATGAATAATATTGGTGACGAAAGCCGACGTGTTAAACTGTATTACGTATATTCTTGGTTCTTTCGGTAAAGTCACGTAGAAGGGAAACAATAAAATAATAATAAAATAAATATTTCACTATACAACGATATATTACGTATGTTTTCAGCCAATTAATAACGAGTGTTTGGAGATCGACCAGGGCTAGAGCTAGCAGGGGTTACCCCCCTAACTCTACACACACGCACAAGAGACAAAGATCCCCCGTATGGCCTTCAACAGGTTGTTGGGGCAAGTGCTGCTAGCGAATGTAGCGACTATGAAGGTAGGAACGGCACATGAGGGGGTGGTCAGCACCACGCCCAGCTGCCTTTGTCTCCTCAGTGCTGATGTTAACACACCGCGCCAGGTACTGATGTAAGGCCGAGTCGACCTAGGGGAGGCCCAGGACCGGTACGGATAATCGTCACTTTTGCGGTGGCCGTGAGTGGGAATCGCGCTAACTACTCCGCCACCACTCCCCACCCACAGACGCACGCACGCTCGGAGAGGGAGTTGTAATGAATGGCGCGGGTTGCCGTTTGTTGCAGACGTACAGAGACGGCGCATCGTCCAACACGGAGCCGTGCATTCACCACCCCGGGGTGCCGGTTTTCCACGAGGGGTGAGCACTCACCCCGACGACTCACCCCGACGACTCACCCCGACGACTCACCCGACCACTCGCCCTGACCACTCGCCCCGACCACTCGCCCCATGTGGCTGCTGCTGCCTTCCCGCTCCTCGTCTTTGGTTCCTCCTGGCGCCTCTGATTTGTGTCCCCCTCTCTCTCTCTCTCCGAGTGTAAACTAAAACTATAAACTGCTGTTTGTATCTTACCAGCTAAGGCACACTGAGCTCTGTGGCTCTTCTTCAGAAGCGACCTGCCTATCGCAAATGATAGGTCAACGAAGTGGGCTCATCATCATCACGTGGAAATGTATAGCAGCTAAATACTCTAAACGCGTGGTGATGTTGATGCTAAACACGGAGGAAAAAACCAGAGCACCCGGAGAAAAATCCACGGGGAGAGAGACGCAAACTCCAAATATACAGCAGTAGGCGTCAGGGTCGGGATCGAACCCACGACCTCCTGTGCACCAGGCGAGGTAGTCAACATCTCCTAGCCACTGTGATGATGATGAGAGAGAGACACGCAAACTCTAAATATACAGCAGTAGCCGTCAGGGTCGGGATCGAACCCACAACCTCCTGTATACCAGGCGAGGTAATCAACATCTCCTAGCCACTGATGATGATGATGAGAGAGAGACACGCAAACTCTAAATATACAGCAGTAGGCGTCAGGGTCGGGATCGAACCCACGACCTGTGTACCAGGCGAGGTAGTCAACATCTCCTAGCCACTGTGATGATGATGAGAGAGAGACACGCAAACTCCAAATATACAGCAGTAGGCGTCAGGGTCGGGATCGAACCCACGACCTCCTGTACACCAGGCGAGGGAGTCAACATCTCCTGGCCACCGCGGCGCCCCAGATTCGTCCTCTCTCCATCTCTTCACGAGAGTGAGCGGACACTGAGAATCATCATCATGATGATGCGGTGCTCCGAGAATTTTTATTTAAGAATTCAGAATCTGTATTTATACTGCGGTAGGAATCCGATGAGCTGTAAAGCTCTTTTTTTGACTGATGTCCAGTCTATGTGTGTGTGTCTGTGTATGAGTCTGTGTGTGTCTCTGTGTGTCTGCGAGTCTGTGTGTGTCTCTGTGTGTCTATGTGTGTGTCTCTGTGTGTCTGTGTCTATGTGTGTGTCTCTATGTGTCTGTGTCTATGTGTGTGTCTCTGTGTGTCTGTGTGTCTATGTGTGTGTCTCTGTGTGTGTGTCTCTGTGTGTGTGTGTTATCTTTGTGTGGGGAGCGGTAGTGTAGCGGTTAGCACGCTGCGCTATGAACCTGGCGACCCGGGTTCGATTCCTGCTCACGGCCAACACCAGTGACGATTATCTGAACCGGTCCCGGGCCTCCCCTTAGTCGACTCAGCCTCAAATGAGTACCTGGTGCGGTGTGTGAACATCGCCACTGGGGAGACAAAGGCGGCTGGGCGGGCGTGGTGCCGGCCACCCACCCCCTCGTGCGCCGTGCCGGCCTTGGTCGCTAACAGCACTTGCCCCAGCGGTCTGTTAGGTGCTACACGGGGGACCTTTGTCTGTGTGCAGCATGAAGTTCTGGTCGTGCTGCGAGCGGCGCACGACGGAGTTCTCCAGCTTCCTGGCACAAGTCGGGTGCAGCCACGGCAGCCACCGCTGGGCCGACTCCACACAGGTGTGGGACACACACACACACACACGCTCGCATCACACACACACACGCTCGCATCACACACACACACACTCGCATCACACACACACACGCTCGCACACGCTCGCATCACACACACACATACTCACACGCTCGCACACACTCGCACACACACGCACACGCTCGCACACGCACACGCTCGCACACACGCTCGCACACACGCTCGCACACGCTCGCGCACACGCGCACACGCTCGCACACACGCACACACACGCACGCACACGCTCGCACACGCTCTCGCACACACACGCTCGCACACGCTCTCGCACACACACGCGCTCGCACACACACGCTCGCACACGCTCGTACACACGCACGCACGCGCTCGCACACGTGCTCGCACACGCTCACACACGTGCTCGCACACGCACACACACACACGCACACACACACACGCACACACACACACACGCACACACACGCACACACACACACGCACACACACACACACACGCACACACACACTTGAACTCACACTTGCACACACATGCGCGCACGCACAATCCCATGCGCACACACACATGCTGTGTGTGTGTAACGCTGGCTGTCCGCGTGTGTGTAATGCTGGCTGTGCATGTGTGTAACGCTGTCTGTCTGTGTGTGTGTAGCGCTGTCTGTGTGTGTGTAACGCTGTCTGTGTGTGTAACGCTGTGTCTGTGTGCGTGTGTAACGCTGTGTATGTGTGTAATGCTCTGTCTGTCTGTGTGTAATGCTATGTGTGTGTGTAACGTTGTGTCTGTGTGTGTGTAACGCTGTGCGCGTGTGTGTAATGCTGTCTGTGTGTGTGTGTAACGCTATGTGTGTGTGTAACACTGTGTCTGTGTGTGTGTAACGCTATGTGTGTGTGTAACGCTGTGTCTGTGTGTGTGTAACGCTATGTGTGTGTGTAACGCTGTGCGCGTGTGTGTAATGCTGTCTGTGTGTGTGTGTAACACTATGTGTGTGTGTAACGCTGTGTCTGTGTGTGTGTAACGCTATGTGTGTGTGTAACGCTGTGCGCGTGTGTGTAATGCTGTCTGTGTGTGTGTAACGCTATGTGTGTGTGTGTAACGCTGTGTCTGTGTGTGTGTAACGCTATGTGTGTGTGTAACGCTGTGTCTGTGTGTGTGTAACGCTATGTGTGTGTGTAACGCTGTGTGCGTGTGTGTAATGCTGTCTGTGTGTGTGTGTAACGCTATGTGTGTGTAACGCTATGTGTGTGTAACGCTGTGTCTGTGTGTGTGTAACGCTATGTGTGTGTGTAACGCTATGTGTGTGTGTAACGCTGTGTCTCTGTGTGTGTAACGCTGTGCGTGTGTGTGTAATGCTGTCTGTGTGTGTGTAACGCTATGTGTGTGTGTAACGCTGTGTCTGTGTGTGTGTAACGCTATGTGTGTGTGTAACGCTATGTGTGTGTGTAATGCTGTCTGTGTGTGTGTGTAACGCTATGTGTGTGTGTAACGCTGTGTCTGTGTGTGTGTAACGCTATGTGTGTGTGTGTGTAACGCTGTGTCTGTGTGTGTGTGTAACGCTGTGTCTGTGTGTGTGTAACGCTGTGCGCGTGTGTGTAATGCTGTCTGTGTGTGTGTGTAACGCTATGTGTGTGTGTAACGCTGTGTCTGTGTGTGTGTGTAACGCTATGTGTGTGTGTAACGCTGTGTCTGTGTGTGTGTAACGCTGTGTCTGTGTGTGTGTAACGCTGTGCGCGTGTGTGTAATGCTGTCTGTGTGTGTGTAACGCTGTGTGTGTGTAACGCTGTGTGTGTGTGTGTGTAACACTATGTGTGTGTGTAACGCTGTGTCTGTGTGTGTGTAATGCTGTGCGCGTGTGTGTAATGCTGTGTCTGTGTGTGTGTAACGCTGTGCGCGTGTGTGTAATGCTGTCTGTGTGTGTGTAATGCTGTCTGTGTGTGTGTAATGCTGTCTGTGTGTGTGTGTAACGCTATGTGTGTGTGTAACGCTGTGTCTGTGTGTGTGTGTAACGCTGTGTGTGTGTGTAACGCTGTCTGTGTGTGTGTGTAACGCTATGTGTGTAACGCTGTGTCTGTGTGTGTGTAACGCTGTGTGTGTGTAACGCTGTGTGTGTGTGCAATGCTGTCTGTGTGTGTGTAACGCTATGTGTGTGTGTAATGCTGTGTCTGTGTGTAACGCTGTGTCTGTGTGTAACGCTGTGCGCGTGTGTGTAATGCTGTCTGTGTGTGTGTGTAACGCTATGTGTGTGTGTAACGCTGTGTCTGTGTGTGTGTAACGCTATGTGTGTGTGTGACGCTGTGTCTTTGTGTGTGTAACGCTGTGTGTGTGTGTAACGCTGTGTGTGTGTAACGCTGTGTGTGTGTGTAACGCTGTGTGTGTGTAATGCTGTCTGTGTGTGTGTAACGCTATGTGTGTGTGTAATGCTGTCTGTGTGTGTGTAACGCTATGTGTGTGTGTGTAACGCTATGTGTGTGTGTAACGCTGTGTGTGTGTGTAATGCTGTCTGTGTGTGTGTGTAACGCTGTGTGTGTGTAACGCTATGTGTATGTGTAATGCTGTCTGTGTGTGTGTAACGCTATGTGTGTGTGTAATGCTGTCTGTGTGTGTGTGTAACGCCGCGTGCAGGAGAAGCGGTCTGCTGAGTGCCGTTTCGATTGGCACCAGACGGCTCGCGACGTGGTGCTGAGCATCTACGCACGCGACGCTCAGCCCCTTCTCTCCAGCGCACACGCCAACCCCACCACGGTGACGCACACACACAGGGACACGCGCAGAGACACGGAGAGAGACACGGGGAGAGACACGCGCAGAGACACGGGGAGAGACACGGGGAGAGAGACACGGAGAGAGAGACACGGGGAGAGACACTGAAAGAGTCACGGAGAGAGTCACGGAGAGAGTCACGGGGAGAGTCACGGGGAGAGACACGGAGAGAGAGATACGGGGAGAGACACGGAGAGAGACACGGAGAGAGACACGGAGAGAGACACGGAGAGAGACACGGAGAGAGTCACGGGGAGGGACACGGGGAGAGACACGGAGAGAGACACGCACATGCGGAAAGAGACATGAAGAGAGACACAGAGAGAGACACGAAGAGAGACATGGAGAGAGATGCACAGATACACGGACGCAGTGAGAGAGACGCACACAGTGAGACGGAGAGAGATACTGAAACAAAGCTGCTTTGTGCACTTTTCAGATGTCCCAGTTTTGCGTTTGTCAGCCTGAGGTGATGGTGGCGTTTGGGGTCTGTCTGCTTCTGTCTGGCAGCTTGAGGTGACGTTGGTGTTTGACGAAGGCAAGAAGTTTGTGAGGAGGTTCCAGCTCTATGGGGTACGTTCTCCCCACTTGACACGAAGCACTGGAGGGCGACCACGGTGCTTCACCCACACGGCCTGCAGGCTGGCCTAGGGGCACCCACAGTGGCAGCTGTCCCCGTGCAGTAGTCTCACAGCAGGGGGCGATGTTGCTGTTTGGTCTGGCCTAGGGGCACCCCCAGTGGCAGCTGTCCCCGTGCAATAGTCGCACAGCAGGGGGCGATGTTGCTGTTTGGTCTGGCCTAGGGGCACCCCCAGTGGCAGCTGTCCCCGTGCAGTAGTCTTACAGCAGGGGGCGATGTTGCTGTGTGGTCTGGCCTAGGGGCACCCCCAGTGGCAGCTGTCCCCGTGCAGTAGTCTCACAGCAGAGGGCGATGTGGCTTTGTGGTCTGGCCTAGGGGCACCCCCAGTGGCAGCTATCCCATAACGTGAGTCTGTCAGCAAGGGGGGTGATGTGGCTGCTCTGCTTGTCTTCCGAGATCCGAAGACCGTCGTTGCCGGGCCTCATTTTGTCGCCCTCCCGCCGCAGACGGTTGACATGGAGCACTGCACGATGGGAATGGCCCCCACCAAGGTGGAGGTGACTCTTCGCAAGGCCGAGGCCTACCACTGGGCCAACCTGGAGCACCCGTCCGCCAATCAGAGCGCCGCGGGGGCGGAGCAACCGTACAATCGGACGCAGGTGGTAGGTGGCCGCAATCGCCGTCGGCGTCATCGGCATCATCGCTGCTACCGGCATCATAACCGCTGTGGCGGGCCGTTGCTACCAACGGTTGCCCCAAGCTCTGCGGTCCTCTGTGGGCTAAGATGTTTCCACTTGCGTGTGATCGTGCGATGCGCGGGTTCCGGCAAAGCGCCTCTGTTCATTCCGAAACGAACAAAGCCTCTTGGAGTCATTTCTTTTAGCCTCTCCCCGCGACCGGAGCGAAGGGCGAGACGACACGTGGAGGCTCCCGAGCGAACGCCGCCGTAAGTCCAGCAGTGTCCCAAAGGTCGGTGGCCTTGTAAGCACGTGACGTCGGTGCGCAACTATGTGTGTTTACGGGGCAGGCCGATGGACGTGAACGTTGCTTTATTGGTGGTAAAACGGGAGCCTTGTCCCGTGATGTATTCGTGACACGGGTCGCCCGCCGCTCGAATCGCCCGCCTCGCTCAACACGGAACGGAGAGGCGGACGTTGACGAGTTGTCGATGAGCGGTGCGCGGAGAAGCACCGAGAGACGGGGAGAGGGAGCGGGTGGGGTTAGAGGACACACGGCAGGGTAGAGACGTCGCCACTATCGTATTGATTTTCATCCAGCAGTGGATAGACCTCGCTCGCGTCTCCTCCTCTCTGCAGGACATCGTGAAACCGGGTGGTGAGCCGGCCCGGGAACCGGCGGCGCCGGCCTGGGGGAACGCGGACGGTGAGAGGGAGCGCGACCGCCGTAACGACGGCGACGGTGAGAGGGACGACGACGACGGTGAGAGGGACGACGAAGAGAGCCTGGGCCTCTCCGACGACGACTACGACTCTGAGTGGGAGCGCGAGTTTGGGGAGGAGAACGGCGACGCGGCCCCCGAGGCATCCGAGGGGCCCACCGTGCCCACCGTGCCCACAGCGCCCACAGCGTCCACAGCGCCCACCGTGCCCACTGCACCGACACCACCCACCACGCCCACACCACCCACACCACCCACACCACCCACACCGCCCACAGCACCGACACCACCCACCGTGCCCACCGTGCCCACCGTGCCCACCGCGTGGACCTACGACGGAGCTCCTGACCCCGAGGCCGACTTTAGCGAGCTCCCCGAACTCGAGGACTGATGAGGTCACGGGACGGAGGACAGCCTCGCGCGGAGTTCAGAGTTCGCGATCACGCCACGTGCCCTGCGGGAGCGAGGCGCCACGGCTCCGGGATTATTTACGCGAAAGTGTTTGGCAGCCTTAATAAGGCTCGGATGATTAGGCAGGACTGCCGTGAGTGTTTTGTTTTTGATTAACGTTCGTGGAAATGTTTATTTAGACCTGTTAAGGCCCCACTGAGCTATGGATCTCTTTTTCAGAAGCGACCTGGCTGTCGCAAAATGATAGCTCAACGAAAGTGGCTTGTCGCGTGAAAATTTGTAGCGGCCTAATACTCCCAACGCGTGACGTTGATTCTAAATGTGAAGGGGAAAAACCGTAGAAAAATCCATTCGACCACGGGGAGAGAGAAACATGGAAACTCCAAATATACAGCAGCAGGCATCGTCAGGGTTGGGATTGAACCCACGACCTCCTGTATACCAGGCGAGGTAGTTAACATCTCCTAGCCACCGTGATGCCCCGAAGTCTGAAGCGAGGGTAATGAGGCCCATTGCTACGTTGAGCTCCCTCAATATTGAATCGTGACCCCTGGTAGTGGCTGCTAGAGCGGAGTGCTCGAAGTTGACGACGTTGTCTTGGTTGGAAGTTTCTGGCCGAGATCTTCGTTTAGTCGTATCTTAGCGTCATCTTAGTTTTGTCAGAACTTCGTTTAGACGTATCTTCGTTTGTGGTAATCTCGGGCTAGTATCAAACAGGTTTCGCCAAGGAAAATAACGACGCAAGATGAATTTAAAAATGAGCAGCGCTCATAACGGCGTGCAGCAAGAGGGACGCGACACGGCCACCAGCACCACCAGTACCACCCACCAGCACCCCCCACCAGCACCACCAGTACCACCCACCAGCACCACCAGCACCAGGACCACCCACCAGCACCACCAGCACCACCAGTACCACCCACCAGCACCACCAGCACCACCAGTACCACCCACCAGCACCACCAGCACCACCAGTACCACCCACCAGCACCACCCACCAGCACCACCAGCACCAGGACCACCCACCAGCACCAGGACCACCCACCAACCACCAGCACCAGCACCACCTCCACCACGGAAGCTTGGCTCCGCTACGCTCAAAGGGAAAATACCCCCCCCCCCCAGGCGACCCCCCCCCCCTCGGTTCAACACCTGGATCTGAACTCAGGCTCTCCGCGGTCGCGGCTCCGACGCCGGGTTTGAGCGTCTTAAATAAAAGCGTTGCATGTGCCATGCTTCAGCGACTGCGATGCAAATTCCCTGACACAAGACACGCAGTCTCACGTTTGTGTGACCAGGTGAGAGACCTCGGAAGATCGGGATGAGTCTTTTTTTTATTTTTACAATTTTTATTTTATCTGTGTATAGGCCCCCCACAGAGCTGCGTCGCTCTTTTTCAGAAGCGACGTGGCCATCACAAATCATAGCGCCATGAAGTGGCTCATATCATCACTTGGAAATTAATTGCAGTGGCCAAATATGCTCACTGAGCCAGTGTATGAGGGAGTGGTTGGGTCAATGAGTGGTTGAGTGGCTGGGTGGATGAGTGTTGAACTTCTTTCGCATTGTGCATATCCAACCGTACTAATCAGAGGTGCGGGATGTGTGGGTGGATGAGCAAGTGGCTTGGTGGTTGAGTGAGTGGTTGAGTGGCTGGGTGGATGAGTGAGTGGTTGAGTGGCTGGGTGGATGAGTGAATGGTTGAGTGGATGAGTTATGTTGAACTTTCGCATCGTACGCAGCCAAACCATGCTTTAGAGATTTGGAAGAACAAACCAAACCACAAAAACAGTTCTAAAGAAATGGGTTTTCAATCTAGCAAGCCGCGACAAGGCCCGTTAGTCTCAAGTCAGGGCGCTGCTTTGCAGCAAAACCGTGCATTCTTATAAACAAGGCCCACTGATCTCTATAATTCTTTTTCAGAAGTGACCCGTCCACAAAAGAAGTTCAACACACATTGACTAACACTGCCCATAGACTCGATACTGCACCTCCGATTAGCACAGTTGTCTACGTACGGTGCGAAAGAAGTTCACCGTACCGACGTGCAAGCCGGAGCAGAGTGAAATCCGCGACTCAAACCACACACACCGAGTCAGAAAGTGCTCAAACCACACGTTTAAGAGATCAAGAGAGGCGGTTTATTAACAAAGTAGGGGGGGGGGGCAGAGTAAAACACGCAAGACGTTGTCACACACGGATCTTAATAAAAACAAACGGACATGAGCGGATTATGCAAAGTTAGAGACGCCACGAGTTGGCGTGAGTTTGTTGCTCCGGTCAGGACCACGGAGGGGAACGTTGCCGTCTCGGCTCCGCGCGCCGGGCGATGACAATCGGCGCCGAGCAGAAGGGCTCCTCTTCCCATGCTGAAAAAACAACACGCACAGGACACACACAGACAGGACACACACACAGGACACAGACATTAACATGGTACACAAAAAAAAAGTGTGGTCCTGCAAGGGCTTTGCCCCCCCCACCCGCCCCTCTCCCCGCTGCCCCAACCCCGAGTGATGTGCGTGTGAACGCATCCGCTGCGAGGCCTCACCTGCCCTGCCCGTTTCAGGTGCAACACGAGCAGCTGCCGCCCGTGCAGCCCTTGCACACGCAGCCCTCGCCGCACTTGGGGCAGCCGGCGGGGCAGCAGGAGCAGCAGGAGCCTGGGGGGGGGGGGGAGGGGGGTACAATAAATAGTTTGCAGACCGAGCCGGCTGGTTGTGTACGTGCGTCATGGGGGCCAACTCCGTTGACGATCATCTGAGCCGGTCCCGAGCCTCCCCTAGGTCGACTCGGCCTCAAATGAATGCCTGGTGCGATGTGTAAACATCGCCACTGGGGAGACAAAGGCGGCCGGGCGTTGGTGCTCGCCACCCACCCCCTCGTGTGCCGTTTATGGCCTTCAATAGGTGCTCGCTAACAGCACTTGCCCCAGCAGTCTGTTACAGGCTACACGGGGGATGTCATGGAGCATACACGATAGGTCTCAGGAGACGGTCTGGGCATCTTCCCGTGGTCAAGAGACGCAGAACCTGGGTTCGACTCCCGGGGTCTGTTGTTCCAAGTTATTGCTGAGATTCTGCTGGCGATGCCGTTGACGAGTATCACGTTGAAGAGTTATCACGTTGAAGAGTTATCACGTTGACGAGTTATCACGTTGAAGAGTATCACGTTGAAGAGTATCACGTTGACGAGTATCACGTTGACGAGTATCACGTTGACGAGTTATCACGTTGAAGAGTTATCACGTTGACGAGTTATCACGTTGACGAGTATCACGTTGACGAGTATCACGTTGCTCTCCGGAATTTGGAATGACGACTCTACTCATCCTGGTCTCGAGATCTCGCCTGGCTAAAGATTAAAGAAACAGAAAAACGTCGATGCCGACGATGATTTTAGCAAGTGACGTTAGTAGTGACGGCACTGAGGAAGCTGATGGCGTTAACCGGGGGGGGGGGGGGGGGGTGGTGGTGCCACGGTGGTTAGGAGATGTTAACTACCTCGCCTGATATACAGGAGGTCGTGAGTTCGATCCCGACCCTGACTCCTGCTGTATATTTGGAGTTTGCGTCTCTCTCTCATCATCAACATCACCGTGGCTGGGAGATGTTAACTACCTCGCCTGGTATACAGGAGGTCGTGAGTTCGATCCCGACCCTGACTCCTGCTGTATATTTGGAGTTTGCGTCTCTCTCTCTCATCATCAACATCACCGTGGCTGGGAGATGTTAACTACCTCGCCTGGTATACAGGAGGTTGTGAGTTCGATCCCGACCATGATGCCTGCTGTGTATTAGGAGTCTGCGTCTCTCTCTCTCTCTCCGTGGTCGCGTGGATTTTTCTCCGAGTCCTCCGGTTTCCCACACCCCCCCCCCCCCATTTAGAATCAAATCCCGCGTTTAGAGGATTTGTCTGCTGCTATAAATGTCCCCGTGATTGATGATGATAAGCCCACTTCGTTGAGCTATCACTCGTGGCTAGGTAGCTTTTGAAAAAGAGCTACACGGCTCAGTGGGCGCTTATCCGCTAAAATAAAAGTTAAGTTTTTTTGTATAGTTTAATCGTGACACCGACAATGACGACGATGGTTCAGTTGACGATGCAGAAGAAGTGAACTCACCACTCTGTTTTGCCGCGCCAGTCTTGCACGCACACCCACACTTGCAGTCGCTGCACTTACAGTCACCATCTGCACACTTGCAAGAGCCTGAGACGGAGGGAGACACACACAGCGACACAGCCAATACATTACACACAGCCTCGCAATTCATGACACAGACACGCAGCAACAACAACAGTAAACGCCGTTCGCCACTAAGCGGCACTGATGTCACCGCGGCGTACGTGCCAGGCTAGGTGTAGCAGGAGGTCACGGGACAGAGCCACGTGCCATCGGTTGACTGCCGTGCCAGGCTAGGTGTAGCAGGAGGTCACGGGATAGAGACACGTGCCATGGGTTGACTGCCGTGCCAGGCTAGGTGTAGCAGGAGGTCACGGGATAGAGACACGTGCCATGGGTTGACTGCTGTGCCAGGCTAGGTGTAGCAGGGGGTCACGGGATAGAGACACGTGCCATGGATTGACTGCCGTGCCAGGCTAGGTGTAGCAGGAGGTCACGGGACAGAGCCACGTGCCATCGGTTGACTGCTGTGCCAGGCTAGGTGTAGCAGGAGGTCACGGGACAGAGCCACGTGCCATCGGTTGACTGCCGTGCCAGGCTAGGTGTAGCAGGGGGTCACGGGATAGAGACACGTGCCATGGATTGACTGCCGTGCCAGGCTAGGTGTAGCAGGAGGTCGACCCAAGGCAGACCCAGGACCGATGGTTGCGAGTGAGAATAGAACTTTGACTGCTGGGGTTTTATGTGGCGCAGTGTGCCAACCGCTGCGCCACCGCTCCTATCCCCCCCACCCACCATACACATTCATGACGCAGCCGCGCGCAATAGCGGGCTCCCACACGCACGCACACCGTTACATTCCGCACTATTTCCCCTACAGACACACACACACCAGCCACGATCAATCCACCGCTGGATGAAGCCTTCCCCACGCAGCGTTAGGTGGTCAGCAGCGCCGTGTTTGGTAATCCCCGGCCTCTGAACTCGGCTGGCTGTCCGGGCTCTTTCTGAGCCCGGACAGCAACCTGCGGCTCCAAAGCCCCATGCGGTTGCTCTTTAAAAAGATAAAATATTTAACGTCACGGAAGCAGTCCATTATCATCAAGGACCACATCGTATCGTATTTTGGTTGCCAAGATCTATTTTGCTCCAAGCAGCAGCAGCGCGCGCTAGCCACTGCACCACCGCTCCCCAGCAAAGACGCTACGAGCACTAAAGTCGCATCAACCTTTGCAAAATCAACAACAACAACCAACAACAACAAACAGCCGCTCTCACACAGCGATGGGGTTGGCAACTCACCCACGGCGCAGCTGCATGGGTTGACGTCCGACATGTCTGCAGGATGCTTTCGCTGAGATGAGGTGAGGGGGACGAGGTGAGGAGCCGTGAAGTGACGAGGTGAGAAGAGGTGATCAGAGACAAGAGTCCGACTGTGGCCACCTGTCCCTGCCCTGTCCCTTTAAATAGCCCCAAGCCCCGCCCACGTGGTCACCTGGGCCGTGCGCAAAAGGGGAAGGGGGGGAGTATGCGGGTGGGGGGGCTCGTAGAGGGGGGGGGGGCGTAATCGTCTGCGCACGGCACGTGTGACGTCACATCACCCCGCGTGTGACGTCACGTCCCCCGCCCGCACCCCTCCCTCCCTCCCCAATACGGCCCCGTGTAACTACATATGATATAAACATGATAGGCGACGTTTCGGGCAATGACCCTTCTTCATAGTACGCTGCTGGTGTGTATCAGTGGTTTACGGATGTATGCGTCGGCAGAATAAACTCGGCACATGCATTGAT